AATGTTGTTGTAGATTTAAGAGTGCTAATTGACCAGGGCACACAATTCTAACCTCATGGACATCCTTTTCTGAGTGCTAATTGGCCAGGCCACATGTGTGTACGCTCATGGACAGTCTTTCCCTGCCCATGGTTAATTTGGGGGGCAACAGGGACTTGTCATACATTCAAGACCCTCACTGACCTAAGATGTAGGTGCCTGTTATTTGTAAAGAAACATGTGATGGACTCATTCTCATAAAAAACCCAAAACAAACAACAACAATAACAACAACGACAACAACACAACCTGAAGGATGATATGCAGTCAGTGACATTGAGAAGTGGCAACTATTTCAGCATGGGAAGTATGCTCAGATTGGGTGCTAATAAATATCCTGAGAATAACCTTGAAAGAAACTACTGTTATTTTCACATAGGACTGAAGACTTTTATACAAAGTAGAAGGAAAAAAAACCCTGTTGAACTTTCGGCATGGAAACATGAGATTACAAGCAGCTGTGCTTGAAAGGAAACCATTAACCCTTAACACACAAGTAAAAAAAAGGTGCAATAATCCATACTTAACGTAAATGTTTCTTTTGCTTTGGAAAGGAGACTCATAAAATGGGGACTGCATTTGAAGTTTTGGTAGATGACCAGTGAAAATTATATAAAGAATTATACTGCATAACGTTGTTATTCTTCATAAACTAACAGATGACAAATCCTCATGCTGCAACTACAAACCCCCTAATCTCCTTTAAAAATGCTCGGATGAACTGTACTGCAGAACATTATCTAATTCAGAACATTATCACAGCTAAAACTATCATCATAACTGCTCAGACATGAAGTCAATCCACACATGTCTCAGAACAATGTTTTTAATAGATGCTGCCATATAAAACATTCATAACCTCCAACCAACATGATTAGGAAAGCTTTCAAAATATGAAGACTTAGCAGAATTAATCAACACCATGTAGAAACAGGAAGAAGTACAATATTATTCCCATTATCCTCTCTGCTACTGAATTTGTCTAGAAGATGAGCCTGCCTCCAAACGCTTTTTACTACATTATGAAAATCTTATGATTTTATCCACCAGTGCAATAATTTGACAAATAAACAAAAATGAAGGAATTATAGCAGGATAGTTACTTGTCCCAGGGCTATTTCTGTCTAGTTCCACCGCATAAAAAAGATGAGAAGAAGGAAGTAATAATAATAATAATAATAGCTTAATTGCCACTTAACCTCATGTCTACAGAAAGAAATGAGCATATCATTAGCCCCTTGGATTTTAAAGTGGGTCAAAGCCATTGAAATTAGGCACTGGCTAGTGAGAAACAACTGCTGAGGATGCAAGTGGAGCCTCCATACTTGGACTTTAGGATCACCGTCCTGATTGTGCGCAGAGAAGAGGAAGAAATAATGCCAAAAGGAGAATGAAGATGGGGAAAGTATCATGGAGCACAGATCAAGAGATCTGTAGCCACCTGAGACCATCCAGTGTAACTGCCTCATTTTATCATTGAGGAAACTGGGGCTGAGTGACTTGTCCAAAATCACACAGGTAGTAAAATGGCAGAGATGGGATTTGGACTCGGGAACTCTTAAGTACAGAGACAGTGATCTTCCTACTGTACTGGGTAATGATGGATTACACCAAGTGCACATGGAAGTAACCTATGCTGGCAGCAACACATCTGTGAGAGCATTGAGGGATTATTTTACAAGGTATCTGAAGAAGAGGAAGGCACCGAAGTCATAGAAAAAAGTCTCAGACTCAATAGTTTTTTTAAAAAAAGCTTATTGAGAGAAAATCAACTATCAACCTGTATGCCCACTACTTTCCCATCTGGATGTAATTTTTTATGAGAATAGTCTATACGTACTTCAAGGGCATCCTTGATAAAGGTATTCAAAGGATGAGAGAAAGGGAAGAGTCCATGGGGACTCTAAAATCTTGAACATGGATGCCTGGGAAGATGATGATGGCATATACTGAACTGGGTTAGTTGGGGGAAGGGGTAGATTTAATAGGGGAAGATGATCATGAGTTCGAGTTTAGTGAATTATGCTGAATTTAGAGAGTTAGCGGGACATATAGGTGGTGATACAAGACTGGAAGTCAGAGGAGAAATTAGGCCTTATTTAGATAGTTTGAAAAATATTCTTTTTCTTTTGAGTGCACAATTTGAGCTTATTATAAAAAGCTACCTACTCATTTACCTTTATTATAATAAACTCATGGATGGCAAGAATAGTGCTTACCCTGCATTTTCCATAAGTCCCAGTAAACCAAGCATTTTGTTCATGTACTTGGACATGAAGACATCACAAAGTCCTTGTTACCTTTTGTCTAGAAGATCAGAGGATGGAAAATGGAATCAATGAACTTAGAATAAGGAGAGAAATAGATCAATGGAAAATAAATTTTTACACGAATTATCTCTTAATAAAGGTCTCGTTCTCAAGTCATGTAGGGAATTGATACAAATATACGAGACCAAAAATCATTTATAAATAGTTTTCAGAAAAAGATTTGCAATTTGTCAACAACCACATGAAGGTTGTTTCAAATCACTAATAATAAGAAAAAATGTAAATTGTGACAACTTGGACATTTCGCCCCAAACCAAGCAAGTTAGCAAAGATGATAAAAGACAGAAATTGTCAATGTTGGAAGAATTGTAGAACACTAATATATTGTTGGTGAAGGTTCTAAGTGGTTCAGCTGATCTGGAAACCATTTGAAATTATGCAAGAAAGTCACTAAGCTTCTCACTTAAGAAGTAAGAAGTCACTCTTTGACCGCTACATGTCTATCCCAAGAAGGCCAGAAATGGGAAGAAAAGTCTCATACGTGACAAAATGTTCATAGTAGTATTTTTATGGTAGCCCAAAACAAAACAAAACAAAAATCCAATGCTGAATAAACAAAGTGGGTACCCAGTGATAATCAAATTGTGATATATGATATAATGGAATATTATTGTGCTGTAAGAAATGACAAATATTAAAAAGTCAGAGAAAGAAGGGAAACGTTTATATAAATTGATGAAGAGCAAATGAAGCAGGACTAGGTGAACAATATACACAATGACCACAAGGATGTGAATGAAAAGAATACTAAAAGGAAGTTGAATTGTGAGTAATAATGATGTCCAATCTTGGGGAAGCAGATAATAAAATATATTTACTTTCTCTTGGTAGAGTAGTGAGGGAGTTCGTGTACAGAATGTTAAATACACTTGAAGACATGGTCACGGTATCAGTTAGCTTTGCTTAACTGTTTTTCTTGTTTACAAGGTTCACTAAAGGGTGAGGAAGGATATATCTAAAAACAGCTGTGATATTAAAAACAAAATATGTCAACAAAACTTTTTTTTTTAAATAATGACGTCCTGTAATAGATAAATGGTTAAAGGATATGAACAGGAAGGTCTCAAGAGAAGAAATCTAAACTATAAACAACTATATAAAAATGCTTCAGATCACTTATAATAAGAAATGCTAATTAAATCAACTCTGAATTTCCACCTCCCACTCATCAGAGGGCAGCTGTTGGTGGGGCTGTTGGAGGATAGACACACCAATGTACTGTTTAGTACTGGAAAGCTAATTGAAACTATACCCCAAGAGTCACTGAATTGTTCATATCTTTGACCTAGAGATGTCACTAATAGGTGTATTTCCCAAAGAGACCTAAGATGAAGAGAAAAGATCCATTTTTACAAAAATGTTTATGGCAATACTTTTAAAAGAAATTATAGCAAAGCACCGGGAGCAAAGTGGATGCTTATCAATGACCAAAATATGTTATATTAATATAATGTAATGTTATTGCACTGTAAGAAATGACAAAAGGGACAAATGAAGATAAATCAAATAAACGTGTATGAACTGATACATAACGAAGTGAACAGAATCAGGACAACTATTTATACAGTGATGACAACATTGAAAGGAAAACAATTTTGAAAACCTTAAGAATTCTTATCATTAGTGCAATAACCAATCACAGTCTCTTGAAGACTGGTGATGAAACGTGCCTCCCACCTCTTCAAAGAGACAGGATGGACTGAGGCACAGAATGAGACATACATTTTCAGACATGGCCAATATGATACAAATTAATTTTGTTTGTACTAAAGAGAGGACTTCTATTGTAGAGGTGGGAGGAGGTTGTTGGAATTATGGGGAGGTAGGGATAACACTAAAGAAAGAAAAGATCATCAATAAACATTTAAAATACACAGAAAAGAATAGAAGGGAGTTTATAAGGGGACACAGACTTGGAGGGACAGTGTTGGTACTCATGTTAAATTGAACACATATGTGAAAAACAAACTGTATATAATAGATTAATGGTTTTATTACAATCCTTTTTCTGGTTTTCTTTGTATGTGGAGATGTTAATTTTTGTTGATGATTTTCTAATTTTCAATAAAAAATTATTAGATGTAGTGATTGTGAAATTTAAGGTAAATCTTTGTTCCATTTATGTCTGCATTATTAATAGGTGTCACCCACACATCTTTTGAAAGGTGTATTATGAATGTATTTTAAACTGTCTATATTTTTTATTGTGAAAACAATTTCATTTAAATAATTTGCATCTCAAAATGAGGAAAAGGAAAAGGAAGAGAAGGAAAAAGAGAAAGAAGAAAAAAAGAAGACAGAGGAGGAAGAAAAACAAGAAGGAAGAAGTGGCAACCATGCAAAGGATGATTATGTATATTTATAGATGAGGATGGATAGGTAGATGGGCTAGTGCCTGACTGGTCAGAGGCTAGAACACCTCCTGAATCGGTCCTGCCAAAATCACAGATGTGTTCCAAACTGAACATAGGAGTCACTTAATAAATGCTTATTGGAATTTATTTCTTTATTGCCAACCCATCAGGGTCCAAGCTAGGTAGTTCCCACCTGGGTAACTGGCCAAGTGGTTGCCAAGGAGCTAGTATTGGTATGGTGCTCTGAGTGTGTCCCTCTCCATTTTCCTTCCCTCAGAGCTCCCTATAAGGTTCATGGTTGAACTCCAAAGTACAGAGTCCCTAGAAGGAACCACAGCCACGTTGCAGTGTCAGCTGAGCAAGGCAGCTCCCGTGGAGTGGAAGAAAGGCCTGAAGAGGCTCCGAGCCAGTGACAGATACCACCTGAGACAGGACGGGGCTGTGTGCGAGTTGGTAATCCCTAGCCTTGATGTGGATGACACTGGAGACTATACCTGTATATGTGGAGAGGAGAAGACCACAGCGACCTTGACAGTGAAGGGTAAAAACCACATGTTGGAAAATAAGTCTGTAGTTTGTTTTTCTGTTCGATGTTACTCTGTCACCTGGACCATTCTATCCATGACTCCACCTTTCCATGCCATCCCATGTCTGTCTCTATGGGGTGCTTATCTGTTTCTCACATTTTGTCTGTCTAGCCCCTCTTCCAGGTGCTTCATGACTCCTCATCAGGCTGACCCATGAGAAGGTCTTGTTTGTGATTCATTCTCAAGCCCCATCTGTTGCAACGTTCTGTGTTTCCCCTCTGTTGCATCCCTGTCCAGCCACCTGATACCCTTTCCCCAAGTGTCATATGTTTTCCGTGTCTGTCTGATCATTCCTCAGCCTTGCCCGCCAACTTCATAGAAGGACTGAAGAGCACAGAAGCCAAAGAAGGAGACATGGCCACACTGAGGTGTGAGTTGAGTAAGGCAGCTCCTGTGGAGTGGAGAAAGGGTCTGAAGAGGCTCCGAGCCAGTGACAGATACAGCCTGAGGCAGGACGGGGCTGTGTGTGAACTGGTGATCCATAAGCTGGATGTGGATGATTCAGGAGACTACACCTGTGTGTGTGGAGAAGCAATGAGCACAGCGACCTTGACAGTGAAGGGTAAAGACCATGTGTGTGGGGAATGGCTATGGATTTGGTTTTCTGCTGAGGTTTGTCTTGTCACCCAGTCCACCCACTCTGCACCTGTCTCATCTCACTGTTTCCATGTGTGTCATTCTGGGCTGTCTCCTGACTGACTTCCAGGCTACTACAGAAGAGGAAATGATCTGTGCCCATCCCAGACTGTTGCTTCCGCAACAGTCAGTCCCCATCCTCTGGCTTTGTGGTTTTCCTTTGATTTCTATGTCAAGCTGTCTCCCAGCACTTTGTGGCATTTTATGTCTATCTGACCCTCATTGTCAAGCTCAGGGAGTGTCTGTGGAGCATGGTAGCCACAGAAAGGTCCAGGGCCCCCCTGTACTGTGAGTGTACTGAGTGTGGTGTTCCCATGGCATGGAGAAAGGGGATAGAGAGGCTTAAAGCCCATGATATGCGAAGCCTGAGTCAGGATGGGAGCTCTGTGTGAGCTGGTGAGCTTCATGGATGACTAGAGACTTTGCATGTTGTGACGAAAAGACCATGGCGACCCTGGTTGTAATGGGTATGTTGAGCGTGGGATTTTTCACTCTTCTCCTTTGTCTCCTAATTCTGCTTTACCTGTTTTTCTCCTCCCCATCACTGGCCAGAAAGCTGTGGCTCTGCTTGGCTTTCTCTGCTTGTGTTAGAAACTTAACCTTCCTTTATCACTCTAGAGTTCAGTATTTGGTGGTATAAGTTAATTAAGGTGTCTGTTTTCCTGGTTTCCTTTCCATCCCTGGCCTCTGGTTGATGGGTCTGTTCTCATCTGGGTGACCGCAGAATAAAGGCTGAGGAGTCATGAGTCCCCCTGGGTGGGCTGGTCTGAGGGGAATCTGTCTTCATCTTCCCTTTCCCAGCCCTACCTGCCAAGTTCATTGAAGGACTACAGAGCATGGAAGCCATAGAAGGTACCTCATCCTCAATGCGTTGTAGGCTAAGCAAGATGGCCCCAGTGGAGTGGAAGAAGGGGCTAAAGAGGCTCCGAGCCAGTGACAGATACAGCCTGAGGCAGGATGGGGCTGTGTGTGAGCTGGTGATCTTCAACCTTAATGTCGATGATACAGGAGATTACACTTGTGTGTGTGGGGAGGAGAAGACCACAGCAACTTTGACCGTGAAGGGTAAAGACCATTTGTGGGGAAGGCGACACATGGCTTGGTTTTGTCTCCTGTATTGTCTTCTCAGCAAGCCCACCCTTTGCTTACCATGGTCTCTCTCTGTGCTGTCTCCTTCACACAGTCCTCCTTCCCTGTCTCCCTGTTGATCTGTGACTCCCTTCTCAGGATGACCCCAGTCTGAGTCTTAGAATACTTCCTTCAACTTCCTTCATGTCCAGCCTTCTCCCACCTTCCCAAGAATTTCATGTTCTCCACATCTGTCTGATTGTTTCTCAGTCCTGCCTGTCCAATGTGTAGGAAATTGCAGAGATCACAAAATGGGCCACCCAGCATTATGAACTGACTGAGTCAGCCCCTGTAAGGAGGAATGAAGGAAAGGTCTGCAGAAACCAACCACAACTGCAACTTGAAAAGTGAGAGTTGCTGAGGGACACGGGCCAAAGGATAGAATAATCAGGTAGACTCTGCTGTTCAAAGAGCTGGACCCAAAGAGCAGTGATTCATGGAGCCTTGAGGGGTCTATAGTGGAATGCCCCAGAGATCTGACCTTGGCTCTGTGCTGTTCATCATTTTTCATTTTGCCTATCATACATGCAGATCAAATGAAGCCAGGAGGGTAAAATGAAAACAGTAGAAGATTAAGTTAAGATCCATGTAGTTGTTTAAAAAGCAAGCATGATATCTGGGTCTAATAAGATGAAATCGAATGAAGACATATGTAAAGTCCTAGAGTTGGGTTCAAAAATTCAAATAGTTGAGTACAGGATGGAGGAAGCAAAGAGAGAAAACAGTTCATTTAAAAAACAAAAGCAACAACCATAACCCTCAGGGTGTCAGTGGACAGCAAGCTTAATACAATCAGCTGTGTGACGCAGGATGCAAAAACACTAATGTGATTTTAGACTGCATTAATAGAAGTATAGAATTCAAAAGAGGGTGAAGATAGCTCTCCCTAGCCCCTGCCATTTGCAATTCTTGTCAGACCGACAGGGTATATTGTGTTCAGCTCTGGGCACCACTGTTGGGAAGGACGTTGACAAGCAGGAGCATTACTAGAGTGATCAGGATGAGGAAAGGACTAGAGGCCATGTCATACGTAGGAGGATCACTTGTACTTGAGGGCTAAGAAGGAAATAGTCTCTGCCTTCAAGTAGTTGAGGGGCATGTCAGAGCTATGCAAAATTGGAATGGGCTGCCTTGCATCAGCACTGGCAGTCATCAAGAAAACACTGGATCAGGGCAGCTAGGTGGTGCAGTGGATAGAGCACTGATCCTGGAGTCAAGAGGATCTGAGTTCAAATCTGGCCTCAAACACTTACTAGCTATGTGACCCCAGGCAAGTCACTTGACCCTGTTGCCTCCAAAAAAAAAAAGTGGAAAAAAAAGATACTGGATCCCTATTGTCAGGGATATTGTAGAGGAGATGAACCAGATGCCCTTGGACATCCCTTCCAACTCTAAAAGAGGCACTGTGTGAATTGGTGATCCATAGGGTAAAAATGGTTGACCCTGAAAACTGACATATGCATGAGAAAGGTGATGGTGACTTTGTGAAGTTTATCCTGAATATGGTACCCTTAGTCCACTTCTCCCTTGCTGCCTCTTAGCTGTTTTATCTGATTCTCTCCTGTCTGTTAACCACAAGGCTGTGAGTTGTGTTCAGCTCCCCTCTCCTGTGTGTGATTTCTCACCTGTCTACATGTAGCATGCCTTTATGTGTCTGCAGTGATTAGTGGTATTAGTTGAAATGTTCCATTCATTTCTGTCTACCCTCTTGCTTCCTTGTGGTGTCATGGTCCCAGCTGTTTGGTCTGTTCCTGCCCTGCAGACCAGCCCAGCTAATGCTGAGAAAGTCTATTTTCCTGGGTGGGCAGCTCTGAGGTAGCTTCTCTCCATCTTCCCCTCTTCAGCCCTGCCCACTCGGTTCATCAAAGATCTGGGAAGTATGGAAGCAGCTGAAGGGGCCACGGCCACACTACGCTGTGAGCTGAGCAAAGCAGCCCCTGTGGAGTGGAGGAAAGGGCAGGAGAAGCTCCCAGCCAGTGACAGATACAGCCCAAGGCAGGATGGGGCTGTGTGTGAGTTGGTGATCCACAGGCTGGACATGGAAGATGCTGGAGACTACACCTGTGTGTGTGGAGAAGAGAAGACCACAGCAAATCTGAATGTCAAGGGTAAAGATGACGTACAGGGAAATTGGCAGCTAATTAAGTTTTCTATCCATTGTTGTCGTGTCACCCACCCTATCCCTTCTGTACTGTATTTGTTGTTTCTTCTTCCCCCATTCTAGTTTTTCTGTGTTTCCTCAGTCCTGCTTGTGTCTTTTTCTCAGTCTCAGTCTTCTCCATTTTTCTAACTTTCCTTCCTTTATGTTTGTATCCACCTACCTTCCATGGTCCAGAGCATCTCATGTACTCCGTATCTGCCCAACTATTCTTTAGCTCTACTATATAAATTTATGGGAAAACTACAGAGTGTGGAGGCCCCAGAAGTGGCCACCACCACACTGCACTATGAACTGAGCAAAGTGGTTCCATAGAATAGAGGAAGGTTCTAGAGACACTTAGGGCCAGTGATAGATAACACCTGAAGCAAGATGGGGCAAGATGTGTAGTCCAGATCATAGACTAATCAGGTGCATTTGGACGTAATTGAATGACTGGGACCAAACAATAATTAATAATGGATAGAAGTCAATTTGCAGAGAGGTCTCTGTTATAGATGCTCTATCTATAGATGTTTCCTTATCTTTGTGGTGTCTCCTATTTTTATCAATGACACGGATGGCCATGCTTACCAGACTTGCAGACAACATGAAGCTAGAAGAGATAGCTAATATGTTAGGTGACAAAATCAGAATCCAAATAATTCTTAATGGGCTGGAAAGTCTTCCACTTGGGTTCCAAAAGCCAATTGCACAAGTGCAGAAAACAAGAAGCAAGGACATACTGTATTTGATATGGAAAAAAAATCCTGAAAAGTATTAATCGATGGCATGCTCAACATGAATCAGCAGTATAACATGGCAGCCAGAGAAGATGGTGAATTTTAGGCTGCACCAAGAGAAGCCTAGAGTCTAGAATAAAGGATGTGAGGGTTCTGCTCTTGTCACATTTGAGTACAACATTTGGTGCTCAGTGAAACCTTCAAGGAAGGACACTGCCAAAGTGAAAGACATTCACAACAAAGAGTGAGGACCTAGGTGGAGACCAGGTTGTACAGGGACCAGTTGAAAAATCTAAGGATGGTTTTTCTTGAGGAAGGGAAGATTAGGAGGAGAAAGGGAAACACAACAGGAGATTTCAAATATTTGGAGACATGACAGGTGGCTAAAAGCTTAAATTTGTTCTGATTGACCACAGAGGGCAGAACTCAAATCCTTGGCAGGAAAAGCTGAAGGGAAGAATAGACCTCCTTTATATAATGCATAGAGAGCTAGATGGTACAGCAGATGAATTCGACTAGGAGTCAGGAAGACTTGAGTGCCTCAAACCTTTACTCTGTGTGACTCTGGGCAAGTCACTTAGTCTGTCTCAGCCTCGGTGTGCTCATCTATAAAATGGGGATAATAAAGCATCTACCTCAAAGTGCTGTTGTGAAGACCAAATGACATAGCATACAGAAAGTTCTTTGTGAACTTTAAATCCCTATATAAATGCTAGCTATTATGTATCTGTCATACCAGATGAGCTATATGTAAAGCACTTTGCAACCCTTCAAGTGTTCTGCAAATACTATTATTATTATTATTTATAATGGAACAACTCCCTAATGGTTAAAGTTGTGAAAAAGTGGAATGGGCTGGCTCACATAATCAGGAATTCTCCATTAATAGAAATATTCCAGAGAAATCTTGATAATCACTTTTTCAAGGATCTGGTAGACAGAGAGCACCATGCAGGGACATGGGGTCCGATTGGAGTACATGACCACTGAAGTCCTATTCACCATTGATTCTTTGACTCGATGGCTCCATGGGGGAAGCTGAGCCTGAGCTGGTGATTCATGGGCTCGGCAATGGTGACGTTGGAGACTGCTTGTCCGTGTGGAGAAGAGAAGACAGTGGGGGTGCTGATTCTAAAGAGTTTCTTGAATATAGGACTTTGTTTCTTCCCTTTTCTCCCTCTGTCACTTCCTTTGTTTGTTGAATCCTTACGTGCATTGTCTGGTGCCACGACTCAAATGTGCATCTGGATTCCCAGTTTCATTTCCACTTAGGGCTGTCCTCTCCTATCAGCACCCTAAAGAGTTAGGCCATTTCTCTCCTGGGGGGGGCTATAAGACAAATGATGAGAAATCATGCATTCCCCTGAGTGGGCAGCTCTGAGGCAGCTCCTTTCCATTTTTCCTTCCTAAGCTGTGCCGGCTGAATTCACAAAAGGCCTAAAGATCATGGAGGCCACTGAAGGGTCTATGGTCACCCTACACTGTGAGTTGAGCAAGGCAGCCCCTGTGGAGTGGAGGAAGGGGCCAGAGATGCTCAGAGCCAGTGACAGATACAGCCCAAGGCAGGATGGGGCTGTGTGTGAGCTGGTGATCCCAAGGCTGGCCATGGAAGATGCTGGAGACTACAGCTGTGTGTGTGGAGAGGAGAAGACCAAGGCCACCTTGACCGTCAAGGGTAAAGACAATATGTGGGAAGATGAGCCTGTGGTTTGGTTATCCTTTTGATGCCTCATCGCTGACCTCAACCTTTCCATTGCTATGGTCTCCCTTCCTCTGGCTGTGCGTGTTTTCCATATTTTTCTAGCCCTATTTTTAGTTGTGTTTTTTTTTTTACAACCCAACAGGCTGTGCTCAGAAAGAAATGTCTGTGTCCCATTTCCACAATGCTGAGCCTAGTACCCACCCTCTCTACCCTTGCATCTTCCCACTTTTGTTGTCTCTGTTTACCTGCTTTTTCCCGTCTGAGAAATCTCATGCTTTCCATATATGTCTGCCCATTTCTCAGCCCTTCCTGCCCAGTTCACACAGGTTCTGAGGGCTGTGGAAGCCACAGAAGGAGATAAAGCCATACTGAGGTGTCAACTGAGCAAGACAGCCACTGTGGAGTGGAGGAAGGGGCCAGAGAGGCTTCAAGCCAGTGACAAATACAGCCCAAGGCAAGATGGGGCTGTGTGTGAGCTGGTGATCCCTAGGCTGGCCATGGAAGATGCTGGAGACTATACCTGTGTGTGTGGAGAGGAGAAGACCAAGGCCACCTTGACTGTCAAGGGTAAAGATGACGTGTGGGAAAATCACCTCACTGTTTAATTGTCTGTCCAGCATTGCCTTGTCCTCACTTCAGCCCATCTCCTTTTGGTGTCTGCTCCCTTCTGTTGCTCTGTCTCATAGCTCCTCTATGACTCCTCAACCTGCTAGACCAAGAGAAGGCTCCATCCAAAACTGTTTCCCACTTCCTATTCCTCCATCTTTCTGTTTTTCCATCCATTGAGTCCATATCTAACCACTCTCTGACCTACATGGAGTCTCATGTTCTCTATCTCTGTCTGACCCTTTCTCAGCCCTGCCTGCCAAGTTCACAAAAGTTCTACAGAAGACTGAGGCCACTGAAGGATCCATGGTCATCCTACACTGTGAGCTGAGCAAGGCAGCCCCTGTGGAGTGGAGGAAGGGGCCAGAGAAGCTGCAAGCCAGTGACAGATACAGCCTGAGGCAGGATGGGGCTGTGTGTGAGCTGGTGATCCCCAGGCTGGACATGGAAGATGCTGGAGACTACACCTGTGTGTGCAGAGACGAGATGACCACAGCGATTCTGACTGTGAAGGGTAAAGAGGATGTGGGGGAAATTCATCTCATTGTTTGATTGTCCAGAATTTCCTTATCCATGTATTCAGATCATCTGTGATGTCTCCTTCCTATGTCTGCTCTTCTTTTACCCTGTCCCTCAATTGCTATGTGACATCTAAGCCAACTGACCAAACAGAAGATATCTTCTACAACTCATTCTCACTTCTCATTCTCTCCATATTTCTGTTTTCCCTTCCATTGAGTCCATGTGTGGCCACCCTTTTCCTTCCAGTGAGCCTCATGTTCTCTGTATCTGGTGACCCTTTCTCAGCCCTGCCTGCCAAGTTCACAAAAGTTCTACAGAAGACTGAGGCCACTGAAGGATCCATGGTCACCCTACACTGTGAGCTGAGCAAGGCAGCCCCTGTGGAGTGGAGGAAGGGGCCAGAGAAGCTTCAGGCCAGTGACAGATACAGCGTGAGGCAGGATGGGGCTGTGTGTCAGCTGGTGATCCCTAGACTGGCCATGGATGATGCTGGAGACTACACCTGTGTGTGTGGGGAGGAGAAGACCAAGGCAACCTTGATTGTCAAGGGTAAAGATGACGTGTGGGAAAATCACTTCATTGTTTAACTGTCTGTCCAGCATTGCCTTGTCCTCACTTCAGGCCATTTGTGATATCTCCTTTTGATGTCTGCTCCCTTCTGTTGCTCTGTCTCATAGCTCCTCTATGACTCCTCAACCTGCTAGACCAAGAGAAGACTCCATCCATAACTGTTTCCCACTCCCTATTCCTCCATCTTTCTGTTTTTCCATCCATTGAGTCCATATCTAACCACCCTCTGACCTACACGGAGTCTCATGTTCTCTATCTCTGTCTGACCCTTTCTCAGCCCTGCCTGCCAAGTTCACAAAAGTTCTACAGAAGACTGAGGCCACTGAAGGATCCATGGTCATCCTACACTGTGAGCTGAGCAAGGCAGCCCCTGTGGAGTGGAGGAAGGGGCCAGAAAAACTCCAAGCCAGTGACAGATACAGCGTGAGGCAGGATGGGGCTGTGTGTGAGCTGGTGATCCCCATCCTGGCCATGGAAGATGCTGGAGATTACACCTGTGTGTGTGGGGAGGAGAAGACCAACGCAACCTTGATTGTCAAGGGTAAAGATGACGTGTGGGAAAATCAGTTCATTGTTTGGTTGTCTGTCCAGCATTGCCTTGTCCTGAGTTCAGGTCATCTCTGATGTCTCATTCCTATGTCTTCTCTCAGTTTTGGTCCCATCTCCCAGCTCCTCTATGACACCTCATCCAGGAGAAAGCTCCATCCATAACTCATTCCTGTTTCCTATTCTCTCTGTCTTTCTGTTTTCCCTCCCATTGAGTCTACGTCTAACCACCCTCTGACCTTTAGTGAGTCTCATGTTCTCCATCTCTGTCTGACCCTTTCTCAGCCCTGCCTGCCAAGTTCACAAAAGTTTTACAGAAGACTGAGGCCACTGAAGGGTCCATGGTCACCCTACACTGTGAGCTGAGCAAAGCAGCCCCTGTGGAGTGGAGGAAGGGGCCAGAGAAGCTGCAAGCCAGTGACAGATACAGCCTGAGGCAGGATGGGGCTGTGTGTGAGCTGGTGATCCCCAGGCTGGACATGGAAGATGCTGGAGACTACGCCTGTGTGTGCAGAGACGAGATGACCACAGCGATTCTGACTGTGAAGGGTAAAGAGGATGTGGGGGAAATTCATCTCATTGTTTGATTGTCCAGAATTTCCTTATCCACGTATTCAGATCATCTGTGATGTCTCCTTCCTATGTCTGCTCTTCTTTTACCCTGTCCCTCAATCGCTATGTGACATCTAAGCCAACTGACCAAACAGAAGATATCTCCTGCAACTCATTCTCACTTCTCATTCTCTCCATATTTCTGTTTTCCCTTCCATTGAGTCCATGTGTGGCCACCCTTTTCCATCCAGTGAGTCTCATGTTCTCTGTATCTGTCTGACCCTTTCTCAGCCCTGCCTGCCAAGTTCACAAAAGTTCTACAGAAGACTGAGGCCACTGAAGGGTCTGTGGCCACTCTACACTGTGAGCTGAGCAAGGCAGCCCCTGTGGAGTGGAGGAAGGGGCCAGAAAAGCTCCAAGCCAGTGATAGATACAGCGTGAGGCAGGATGGGGCTCTGTGTGAGCTGGTGATCCCCATGCTGGCCATGGAAGATGCTGGAGATTACACCTGTGTGTGTGGGGAGGAGAAGACCAAGGCAACCTTGATTGTCAAGGGTAAAGATGACGTGTGGGAAAATCAGTTCATTGTTTGGTTGTCTGTCCAGCATTGCCTTGTCCTGAGTTCAGGTCATCTCTGATGTCTCATTCCTATGTCTTCTCTCAGTTTTGGTCCCATCTCCCAGCTCCTCTATGACACCTCATCCAGGAGAAAGCTCCATCCATAACTCATTCCTGTTTCCTATTCTCTCTGTCTTTCTGTTTTCCCTCCCATTGAGTCTACGTCTAACCACCCTCTGACCTTTAGTGAGTCTCATGTTCTCCATCTCTGTCTGACCCTTTCTCAGCCCTGCCTGCCAAGTTCACAAAAGTTTTACAGAAGACTGAGGCCACTGAAGGGTCCATGGTCACCCTACACTGTGAGCTGAGCAAAGCAGCCCCTGTGGAGTGGAGGAAGGGGCCAGAGAAGCTTCAGGCCAGTGACAGATACAGCGTGAGGCAGGATGGGGCTGTGTGTGAGCTGGTGATCCCCATCCTGGCCATGGAAGATGCTGGAGATTACACCTGTGTGTGTGGGGAGGAGAAGACCAAGGCAACCTTGATTGTCAAGGGTAAAGATGACGTGTGGGAAAATCAGTTCATTGTTTGGTTGTCTGTCCAGCATTGCCTTGTCCTGAGTTCAGGTCATCTCTGATGTCTCATTCCTATGTCTTCTCTCAGTTTTGGTCCCATCTCCCAGCTCCTCTATGACACCTCATCCAGGAGAAAGCTCCATCCATAACTCATTCCTGTTTCCTATTCTCTCTGTCTTTCTGTTTTCCCTCCCATTGAGTCTACGTCTAACCACCCTCTGACCTTTAGTGAGTCTCATGTTCTCCATCTCTGTCTGACCCTTTCTCAGCCCTGCCTGCCAAGTTCACAAAAGTTTTACAGAAGACTGAGGCCACTGAAGGGTCCATGGTCACCCTACACTGTGAGCTGAGCAAAGCAGCCCCTGTGGAGTGGAGGAAGGGGCCAGAGAAGCTGCAAGCCAGTGACAGATACAGCCTGAGGCAGGATGGGGCTGTGTGTGAGCTGGTGATCCCCAGGCTGGACATGGAAGATGCTGGAGACTACACCTGTGTGTGCAGAGACGAGATGACCACAGCGATTCTGACTGTGAAGGGTAAAGAGGATGTGGGGGAAATTCATCTCATTGTTTGATTGTCCAGAATTTCCTTATCCATGTATTCAGATCATCTATGATGTCTCCTTCCTATGTCTGCTCTTCTTTTACCCTGTCCCTCAATTGCTATGTGACATCTAAGCCAACTGACCAAACAGAAGATATCTTCTACAACTCATTCTCACTTCTCATTCTCTCCATATTTCTGTTTTCCCTTCCATTGAGTCCATGTGTGGCCACCCTTTTCCTTCCAGTGAGCCTCATGTTCTCTGTATCTGTCTGACCCTTTCTCAGCCCTGCCTGCCAAGTTCACAAAAGTTCTACAGAAGACTGAGGCCACTGAAGGATCCATGGTCACCCTACACTGTGAGCTGAGCAAGGCAGCCCCTGTGGAGTGGAGGAAGGGGCCAGAGAAGCTTCAGGCCAGTGACAGATACAGCGTGAGGCAGGATGGGGCTCTGTGTGAGCTGGTGATCCCCAGGCTGACCATTGAAGATGCTGGAGACTATACCTGTGTGTGTGGAGAGGAGAAGACCAAAGCCACCTTAACTGTTAAGGGTAAAGACCATGTTTGGGAAAATCACCTCATTACTTGCTTTTCTGTCCTACATTTCTTTGCTGTTATGTACCCAAGCCATATTGTGGTCTCTCTTGATATCAAAATGTGCTGTATTATTTCCATGTCTCTTCTACCTTTTTTTCCCTAAGTATTCTCTGATCTCTCACCAGATTTACTCATGAGAAGATCCATGCCATGGTCCCAATGCTCTTATTCTCCCCTGTCTTGTAGCCCTGTCCAGTCTTGTCTATGTCTTATTACAGTCCCATACTGCTTGTCTCTCTGGGGAGTCTTGGGTTCTCTGTGCCTGTCTGAGAATATGTTAGCCCTGCCTGAAAGTTGATGTCAGGGGAAGGATACCAGGGGTGGGCGAGAATTAGTTTTAATTATCTTAAAGATTGTTCAAATTTCAATGTGAGCCTTTATACTTCAGAAATTGACGAGTGTTACAAATCAGAGCTTGATTTTTTATTTTGTGGATGATCTAGAATTAAGATTAAACTTAAAAGCATGTGCATATACATTCCCCCCCACCCTGCCCCGCCACTTCCCCCCCACCTCCAGAGCCTGGTTGTTAAACATTTACCATGGAGCAGCTAAGTAGCACAGTGGATAGAATACCAGCCCTGGAGTCAGAAGGACCTGAGTTCAAATCTGATCTCAGATTAGACACTTGACACTTAGCAACTATGTGACCCTGGGCAAGTCACTTAACCCCAATTGCCTTGCCCCCCCAAAAAAAATTACAATGAGCCCTTGTATTGCTCCATAAACATTTCTTTAGCTAAGCAGAAGTGAAGTAGAAGCCTTAGGGAATTAAGTCATCAACAAACAGGAGGCCTGATGACTGTAGGTAATTGATGATGATGATGATGATGATGATGATGATGATGATGATGATGATGATGATGATACTTGGTATTTCTACAGCATTTTGAGATGTATAAATTGCTTTCTGTCCATTATCTAATTTGAGCCTGCCATCATCCCTGGTGGAGACTTCAGAAGGGGCTGCCCTATGTACAGAAGAAGTCAGAATCCTGTCCTCACCAAATCCCAGAACCTCAGGGCTGGAAGGGGTCACACAAGTCACTGACTGCCATTTACACCCATGATATTCTATGATATTCTCAACCAGTAGTCATGTAGCTTCTGCTCAAAGACCTTTGGTGACCCTTACCCAAGGCAGCCACTTCTACTTTGGGACAGTTCTAATTGTTGGAAGGTTCTTCCCTCCCAGCACCTGGGGTAGTGAAGTTAGAGGCTGGGTAAGTCACTCACAATGCTGAGGAAATGGGAGCTAAGTGTTAGAATAATGAAGGGGTCTTAGATCTAGTTGGGTAAAAGTAGGAAGGCAGTGTGGATTAATGGAAAGGATTTAGGGTCAGAAGACCTAAGTTCAAATCTTCACTCTGCTCCTTACTACTTGGGGAATTGGAGTGAGTCATCCTCTCTGGACCTCATTTTCTTTATTGACATTGGACTAGGTGATCTCTAAAGATTCTTCCAACTCTAAATCTGTGATCTTTTATGATCCTGGTTTGATGTTATCCTGGAGACATCTATAGTGGAGAACTACAAGAATCTGAGTTTATTTAGCCTTATGTTGTTCATAATTTTTAATTAGTAACTTAAATAAAGCCAGAGAAATATGGCCATCATGTTTGCAGATGGAATGGGGGTGGGTGGGATAAAAAAAAAAGCATCCTTAGAATATAGTCAGGGTCCAAATAGTTCTTGACAAGCCAGAATGGTGGGTAATCTATTAAAATGAATTTTAACAGAGTCCAATTTTGGAAAGTCTTGTCCATGAGTCCAGAAATTCAACAATAATGATGATGATGATGATCTTCAGTCATTTTCAGTCATATCCAAGTCTTTGTGACCCCAGTGGAGTTTTCTCAGTAAGATGCTGGAGTGGTTTGCCATTTGCTTCTCCAGCACTGAGGCAAACATGGTTAAGTGACTTACCCAGAGTCACGCAGCTAGTAAGTGTCTAAGGCCAGATTTGAACTCATGAAGGTGAATCTCCCTGACTTAAGGCCTAGCACTCTGTCTACTGTGCCACCTAACTGCCCTGGATGAGACAAGGATGTACAATTATTCATATGAAAAAACTCTGCCCCTGTCTGGCCATATATGGAGTATTCTTCTGAACTCTTATGGAGAAGTCACTTTTGAGGAAGGCTACTTATGAGCAGAAGCATGAGTAGAATGATCAGAATGATGACAGAACTGGAGGTCATGTCATAAGAGTATAATCATAGAATTTAGGAATGCTTTGGAGGCAGTTAGGTGGTGCAATAGATAGCATGCCAGGCCTGGAGTCAGGAAGACTTCTCTTCTTGAGTTCAAATCCAGCCTCAGACACTGGCTTTGTGGTCCTGGGCAAGTCATTTAACCCTGTTTGCCTCAGTTTCTTCATCTGGAGAAGGAAATAGCAAACCACTCCAGCACCTTTGCCAAGAAAATCCCAAAAAGTGTCACAAAGAGTTGGATACAACTGAAAAATGACTAAACAACAACAAAAGGAATGTTTAGCTTAGAAAAGGAAAAAGTTAAGGAAGAAATGTCTTTTTCTTCAAGTATCTGAAGAGCATTTAGAAGAGGGACTGGATTTATTCTGTCTGGTCCCATTGGGCAGAGCTAAAATTGGTGAGGGAAGTTGCAAAGACAGGTACTGGTGCTGTGTGAAGCAAAACTTGGGAACAATCAGAGCTGTGTGAAAGAGGAATAGGATGCCTTGGGAGGTAGTGAGCTCTCCATCACTGGAAGTCATCAAGCAGAGGCTGGATGACCATTCGTTAGGGATATTATGGAGGATACAAAGATGGATGAGATGGCCTTAGAGGCCTCCCTTCCAACTCTGAGACTATGTAATAGGGTAAGGCTCTGTGGGAGTTGGCAGTGCACAAAGTGGACGTGGTTGGCCGTAGACCTTAGAAACTGACGTGTGAAAAGTGATGCTGACCACAGTGATACTAACCCTGAAAAGTATCTCGAATGCTAGACATCTCACTTGTTTTTTCCATACTATCTCTTCACTGTTTCATCCTGTCTCTGTTAACCAGAAGGCTGGCACTAGGGTTGATTTACCCCTGTGTCAGTCTTTTCACCTCCCCCTTCTAGTGTAGCATAAAATCAAGCTGTGTCTCATAATATGAATTGGATTATTCAATATGTTCCCTGGTCCGCTATCTCTGGCCTCCTTGTGCTGTTGGAGTCCCAGCTGGTTAGCTGGTCCAGTCCCATCCAGGTGGCCATAGAGTGAATGCTGAGAGAATTCAGGTTGCCTGGATGGGCAACCCTGAGGCAGGTTCTTTGCATCTCTCCCTTCTCAGCTTTGCCTGCTCAATTCACAAAAGGTCTGTGGAGCATAGAGGCTAACGAAGGGGCCACAGCAACACTGCACTGTGAGCTGAGCAAGGTAGCCCCTGTGGAGTGGAGGAAGGGGCCAGAAAAGCTCCAAGCCAGTGACAGATACAGCCCAAGGCAGGATGGGGCTGTGTGTGAGCTGGTGATCCACAGGCTGGACGTGGAAGATGCTGGAGACTACACCTGTGTGTGTGGGGAGGAGAAGACCAAGGGAACCTTGACTGTCAAGGGTAAAGATGACATGTGGGAAAATCACTTCACTGTTTGGTTGTCTGTCCAGCATTGCCTTGTCCTGAGTTCAGGTCATCTCTGATGTCTCATTCCTATGTCTTCTCTCAGTTTTGGTCCCATCTCCCAGCTCCTCTATGACACCTCATCCAGGAGAAAGTTCCATCCGTAACTCATTCCTGTTTCCTATTCTCTCTGTCTTTCTGTTTTCCTCTCCATTGAGTCTATGTCTAACTACCCTCTGACCTTTAGTAAGTCTCATGTTCTCCATCTCTGTCTGACCCTTTCTCAGCCCTGCCTGCCAAGTTCACAAAAGTTCTGCAAAAGACTGAGGCCACTGAAGGATCTATGGTCACCCTATACTGTGAGCTGAGCAAAGCAGCCCCTGTGGAGTGGAGGAAGGGGCCAGAGAAGCTTCAGGCCAGTGACAGATACAGCCTGAGGCAGGATGGGGCTGTGTGTGAGCTGGTGATCCCCATGCTGGCCATGGATGATGCTGGAGACTATACATGTGTGTGTGGAGAGGAGAAGACCAAGGCCACCTTGACTGTCAAGGGTAAAGACCATGTGTGGGACAATCACCTCATCGTTTGTTGTCTGTCCAACATTGCTTTGTCCTGAGTTCAGGCCATGTGTGATGTGTCCTTTTGATGTCTGCTTTCTTCTTTTGCTCTGTATCATAGCTCTTCTATGACTCTTCAGCCTGCTAGACCAAGAGAAGGCTCCATCCATAACTGCTCTCCACTTGCTATTCTCTCTGTCTTTCTGTTTTCCTGTCCATTGAGTCTATGTCTAGCCACCCTCTAACCTTTAGGGACTCTCATGTTCTCTATCTCTGTCTGGCCCTTTCTCAGCCCTGCCTGCCAAGTTCACAAAAGTTCTACAAAAGACTGAGGCCACTGAAGGCTCCATGGTCACCCTACATTGTGAGCTGAGCAAGGCAGCCCCTGTGGAGTGGAGGAAGGGGCCAGAGAAGCTTCAGGCCAGTGACAGATACAGCGTGAGGCAGGATGGGGCTTTGTGTGAGCTGGTGATCCCCAGGCTGGCCATGGATGATGCTGGAGACTATACATGTGTGTGTGGAGAGGAGAAGACCAAGGCCACCTTGATTGTCAAGGGTAAAGATGACGTGTGGGAAAATCACCTCATTTTTTGGTCGTCTGTCCATCATTGCCTTGTCCTGAGTTCAGGCCATCTGTGGTGTCTCATTTCTATGTCTCTCTCTTTTTTGGCTCTATCACCCTGCTCCTCTATGACTCCCCAGCCTACTTGACCAAGAAAAGGCTTCATCTATAACTCATTCTCATTATTTATTCTCTCCATCTTTCTGTTTTCCCCTTAATTATGTTCATGTCCAGTCATCCCTTTCCCTCCAGGGAATCTCATGTTCTCTATATCTGTCTGACCCTTTCTCAGCTCTGCCTGCCAAGTTCATAAAAGTTCTCCAGAGCATTGAGGCCACTGAAGAATCTAGGGTCACCTTACACTGTGAGCTGAGCAAGGCAGCCCCTGTGGAGTGGAGGAAGGGACGGGAGAAGCTCCAAGTCAGTGACAGATACAACCCAAGGCAGGATGGAGCTGTGTGTGAGCTGGTGATCCCCAGGCTGGCCATGGAAGATGCTGGAGACTATACCTGTGTGTGCGGAGAGGAGATGACCACAGCGACTCTGACTGTCAAGGGTAAAGAGGATGTGGGGGGAAATCAGCCTCTGGCTTCATTTTTTCCTTCATTTCATTTCATTGTTACTTTGTCCTCTAACCCAGTGGCTTCCATGATGCCATGTTTTCCATGTCATCACTACTCCTACCTTCTCCATGTAGGTCTTTCTGTACGTTTTCTCCTCCCTATATTTCCTCTGTTCTGTTCACCCCCTGCCTCTAGTACCTTTGCCACACAAGGCTGACCCAAGAGAAGTCCCCATGTCAATGACGTTTCCTGTTCCCAACCTCTCCAGCTTTTAGGAATCCCCTCTCTTCTATCTATGAACCTTCCTACCTCTAGCAAACATTGTGTTCTCTGTGTGTCATGTCTTGTTATCTCTAGTGTTGTCCCGTGGCCCACCCTATAGATGTCATTATATGTCTTGTTGTCCGCATCCATGACTCTCTAGCTGTCACCTTCCTATATTCCCAATGCCCAAGAGCTAGACACGTCTGTATGTCATTCCTTGCCTGCTGTCCCCACTGCATGGTCCCCAGATGCTCCCTTTGTTTTTCCATTCAAAGGTGGCTCCTGGCCACTTGCCCCCTGACTTCAGAGGAGGCTCACATTATCCACATTTGTCTGACCATTTCCCAGTCCTCCCCAATAAGTTCACAGAAGAACTCCACATCACAGAGGCCATAGAAGGAACTATAGCCACACTGTGCTGTCAACTGAACAAGGCAGCCCCTGTAGAGTGGAGGAAGGGGTCAGAGATGCTTCAGGACAGTGACCGATACAGATTGAGGCAGGATGGGGCTGTGTATGAGCTGGTGATCCACAGGCTGGACATAGATGATGCTGGAAACCATACATGTGTGTGGAAAGGAGAGAACCACAGTGACTAGTTGTGAAGGGTACAAAGAAATACACTAGGGTCTGGTGGAAAGAGTCCTTTGTCTTAAGTTAGACTCAGAATATCTGGGTTCAAATCCTGAATCACTTGATATGTGACTTTTAGCAAATCTCTGGGCCTCAGTCTTCTCATCTGCAGAATGGGGATAATTGTGCTGTAACCTCAGATGGATGTTGTGAAGAAAGTGTCTTTTGAACAAAATGCTCTCGAAATGTTTATTACTGTTACCAAACAAATACCAGTGTTCTGCTCAGATGTATGTATAGGATTTGGCCATAATTGAATAGGAAGCCTTGGGCAGCAGAGAATGATGGCAGTCACAGACAGGGCTTATTCAGCTGGGGATAAGGGCAGGGAATATTCATGTTGTGGTAGTACAAGCCCCAGATTTGGAATTAGAGGATGAGTGTCTAGGTCTTAGCTCTGCTACTTACTTCTTGTCTCCTCATCTTAAAAATGAAGGGGTCATGCAGGAGGACTTATAAGGTCCCTTTCAACTCTGTTGTTCTTATTTATTCATTTTTCTCAGTTGTGTCTGACTCTATGTGACCCCTTTCAGGGTTTTCTTGGCAAAGATACTGGAATTGTTTGCCGTTTCCTTCTCCAGCTCATTTTACAGATGAGGAAATTGAGGCAAATAGGGTTAAATGACTTACCCAGGGTCTGAAGCTAGATTTGAACTTAGGAAGAGAAGTCTTCCTGACTCCAGGTCCAGCATTTTATCCATGGGGTCATTTAGCTGCCCTTCTTTCAACTCTATGCCCCTAGGAATTCTACTCCTCCCCTTCTTCTCCCCAATTTTATAGAAAAGGAAACTCAAGCCCAGAGAAAAGTGACTGGCTCAAGATCACTAGGTGAATAGGGGCTGGGCTAAAGCGTTTGGTTCTCTCTCTAGACCTCAGTGGAATAAATTTCCTATTCTGAGGGTGTGAGATACACTGATCATTCTACCCTGCTCCTCCCACCTGCAGCCCAAACGGTGGTGTTCCGGAAACCCCTGAAAAGCCAGCAGGCTGATGAGGGTGGGATGGCTACCCTTCGGTGTGAACTCTCTAAGCCTGAAGCCCCAGTGATCTGGAGCAAAGGTGGCCTGGAGATTCAGGCTGATGAGAGGATCCAGGTACGCCAGAGGGGCTGTATAGCCGAGTTGCTGATTAGTCACCTGCAGCTGGAGGACACGGGGGACTACAGTTGTGACTGTGGCGACCAGACCACCAGCGCCACTCTGACTGTCAAAGGTGAGTACGGCCGGCCAGCCAGCTGTGGCAGAGAGGATGGGGCCAGGAGATGATCAGTCCTGGCACATTAGACCCTGTTCTGGGCACCTAGGCAGAGGACAAAGGTGACATGGAAGAAGGAAGAGATGGGAGCCCCAATGCTTACAAGCACTTGGACTGGGGATAAGGCAGCCCCCAGGCCAAGTTAAATCAAGTTAACAAGCATTTATTAAGTGCCTACTATGTACCAGGCATTGTGCTAAGTGCTGAAGATACAAAGAAAAGCAACCACTCGTCCCTGCTCTCCAGGAGCTCATAGTCTAATGGGGGAGAAAACAGGCAAATAGCTATGTGCCAGCAAGATTTTTTTAAAATGGAGAATGCTTCTCAGAGGGAAGGCACTAGCTTTAAGAGGGGACTAGGAAAGGCTTTCTGCAGAAAGTGGGACGGTAGCTGAAGCTCCAAAGAAAGCAGGGTGCGAAAGCCAGGCTGCAGAGATGAAGAGGGAGAGAGTTCCAGAAGTGAGGGAGAGCCAGAGGAAATGCCTGTAGTCAGGAGATGGAGCGTTTGATATAGGAACATCAAGGTTGGTGTCACTGGATCTCAGAGCGTGGGGGAGGGGGAGTGAGGTAGAAGCAGACTAGAAAGGTCGGGAGGGGTCAACTCTTAGGGAGCCTGTGATTAGAGGGGAGAAGGGACTTCCGTGGAGGAGGAGGGGTTACCTGCAAAGGAAAGCAGATAGCTGTATAGATACATGCATCCCTTAGAGAGAACAGTCATAGGAATTCCAAAGACAACTCCTCTTTCCATTCCATTCCATTACAATCAAATCAGTTTGCCAAGTATTTGTGAAGTGTCCACAGTGATGAGAATATGGTACTGTCAAAAGAGTTATATTCTTTGATATCCTGTCAACCCAAGAAAACTTCCTGGATGAGAAAGAATTATTTAGGACCAGCTTGACTGGTAGTAGATTAATCAGTCCAGTTGATCAGTAAACATTTATTAAATCATTAGTTCTAGCACTGTCCTGAGTACTGGGAATGCAAAGAAATGTAAAAACAACTCCTGCCCTCAAAGAGCTTACATTCTAATGAATGTAAATCATCTAAATTCTAGTGGATGATTTGGGAGGTGAAAGGTGGGTTGGGACTTTGGGAAAATGAGGGCTCTGGTGTGCATGATGAGGGAAGATTTCCGAAGCTCTAGAAAATATGGCCAATGGGATCTGCAGCGCTGTGGGCACCAACCAAAAATCTCTGGGATCATGAGGGTGGCCCTTCCTTCCTAGCCCCTGGAGGAGCAATCCCCAGTCTTGGCATTGTCCTCTCCGCCTTTGTAGCCCTGCCTGTGGTGTTCCAGAAGAAGCTGCAGGCCCAGGATGGGGAGGTGGGCTCCACCATTCGGCTACACTGTGAGCTCAGCAAGGAGGACGCAAGTGTGGAGTGGAGGAAGGGAGCAGTGCAGCTGTTTCCCTGTGCCAAATATGAGATGGTGCTCAAGGGGACAGTGGCCGAGCTCCTCATCCACGATGCTGAACAGGAGGACACGGGTGACTACACATGTGACACGGGGGACCAGCAGACCACTGCTACCCTTACAGTGAATGGTGAGCATGAGATCTCTCTGGTATCTTCTCCTTCCTCCTCCCTGTGATCCGCATGTCTATTTTATCCTCATCACTAACCTGTGCCTTCCTTATTCTCACTCCTGAGACATACTTCTCTATACTCATTGCCCGTCCGACCCTTTGGAATTGGAGATAAAGATAGGGATTTTCCACGGCCCCATCTTCATCCTTACTTACTATGTGTGTCCCTCCATCCTATCTATACCTATATGAGTGAGTCTACCAGTCTGCTCACCCCTCCAATCAAATCAGCCCCAATCACTTTTCCTGGAAGACCTTTCTGGATGAACCCTACCCACCTTCAATCACTTTATCCTCAGTACTAGAAGACAAGTTATACTACAGGCATACTTCCATTTCCAAAACAGAGCTTTCCTGAAAGTTTTGAATAAATCACAGAATTCTAGTAATCACAGATCACCAAGGCTAGAAAGGATCCAAATTAGCAACCCCGTAATCCAGATCCCTTATTTTACAGGGGAAGGAACAAAAACCTAATGTAACTTGCCCAGTGTTAGGCTGACAAGAGTGAGGAAATCAAATTTGATCTAATAAAATCCTGTCTGCCTATTGGTTTATATGCTAATTTTGGAGCTATTTGAATGGCGATTTCTTGAGTATTGTGCAGTACAGAAACACTGAGTACATTGTAGTCTCAGGCCTGAATGACATCTAGCACAGTGGGGAGATATAGGACTGCCCAACCATGCAATACTTATGAGAGAAATAAAAGACAAGAACTTTGCCCTTGAGAGGCTTACAGTCTAATAGGAATACAAAATGAATAGATAATATGCAACCTGCTCTCAGTTACAAAGCAACAGTATGAATCCATAAAGCAGAGCCCAGTAACCCTCCACTGCCATCCTTCTCTGGTGCCTTGATGTGGCATGGAGTGGACCTTAGGCTCTGGAAGACTGTGCCGTCAGATTCTAGAAAGCAGGACAGGAATTCAGTCCAGGGCCAGAGGTGGACGGCTTCTACTGTCTGAGGACCAGTCTAATTATGTATGGAGGGACTTGTCACCCCATTTGGAGGGTTGGCCACCAGGGAAAGAACTTAGTCTCATTTTAGCAACTAATTAAGAACCATCTACTAAGGTGTGGAAGGATTGTGCTTAATGTGACTGGTGGGAAACACCCACATTGTCAAGATTATGAATCCTTAGACTTTTAGTATATAATCCAAAGCCCCTTAGTACTTAATGGAGTACTTAACTAAAGGAATGGTTACACAGGAATGGAGTCAATCCAGCAGGCTCCCTGGAGGAGGTGAGTTTTGGATGAACTCTTGATGGAAGTAAGGAGAGTGATATTTCAGGTGGGAGGTTGCAAGGTGAGTTAACAAGATATTTGCAAGAAGAAGAATGACAGGTAAAGGAGAGAAGCCAGCACAGGGTAAAGGTGAGATAACAGTTGACAGAAGAACCTTTAAAGGCCAGGCTGGGAAGTTTTAGCTTGATCCAGTGGTTGACAGTCTTGAGTAGCCTCTGTCATACTACTCCTAACCGCCCCCTGCCCCTATGCCTCACCCCACAGTCCCCAAGCCCAAGTTCAAGACTCGCCTGCACAGTGAAGAGCTGGAGGAAGGTACTACAGCCCGACTACACTGTGAGCTGAGTGTGGCCCAGGCCACTGTTGAGTGGAGGAAGGAGGGTGAGCTGCTGCGGCCTGGCTCCAAGTATGAGATGAGGAAGGAAGGAAGTATCTGTGAGCTTCTGATACATGGCCTGGAGGCCAAGGACACTGGCGAGTATGCCTGTGTGGCTGGTGATCAGAAGACCCTGGCTACAGTCAAGGTGAAAGGTAAATTCCACTTCTTCTAGGAGTGCCCTAGAAGGGTACTCTAAGGGGCCATTAATCATAGAAAGTCAGAGCTAGAAAGGACCTGAGAACATGGAAGGGTGGGGTAGAAGGGCTAGAATGTTAGACCCAGGGTGGGACCTTAAAAGACAGAATGTCAAAGCTGGAAAGGACCTGGGAACATGGAAGGGAATAGAAGGGACCTGCAGGTATGGAATGTTAGAGCCAGGTGGGACCTTAAAAAGACAGCATGTCAAACTGGAAAGGACCTTAGAACATAGAATGTCAGAGCTGGAAAGGACCTGAGGGCATAAAATGTTAGAGCCAGGGTGGGACCTGAAAAGACAGAATGTCAAAGCTGGAAAAGACCTGAGAACATGGAAAGGCAAGAGTAGAAGGGACCTGAGGGCATAGAATGTTAGAGTCAGGTGGGACCTTAAAAGGCAGAATGTCAAAACTGGAAAGGACCTTAGAACATAGAATGTCAGAGCTGGAAAGGGCCAAAGAGCATAGACTGACCACCACCACCACCACCATTTTACAAATGGAGAAACAGGTTTCACATCTAGCCAGCAGTCAAGTGGGGCCCTGACCCCAAATCTCCTGACTCCCAGTGAAATTCTCTTTCCACCACACCATGCTGTTTCTTTAATCAGCCATATCACCAAACAATTATTTATGGGGTCCCTACAGTATGGTGTAGTGAGCAGGGTCCTGGGCCTGGAGTGGGGAAGCCCTAAGTTCAAAGCCTGCCTCAGACACTTACTGACTGTGTGACCCTGGTTAAGTCAATTAGCCTATGTCTGCCTCAGTTTCCTCAACTATAAAATGTAGATAATAATACCACCTATCTCCCAGAGCTTTTGTGAGGATTCAAGGAGATATTAATTATAAAGTGCTTAGCACAGTGCCTGGTGGGCTGTGGTAGGTGCCTAATAAATGCTCCTCCTCTGTGTCCTACCCTAATGAGGCAGAATGGGGAATGAATACATAATAATAGTAATAGTCATTTCCATTTCTAGAACACATTTCTACTCACAGCACTTACCTCACAGCTCGGTGCAGGAGTTGTCATAAATATTGTCATCCAAGTTTCGAAGATGAAGGAACAGAGAGGCGGGGATTGACTTGCTCACAGTCACAGAAGCTGGGGCTGGAACCCAAGTCTCCTGTCCCCAGTTCTCCAACATCCTACATATAAGACAGAAAAGGCCTGAGCGTTTCCCTGAGTAACGTTTTAGCTGGGGAGGCAAGATGTAGACACAAAAGATAATTAGAAGAAACCAAGAGGCAGGTGTGAGGCATGATTTGTAATATATATTTATGAACCTTCTCCTGCCTCTTGTGATTATAGAGAAACAGAGCCAGGACAAGGCGTGGGAGTGGTACAGGAAAGTTTTGAAGATTATGTATGTCCTTTAAGTGGCCCAGTTCACTGGAGCTTCACCCTAACACATGTATCATGACAGGAGCAATGACAATCCACATAAAGGGGGACCTTCTGGCATGAAAAAAGTCCCATGAAAGAGTGTCCCTCATGGCTCCTTGCTGTGTGCTGTGCAATCCTGGCTATGTCTGCCTTTGTGGAAACCCAAAGGAAACTCCCACATTCTAGCTGCTGTGCTTGAGTGAGCTTCCTTTCCCTTCTGATCTTCAGTCTCTCCCTGTCTACTGGCTCCTTCCTTGCAGCCTTCAAACATATCCAAGTGTCCTCTATCCTTAAAAGTCTTCCTTGACCCCACTATCCCCCAAATTAGAGTCTCATATCTTTCTCCCTTTTCATGGTCTTAACTCCTGGAAAAGCCATCTACACTCACCGCCTCCACTCTCTCTCCTCTCCCTCTCTTCTCAACTCTTTCCCGTTAGACTTCTGACCTCGTCATTCAACCGAAATTCCTCTCTCAAAAGTTACTAGTGATCTCTTACTTGCCAAATCCCATGGCCTTTCCTCCTTTCTCATCCTTCCTGACCTAAGTCTCTGATACTAGTGACCACATTCTCCTGGCTGCTGTCTCTTTTCTGGGTTTTCGTGACAGCTCACTCACTCTCTCTCTCTCTCTCTCTCTCTCTCTCTCTCTCTCTCTCTCTCTCTCTTTCTCTGTCTTCTCTCCTCCTCCTCTTCTCCTCCTCCTCCTCCCTATGTCTCTTCTCCTCTTCTTCTTCTCCTTCTCTCTCTCTCATCTCTTCTCTCTCTTCTCTCTTTCTCTCTTCTCTCCTCCTCTTCTTCCTCTCTCTTTCTCTCTCTCCTCCTCCTCCTCTCTATGTCTCTTCTCTATTCCTCCTCCTCTTCTTCTTCCTCTCTCTCTCTCCTTCTCCCTCTCCTCTTCCCTCCCTCCCCCCTCCCCTCCTTCTGCTCATCTACCTGCTCCTTTGCCTCCTTTGCTGTATCACATACCCCAGGGTTCCAACCTGAACCCTCCTCTCCTCTCTCTCTGTGCTCCCTTGGGGATCTCGTTATCACTCATAAGTGATCACTTATCATCTCTAGGCAGAGCACTCCCAGATTGACATATCCAGCTGTAGTCTCATGATCTTCAGTCCTACATCACCAACCATTATAGGCATCTCAAATTCAACATGTCCAAATCAGAAATCATTAGCTCCCCCACCCCCAGTCTGCCCCTCTTCCTAGCTTCTTGTTTCTCTCAAACCCCCACCATCTTCCTAATCACTTAGGTTCCTGACCTTGAGTAATCCTTGATTCTTCACTCTCCTTCATCCTCATATCCAACAAGACTTTGCCAAGTCTTGTCAAATCAAGCTCCATAACATCTTTGGCATTAATCTCCTCTCTACTCACATGGCCATCACCCTACTCCAAACCTCATCGCCTCTCTCCTGGATGATTGCACCTGCCTCCTAATTAATCTCTCTGCCTCAAATCTCTCCTCTTTCCAATCCATTCTCCACAAGGCTTCCAAAGTGATATTACTAAAGCACAGATCTGATGATGTGACTCCACATTTGTGTCTTCAGCCTTTCATATTTGAGAGCCTTCCATCCCTTGTGGACTGACTTCCTGCTTGGTGGAGTTTTAAGCCATAGTACTCCAAAGGTCTTTTTTCTAGATACTTTTAAGTCCATTCTCCCCAAATTAATGTTTCGATTAATGCCTGGATTTCTTTTCCTATTTGATCTCCTCACCTGGGAATTCCCTATCCCAATGACACCATACGTACAGTCCCTATCGCTGTATCTTTCCATAGCCATATTCTCATGATAATTTTCATCCCATTGAGCATTAAAAGGACATCTCTGAGGTCAAATTTGCCCCTTTGTGTAAAAATCTCTTAGTTACCTCATTTCTTACCCATATGTTGTACATTTATATTTAGAAATCTGAGGCCATGAGTTATATCTTTGATTTCTTGGATACTGTCTGTTGTGAACAATCTGCCTTTTCTGCTGCTATATTTCTCCCATTATACCTGTTCCTCTCTATAGTATCTGTTCTGGCTTACCATGTGTGCAGTTTTCTCCTTCCCCTTCTCCTTTCATTTTCAATGATCATTCTTGATCAGATTCTTAAGGCTCCAGGAAGATTTCTAGCCCTTATGAATTATACTCCATTCCCTGGCCATTCCTACATTTTTAGCCATGGTCTAGAAATCTAAATATTATTGTCAGCTACCATTTCCTTAACCAGCTCTTCACTTCCCAAAACCACCTTTCATTTTGGAAATGACAGTAATAAAAACACCATGAGAGCCCTAAGATCTTTATTTTCTTGACCAAGAGTTAAAACCCCTAAAATGCTCAGTGATTTCCTCTGGTTGGAATCATTGGCCTCCAAATGAATTTCCAGAAGAGGAAAGTGCTCATCAGATTTGCTAGAGAAGCCATACTTCAAATCCAATGCTATCTTCACCCACGGACGTGGCCACAAACAATGAGGAATTCACAAGGGTGCAACAAGCACGTCCTCCATCTCTACCTTCCTTGGGGACATTCGCCGTATTTACTAATCTTCTGTCCAATTTTGTGATTTCCTCCAGCTTCATTCAGCAGGATAAGAGTAGCAGCAAAAGAGATGGATAGGGGGAAGAATCCGTGGTTGGAGTTTGTCAAGGCATGATCTGTGATGGGTCAAGAGATTCAAGAGTAAAGGACAGCATAGAAAGAATGGACTCACCAAGAAGTCAGTATGAGGAGAGGGTAGCCAGGAAAGTGGTGGATGTTCTGGGATAGTACTAAGGGGGAAAAAAATCTAAGCACAGGAGTTAGCAAAATTTCTTTGGAGTTAAGGGCTATACTCATGGATATTCATTAATCACTTGAGCCATCTTGATCTGCATATCCCCCTTTCCACTCGTGGGTGAAGGGGCTGATCTAACCAACCTGGATCAAAGGTGGAAATGCTAGAGTAGACTTTCCCATCCTCCTCCCCCTTTTGCCTTCATCCCAGAGCCTGAAGTGACCATCGTCAAAGGACTGACAGACACGGAGGTATTTGCCGATGAGGACGTTGAGTTCCGCTGTGAAGTATCCAGGGAGCAGGCAGGGAACGTGGAGTGGAAGCTGCAGGGCCTGGCCTTGCAGGCCAATGAGATGAATGAGATCTCTGTTGTGGGAGGCCGGACGCACACACTGAAGCTGAGGAACGTCACACTAGAAGACACCGGCACCATCTCCTTCTCTGTGGGCCAACACACGTCAACGGCTGAGCTCGTCGTCAAAGGTAGCTGGGTCGGGCCCTGCCTGGGAGAAGGGTGGGAGAAACCAGGACGTGGGAAAACAGAAACTTCCAGCAGTGAGGTCAGTGGGTTAGCTGGAATGTTGAAACATACCCAATCAATCAACAGATATTCACTGAGAATCTACCATATGTCTAGACCTCTGCCATGTACTAGCCATGCAAAGGACCCAAGTCAATACAACATTATGAAGCATCTACTTGGTATAGAATATTGTATTATTTACTGGGGAAGACATAAGGTTCAGGTTCAGTATGGTTCAGCAAGCGTTTATTAAATGCCTACTGCATGTAAGACTCTTTTCTTGGTGTTGGTGATAACCAGGATGTTTTAAGCCATTAATCCTGCCCTGGAGGAGTTTACATTCTAATAATAGTAGGAATATAACACTTCTCAAGGGAGTAAACTGTGAGGGCAAAGGAGAGGTGTAAACATGGTGCCCTAGGAAATTGAGGAAAGAGAGACTACTTTTAGCTAGAGTGGTTCAGGGGGAATGGGTGGGATAAGCCATCAGAAAAGGCTCTGTAGAAGTAGCCCCTAAACTGGACCTTGATGGAAGAAGATTTCAATGTGCAGAGATGTGGCAAGGGAAAGCTCTAGCCATGGGGGACTAGCCCGTAAACGATGCTGTGCTAGAACTGGAGCTGGTTGTTAAATTTTCAGTGTGAACATTTACACCTCAGAAATTAGCAAGTACTGCAAATCAAGGCTTGACTTACTATTCTGTTGATTGTCTAGACTTGAGAAGGTGATGGAGAAAATGTCAGAAATGCAGATTAAACTTAAAATGTGGTGCATCCATCCCTTGTCCCATGCCTCCTCCAGGCTGGTTGTTAAATATTTACCAGCACACCCCTGCATGCAAGTGTAGCCCCCGAGGAGCTGATACTCTAGTTGAGGAGCGAGGACATAACACCATATCCCTCTGGATAAGTCACGACTTCTCTGAACCTCAGCTACTTCATCTCTAAAATGGGGATAATAATAACTGTACCACCTATCTCAGGGCTATTATGAGGAACGTATTTTAAAAACCCTACGGTACTATGCAAATATGAGGTCTACATGGAGAAAGATTCAAATCCTAACTTGGACGCCACCTGCTCTGTGAAGAACTTTCCCCTTTCTCCCAGGCAGCTGGGTGGTTCAGTGGCTAGAGCGCTGGACCTGGAGTCAGGAAGATCTGAGTTCACATCTTACCTCAGATACTTACTATCTCTGTGATCCTGGTAAAGTCACTTCTCTCTCAAGCCTCAGTTTCCTCATTTGTAAAATGGGGATAATAATAGCACCTACCTCCCAAAATTGTGGGGATCACATGATATAATCTCTGTAAAACACTTTGCAATCCTTAAAGCACTGTGTAACAGGGAGTAGATGGCGCAGTGGATAGAGTGCCAGGCCTGGAGTCAGGAAGACTTGAATTCAAATGCTGGCCCAGCCACTTACCAGCTGTGTGATTCTGTGCAAGTCACTTAACACTGTTTGCCTCAGTTTCTCCATCTGTAAAATGTGCTTGTATAGGAAATGATAAACCACTCCAGTATTCTTTTTTTTTTGGGGGGGGGTTAGGCAATGGGGTTAAGTGGCTTGCCCAGGGTCACACAGCTAGTAAGTGTTATGTGTCTGAGGCCAGATTTGAACTCAGGTCCTCCTGAATCCAAGGCCGATGCTGTATCCACTGTGCCACCTCGCTGCCCCGACCACTGCAGTATCCTTGCCAGGAAAGCCCCAAATAGGGTCACAAAGAATTGGACACAACCGAAATGAGTGAATAACAAAAACAAAAACAGTATATAAACACTGGCTGAAAATGGTTTTTTCTCAAGTTTCTAGCACTTTGCCTGGACCCCTCCTTTGTACTTATCTCATTCTTCCTTATATCATAGTCAATAAACATTTATTAAGCAACTATTGTATTCCAAACACTGGTGTTTGGGTGTGTCTTTACTCACTATTAGATTGTCAGCAAATAGGGTCTGTGTCAAATCAACCTTTGTATATCCCCAGCTCAGAGCATCTATCTTTGCATACAGTAGGTGCTTAATAAATGTCTGTTGAATGAAAATGTTCATTGGGTTGGCTAGAAGGGGTGAAATCTTTTTCCTAAGAATAGTTTACTGAAAACAATCTGCCCAGGGGAAATTTTTGTTTGTCCTTCATTCTCAAAGAGGACCATGACATCAGGGAAGTGATGCCATGACATGAAGGTGAATTGGGTTTAAGTGAGGGAGGGCTGTGCAAAGTCACCAGCCTCATTCTCTGCTCTGGAGCCATCTGGGTCCAGTGGCAAGATTTAGATCAGGACAACTGGAGATGGCCCTGGATGCAGTGAGAGACCTTGGCCTTTTTAAGCTAAGGTCTTTCCTAGGTCTCAGTTTGACTGTGGCAACACCCATTCAGTGATAAAGGCTAGGTAAGAAATGAGGCAAAGAATGGCCTCTTTTACCAAGTTAAAAAAAAAAATCAACCTGAGAGGGGAAGATCTCAGGGTATCTGGCCAAAACAGAAACAATTGCTATTTACACTCTCTCTGAGCCATCAAGGCCCAAACAATAACCAAGCCTGAGCAGAGGAGAGAGCAACTGAATGACAAGATCAGGGAAAGCCCTGGACTTGATGTCAGAAGACCCAGGTTCAAATCATAGCGCTGCAACTTCTGGCTATGTGACCTGCGTAAGTCACTACCTCCCTCTAAACCTCAGTTACAGACCCCATCTGTAAAATGAGGGGCGGGAGGGGATTGGAGAGGAGGATTGGACTAGATGTCCTATAAGATGCTCAAGGGACTCAAACTCCATGAATCAATGCTCCTAAGGCCCCCCATTATTCATACCCCTTCTCCTTGCTTCCAGCCCCACCTCCTACCTTCTCAGAGAAGCTGCAGAACATGGAGGCCAAGGAAGCCTCATCCGTCACACTCCGCTGCATGCTGGCCTCTGATGGAGCCCAGGTGGAGTGGAAGAAAGGTGGGGAGAAGATCACCCCCAGCGCCAAGTATGAGCTCCAGCAGCAGGGCACCATCCACACCTTGAGAATCCACCACCTCACCGCTGACGATGAAGGTGAATACACGTGCGAGAGTGGAAAGGAGAATACAACAGCAGCTTTGACCATCCAAGGTAGGAGAAGGCAGCAGGGGCCAGGGACCTCCGAGGCAAAAAGTGGGGAGAGGGAAGGCTTACACTACTCTGTGCGTTCTTAGTCTTCTGTGGACTGCTTTGCATGCTGCCCTCCCCTTTAGACTGTAAGCTCCTTGAGGGCAAGGACTGTCTTTTGCCTCTTTTTGTATCCCTAGCACTTAGCGCAGTGCCTGGCACATAATAGGGACTTTATTTGTGTTTATTGATTGATTGATTGATTGACTGGGTAGACTTGGCACAACTTCCATTTTAGGCTAGACATAGAGAAGAGCTTACCCCAAGTAGAATAATCATAACAGTGCAAATATTTGCAAAGCACTTTCCAAAGCACTTTTGTACCCATTCTTTTTTTTTTTAACAAGCATTTATCAAGTGTCTACTGTGTGCCAGGTTCTGTGCTAAGTGCTTTACAAATATTATCTCATTTGTTCCCCACAATAATCCTGGAAGTTAGGCTGGGAAAGAGAATATTAGTTCCATTTGACAGCTGAGAAAACTGAGCCATGGAAAGTTGTATTTTTGACTCAGAGTCACACAGTAACTGATTAAAATCTGCTGCTTACTTTGAGTTAATTAACAACCATAAAATTGGGGGCAGCTAGGTAGCGCAGTAGATAGAGCACCGGCCCTGGGTCAGGAGGACCTGAGTTCAAATCTGGCGTCAGACACATAACACTCACTAGCTATGTGACTGTGGGAAAGTCACTTAACCACAACTGCCTAACACAAAATGAATAAATAAATAAAAATGAAATCTGCTGCTTATTAGCTATATGACCTTAGGCAAGTCACGTATTTATTCTGAGCCTCAGTTTCATCGTCTGTATAATGAAAGAATTGGACTAGATGATCTCCAAGGCACCCCACCCCCAGCCCTAATGTATTATGATTATATGGTTCTGTACCCAAAATCATTTGTAGGATGTGGGAGGCAGTCAGTCTTTCGGGATAAAGTAGAGCCTGAGCTATAGATGTCCCTAGGAGTGCGATGGAGTCAGTGTGTGCTGCCCCCTTCCCACTCTAACTCTGTCTGCAGCCAGAGTACCTTGTCCTGGTTCCAGCTCTCACCCTGAGGGTGACCCGATATGTCTGTCTGCTGTTTTCCCAGCTGCCCCGGCTCTCTTCAAGCGTGAGCTCCAGCCCCAAGTAGCCCGAGAGGGAGCTGTGGCCATTCTGCAGGCCGAGCTCACCAAGCCTGATGCGCCAGTCTTCTGGAAACGGGGGTCCGTCCGACTTCAGCCCAGCGCCAAGTATGAGATGAAGCAGGATGGGGTGGTGGTGGAGCTGGTCATCCGAGACCTGCAACCCTCCGACGCTGGCAGCTATACCTGCGACTCCACGGACCAGCAGACGACAACTACTCTGAGCGTCACAGGTGACCAGAGAGTGATCTCCCCCTCCCCACTGCCCATTCACCTACACTCCGGGGACCCTGCCTTCACCCTCTCTGTACATTCTCCCTTCTCCACACCTCCACAGCCCCTACCACCAAGTCTGCCTTTCACAGGACATGTTCGAACTAGAGCCTTTAAATGTTCAAAGGCCAGAGATCTCAGAAAATCACAGCGTCATAGAATGTCAGGATTATCATGGAGCTGAGAGATCTCTTTTTATAATGGAGGATACCAAGGACCAAAGATGTTAGTGACTTGTCTAAGGTCACATAGCTATTAAGTCAGGATCAAAACCCAAGTTGCCTCTAAATCCACTGGTTCTAACTTCCCAAATGCATTTGTCTTTTTTCTTGTGTTAGAATGAATTATTGTTCTTTTTTCCTCTAAGATCCTCCAAAACCCATAAACAATGCAGAATCAATTGGTTGTCACAGTACTGTTTTTAATTCAGTCAGTTAAGGATGCTGGGTGGGCCCTGGGACTAGATTGGGAGCCATGGGAGCATGGAGCAGCAATCAGGAGGCCCAGGTCCAAGTCCCATTTCCACCATATAGCTGTGTGACCTTGGGTCAAGTCATCTTGATTCTTTGGATTTTATTCTCCTCACCCATCAAATGAGAAGGGTTAGACTGAGAAAGGCTGGTCTCTAAGGTGTATCTCCTCTGGCTCAATCTATGAATCCATGAAACTACATGCAGAGGAAACATAGCCCCTCACCTTGGAGAGTCTGATGGGAAGTCCTAATCCCTGACCTTAGGGAGCTAGTTCTCATGGCTTTCTTCCCAGCCTGAATGAGTTGGTGTCTTGTTCTCTGTGGCTCCCTCTGCAGTGCCTGAGGTCAGCATTATCGAGCCCCTTCAGGACGTGAAGCTGTTTGAGGGGGAGGATGCCAAGTTTGTGTGCCGGCTGTCCAGGGCCCTGAAGCAGGAGGCCCAGTGGCGCCTGGGCGGTGTGCCCCTCCAGTCCAATGAGATGAATGAGATCACCGTGGAGCACGGCACCCTCCACGTCCTCACCCTCCGCAAGGTGACTGTGGAGGATGCCGGTGTTGTCAGCTTTCACGTGGGGACCAGCAGCTCGGAAGCCCAGCTCAGCGTCACAGGTCAGCCACCTCCGCTTCTCCATGGGAGCTCCCATTCAGACACCCCAGGTCATTAGGAACTGGCTCCTTCTCTTAGGATAGCATAGTGAAAAGAGCCCTGGAATGGAGGACCTGGGTTCTGATCCAACTCTGCTGCCTCCTGCTTGTGTTAGCTTGAACAAGTGCCTTCTCTTACATTAGGCCTCCTCATGTGGAAAATGGGGGCATAGACTACATGATCTCCTTCTGGATTCTGTCTGAGATCTCCTGTATCTCATCTCTCCTTACCCCTCCTCCTTCCGACACCATGGCCAGCCTCCCCAGCTGCCCTTCCATTCTCCCCTCCACGTCCACACACTCCGAACCATGAAGACCCAGACTTCAGGCTCCATGTTAACTAACAGTATAACATGGCGCTGAGAAGTGCTAAAGGCACCTTGGGGCATGTTAACAGATAGTTCGAGGGTTCTTGTCCTGCTCACCTGCTACATGGAGGATTGTGTCCCATTCTGGGGCCACATTTTAACAAGGACATTGACAAAACATTTTAAATACAGTAATAATAGCTAGCGTTTATATAGTGCTTTAAAGTTTGCAAATATTACCTCATTTGATCCTCACAATGATCCTGGGTGGTTGGTATTATTATTAACCCCATTTTACAGATGAGGAAGCTGAGCCAGGAAGCAGTTAAATGACTTGTTCAGGGTCACACAGCTAATGAGTGTCTGAGATAGGATCTGAAGTCAAGTTTTCCTGAATTTCTGCATCCTGTTCTCTACCCAGTGCAGCCCCCGGTTTTCTCTACATTCACTCTCTCCTCCGCTCTACCTCTCATTCACCCATCTGCCCTCTCCACATCTACTGCATTAGGTACACACCTACATAAATGCACATATATATATATATATATATATATATATATATATATATATATATATGTAAAATATATAAATATACAAATAAATGTGTGTGTGTGTGTGTGTGTGTGTGTGTGTGTGTGATTATAGTAGAAATAGCATCAGGCTTGGAATCAGAACACTTGAGTTCAGATCCTGGCTGTGTGACCCTTTGCAAGTTACTTCTTTCTGACCCTCAGTTTCCTCTGCTATAAAATGGGTAGAAATAGTACCTTGACTACTTATTTCAAGAAATTGCTGTGAGTCACTTTGTAAGACAGCATGGCATAGTGGAGAGGGCATGAGATCGAGATGCACAAAGACCTGGGTTCAAATCCCACCCTAGACATTTATTATCTGTGTGATCTTGGGCAAGTCACTTAAACTCTATCTGCTTCAGTTTCCTCATCCATAAAATGAGGGTGGTTCCTTCTAGATAAAAATTTGTGGTCCTGTGATATTGAAATTATGATTACTGTCAATAACAATAATAATAATTCTGGCAATAAAGATCTTCCTGTAAATATGATAAGAATAACACCTTTTATAGCAATTAAATTGCCCTGTATGGTGGTAACGCAAGTATTTTTTACCCTCATTTTAAAGGTCAGAATCTGAGGTTTGGGATAGCTTAGTCAGTTGACTGGGGTTACACAAAGATAAAGTCAGAATTAGGACTGGAACTCAGATCTTGAAACTAAGCATCCAGGGCTAAAAGATGACACATTTATAGTGTTGACAAAGCACTTTACACGTTATCTTATTTGAGGTTTACAGCCACCCTGGGAGTAGGTATTACTTAGGCGTTATTATTTATTTATTTTGGCTGGGCAATGGGGTTAAGTGACTTGCCTAGGGTCACACAGCTAGGAAGTGTCAAATGTCTGAGGCTGGATTTGAACTCAGGTCGTCCTGACTCCAGGGCCAATGCTCTATCCACTGCACCACCTGGCACTATTTTTTTAGAGGAGGAAAACCAAACTCAGGTGGTTTAGCTGGCCTGCCTATGGTTACCAAGTGTCAGAGGCAGAATTCAAAGCCAGGTCTTTCCTGCCCAGAGCTGCATGGTGCTACTGTGTGATAGGTGAAAGGATGATGGTGCAAGTGACTGGAGAGGAGGGAGTCTCTGGTCTGTCCTAGTAGATTGAAATTCTCAGATACATCATGGAAGGCTAGGACTCACTGATCTAAGATACAACAGTTAGCTATATGTTTTGAATAAATGTGAATGGAACCGACCTGAACTGCAAACTCCCCCCCTCCTCAGCAGCTCCTTCTGTATACTTCCAAGAAGAACTCCAGGATGTCACTTCAACCGAGCAAGGCACAGCCACCCTGCGCTGTGAAATTTCTACACCTGGCATCCCTGTGGAATGGAGGAAAGGAGGGCAGGTCCTGAAGGCCAGTGCCAAGCATGAGATCCGCCAGGTGGGCACCCAGGCTGAACTCATCATCCACACCTTGGAGGCAGAAGACATCGGCGCCTACACGTGCATCGTGGGAGACAAGCAGAGCACGGCCACTGTCTCCGTACAAGGTAAAATGGGGGCGAGGGGGAGACGGCAGGGTCACAAGCTCAGAATTCTTAGACGGATGGTTATTTCTGGGGGCACATTGTCCTACAGTGTCCAAATGAACCTCCTTAATGCTCATCTCAGGGATCTGAGTTCCCAGAAACATGTCCTGAGAAGATAACATGGTTCCACTGAGACCACTTAAATATATGACAAATGTCATACTGAGATTTTGTCTATCTGGGGACCCCTAAGTAACATTTTGTGGGAGAATGTAGTTGTCTTCCAAGTTGTTAACCGTAGAAGATACATCATTAATTTTTAGGAGAGAGACTTTTTGCGTTTGTGTTTTTTAGTGTCTACTTTCAGTAAGCTGTAGACGAAATCCTGTATCCTTTTTGTAAAGTTGAGTCACCATGGGTCTGGGTGAAATGATCTGGCTTGGTAAGGAATTCAATTCAGTTCAATTCAGCAAAGTACCTACTGATACTAGGAAAGATACAGAGTTTTTAAAAAATGACACAGTCCCTGCTATTGAGAACCTTAGATCCTACCAGGGAGATATATACATTCAAAGAAACAGGATAAAAAAGGGAAAGCATAATGGGGCCACAGGAGAGACACAAAGTGCTCTAGGAGAACCATGTAGCCAAGAAAGGAACCTCAGTGGGCAGGAAGAACAAAGTGGGTGATTAGACCTAATTAGATCACTGGATATCTGATTTTAGGGGATTGAAGATTAATGGATTTCTGTACCATTTGCTTCAGATGTGTCAGGAAGGTGCTCGTTGCTAATTAAAGTCAACTGATAAAATAGACAAACATTGGAGGCAGCTAGCTATTTGGTGCAGTGGTTAGAATTCTGGGCCTGGAGTCATGAAGGCCTGAGTTCAGATCTGGCCTCAGACACTTACTAGCTGTATGACCTTGGGCAAGTCACTCAATCTCTGTTTGCCTCAATTTCCTTTGCTATAAAATGGGGATAATAATAGCACCTACTTTCCAGTGTTGTTGTAAGGATCAAATAAGATAATGATTGTAAAGTGCTTAGCACAGTTCCTGGCACACAATAGGCACTATATTACTTTTTATTATATCGTCATCCTGTCTCTGTTGAAAAAGTAAGACATTTGCCAAAATATATGTATTTAAGTCTCATTCGTGAGTCCCCAGAGACTGGGCTCTCAAGCCCAGGGGACAAGTATGTCAGTAAGATGTTCGCCCTTGCAGTTAGCCACAAGAGCTAGCCCAAAGGAGTTACTAGTAAGAAGACAGCGGTCTGAGAATCTTCCTTCAGAGCACATATGGAGGGCAAGAAGGATTTAGAAGTGACCTACAGAGGGTTTGTGTCACTTTTGTCCTGATGATACCAAGCAACACTTACGTGTGCCCTACGTGTACTAATATCATCTCTGTCCCAGGAGAGGAAGTAGAAGGGCTGAAGAGGTGTATCCTCATTCTCCAGGTTATCGGGGAAATGGATGGGGACCCCGAAAGAAGGAAAATGACTTCAGGGAATAAGAAGAAGCCAACAAAGGGGGGAAGGGGGCAGAAATGACTGTCAGTGGTCCCGCAGTGATGGCAGAGAACGGGAGGTGTCTCCTGGGACTGGAAAAGGGCAAGCATCCCAATTTGTTACATATGGAAGAAGATAGAGTCCTCAGTGTATGGCACCTGACTTCTATTCCTGGCAAAATCCTAGAGATTCGAGAGAGAGTTTGTAAGCATGCAGGAAGAAAGGAATGATCGTTGAAAAAACTAATGCAGTATAAGAGTTTTGATTAGAAAATTTGCTTAACCAGTCAGACACCTTTACAGGGAGATGAGCCTTTGTTTGGGACTTTGATTGTATTTTCCTATGAAAGGTATGGGCAGGAGTCAAAAGATCTGGGTTCAAATGTTGCATTTAACATTTATTAACTGTGGGACCTTGGACAAGTCCCTAAACCTACCAAGGCCATAGTTTCTTCACCTATAAAATGAGAGGGCTGAGCCAGATGACTTCTGAAGTCCCTTCTAGTTCTAAAACTATAATAAGGGGGGGCAAAAGCCCTGGAAGGTTAGAAGTCTCTCATATAACAGACTTTAAGTACATTTCTTTCCCTTTCTTTTTGTTGTTCAGTCATGTCTGACTTTTCATGACCCTGTAGACCATATAGCACATCAATACTGTCCTTGGGGTTTTCTTGGCAAAGATACTAGAATAGTTTGCCATTTTCTTCTCCATTGGATAAAAGCAAACAGGGGTTAAGTAACTTGTCCAGGGTCACACAGCTAGTAAGTGTCTGAGGCTGGATTTGAACTCAGGTCTTCTTGACTCCAGGCCCAGCTCTCTGTCCAAACAACAGAGTATTGTCAAAAGGCCAGAAGCCCATATGGGTGTCTGGGGGTGAAAAGTGGGGCCCATAAGAAGGTTTGTGGATAGCCCTACTAATAGCCCCAAGTTTATTTCACTTCTGAGAGAAGTAAGAATTACTGGGTAAGGTTTTGGGTACAGGGTAAGGACCCTGGGGAAAGTGGAATTCAAAAGAAATGAAGGGGAATGGTATTGATTGGTTATGGATTATTGTAAGTCCTTTATGTGTTTCCTGAATTATTTGTGGATTTTTGTAGATCCTTTGAAATGGTTTTGCATTTCCTGCGAGGTAGAGTAAAAGCTGTCCTGTATACCATATATACGTTGTTATCTTGAATACTTGCATAGAATCTGGGAATCCTTTTGTGAATACCTAGATTAGAGCTATATTCAGAGATTTTCCCAGAGAAAACTTCGGATAAAGACATAATGAACCAAAGAGTATTAATCTTCAGATTTATTTCCAACATTGAACCTGGTCTGTATAAGCCAGAGCAGGGAGCAGTGTGCCATGGGTTATATGTAAAGTGAAGGTTTTGGACGAGGTGATTTCTAAGAACATTCCCTACCAACCCCTGACCTATGAGCCAATAAAGTAACAAAAGTTTGGACACACTGATCTAAACCAATTCCAGCTTAGACATTTTGAACAAATGTTCATTGAAATGAGCTGAACTAGAAATTCCCTCCAGCAGCAACACCTGTACACTTCCAAGAAGAACTCCAGGATGTCACTTCAACAGAGCAAGGCACAGCCATCCTGCACTGTAAAATTTCTACACCTGGCACCCCTGTGGAATGGAGAAAAGGAGGGCAAGTTCTGAAGGCCAGTGCCAAGTATGAGATCCGCCAGGTGGGTACCCAGGCTGAACTCATCATCCACACGTTGGAGGCAGAAGACGTTGGCGCCTACACGTGCATCGTGGGAGACAAGCAGAGCACGGCCACCGTCTCCATACAAGGTTAGGCTGCGGTAGTGAGGGGTGGGGGTTGGGGAGGGAAGAAGGGCAGTGTCATAAGTTCATTGTTCGTGGATGGTTGTGATATCTGAGGGCACACTGTCCTATAGTGGCCTAGGCAGATAGCATGGTTCTGTTGACATTATTTAAGGATATAACAAGTACCCTTTTTGGGCTGGACCAATGGTCCACCTGAGATTTTGCTTCTACTCAAGACACTAGGGAACATTTTGTGGGAGAATGTGGTTGCCTTCTAAGTTGATAACCTCCAAAGATACACCATGAACCTTAGCAGAAAGAGTCTCTGAGTCCATTGTGTCTAGGTTTGGTGGGTGGAGGGTACCTATGAGACTAGTAAATAGCTGAGGGAAAAGCAGTGGATTTAATTGTTTAGAGACTTTCTGTACATTATAGACAATGTTCTTTATCAAGGCCTTTTAAAAAAAAAGCTGTTGGCGTGGAGTAGTATATCTTCATAAGGAGTTCAATTCAGTATAACATATGTTTTCTGAGAGCCCACTGGGGATTTAAAAAAATGAAGATTAACACAGCGTCTGACTTCAAGGAGTTTACAGTCTACCAGGGAACAGGGGTGGGAAGAATATAACGTGAAAAAAATGGTATGATACAAGGAATGATGTGATGAGCCAAAGGTAAGAGGCATCCAAAGTATTCCACAAAAATCTAAGGAAGAAGAGGTCAGTGCCCACTAGGGGCAGATCAGAGAAGGCTTCATAAAGAGATAGAGCCTGAGCTACGCCTTTAAGCAAGAGGAGCATTTCAGCAACTAGAGATTGTCTTGTAAGGAATACATTGCAGATGGTAGTTAAGAAACCACTCTCTTCCCAACAATATGATAAGGTAAGTGGTATATGTATTTTTATCCCCATTTTATAGATGAGAAAACTAAGGCTTAAGGAAGAGAAATGATTTTTCTAGGGCCATTTTGCTAGTAAATGTCCGAGCCAGGACTCAAATATAGATTGTCTGACTCCAAGCCTCTTTCCACTATACCATGAGTTATCCATCTAGAGCAAGGATTCTTCATCTGGGGTCCACAGGTCCCAAAGCTTCCTGAATTGTTTATGGATGGTGGTAAGTTCTTTTACATTATTTCGCATTTATTGTGGGGTAAAGGAAGGGCAGTTCTGAATTCATTATATACACTGTTACCCTAAGAGATCTATGAATAGTCAAGTCAAGGCAACCAGGATTTATTAAGTGATTCCAATATGCCAGACACTATGCTAAGTGTCTGGTATACACACAAGAAGAAAAGAAGATCACTCCTGCCCTCAAGGAACTTACATTCTAATTCAGGAAGATAACACGTAAATGGGTGTTGAAATGTGGAGTCAGTTTCAAAGCATCTAAGAACTTTAAAAATTATTTTGATAATTGTAATTCATTATATCTAGTTTCCTTTGTAATCCTATATATTTTATTTTATGCATTTAAAAAATTTTTCTGAGAATACGTCCATAGGCTTTATCAGATTGCCAGAGGAGTTCATAACACAAAAAGGTTAAGAACTCCCACTCCAGAGACTGGTCTTAATATCTTCTTTAATGTTGAGGAAAGGGCACACATGTTCAAACCATTGCTTCCACATGTTACTGAACTCTTCTGGGCAGCAAAATGCCAACCCAGAGACGAAGGACTGCGACCTCAAGAGGTCTGGTAAGCAGGCAGACTCAACTCAACAGAACTAACACCCTGTTCAGTCGTTCACAAAGCATTTATTGAGCATCTGCCGTACGCCAGGCACGATGCTACGTGCTAAGCTGCACAGGATGAAACAAAAGGCTGCCCCTGTCTCCACATTTTGACTGGAGAATAATGATAATAATCTAAGCTAATGTTTCTAAGACCATTGGTGGTTGACTTATATTCTACTGGCTACCATTTTTTTCTGTTACTACACATAGTAAATATTTGGCTACATACGTAGCTTTTATGCCAATATCGATGAAACCCTTTGACTCTTCAAACCCTTCAACTCCCTTTATAGGCATTATCTCTCTCTTTTTTAATTTTGGAGGCAATGGGGGTTAAGTGACTTGCCCAGGGTCACACAGCTAGCTAGTAAGCGTCTGAGGTCACATTTGAATTCAGGTCTTTTTGACTCCCGGACCAGTGAGTCACCTAGCTGCCCCCAGCATTATCTCATTTGATCCTTACTTCTCAGTCCTGTGAAAGAGGTAGTTCAGGAGTTATTATCCCCATTTCAGAGGTGAGAAAACTGAGGACCCGAGAGGGGAAGTAACCTCTCCAAAATCATACAACAAATGGCAGAGCCAGGGTATAATCATACAACTCTTAAGTCTTTCCATTCTACCAGAGAGGGGAAAATAAAGAAGGGTCAAAAGAGACACACTAGCCGTTTTCCAATAGAAGACGAGAAAAGACTTCTTTGGGATGGATCTGGATCGCAGAACTTCAGCCAGCGGTTGGAAGTTATAGGGAGGTAGATTTGGGCGCGCTAGGAGGAAGTGCTTCCGAATAATTAGAGCCGCACCCCAATGGGAGCATCCCTCAGCATAATAACAGTTCACGTGAAGTAGGAAGACCCTGCAAGTATTAACATCTCCCCTTTACAGATAACAACAACAACTGCAGCTAGCATTTATATAGCACATACTACATGCCAGGCACTGTGCTAAATACTTGAAAGAACAGAGGTGAAGTCACCCGCCTACAACCACACAGTTCATAGCTGAGGCTGGATTCGAACCCAAACCCCCTAACTTTAGGTCAGTGCCCTTTCCGTGACACTGCACTGATGTTGAAGGCCTCCTTGTACTGGGGTGCGGAGAGGGGGGTGGGTAGGGAGGAGTCAGGGCAGCCACATCGCCTGTAACATCCTTTCCAGCTTGGAGAGTCCAAGGATTCGACATGTCAATGTTTTTGGCTTGTTTGCTGGAGCCGTGTAATGCCAGGGTACTATCCCCCACCCACCTGCAATCAGCAGCGTGTGTGGTGTGCATGTGTGTGTGTGTATCTCATGGCAAGCAAGGGCAGCTTCACACTGAGCTGAGCAAAGTAAGTTTAGTCACAAAGTGGAACCCAAAGGATTCTTTCTCCAGTGAGTATTCAAGACAAATGTGAGTGCTTTGGGGATATCCCATGTTTGGGGATATTTGTTGAATGAATGAATGAATGAATGAATGTATCCATGAATCACTTCCATGAGCATTGATTAAAGGCTTTCTATTGGGATGGCGTTGCTGAGACCCTGCAAACACAAAGACAAAAATAAAGTAAGTGTTGCCTTTGGGGAACTAGCAGAGCACTGAAAAACCATATATTCTCCCGATTACGATTACTCTCTGCTAACACAGATAATACATATTTGACCACATATGTAGTTTTGTGCAAACATCGATGAAACCCTTTGATTCTTCAGACCCTTCAGTGCCCTCAAGTAAAGCCCATGAAAAGACACTGAGAGATGTTTGTAGTCCTGTTATCCCTTTGTCCATCCATCTGTCCATCCATCCATCCATCCATCCATTCATCCCACCCACATTTATTGAGTCCTCCTGTGTGAAAGGTGGCGTGCCAGGCACCAGCCCATGCTCCGCTTTGTTCTCGCTCTATCACACAGAAGAGGAATTTCGGCTAGTGCGTGGTTTACAGAATGTCGACGTCTTTGTGGGCGAGGCAGCCACCTTCTCCTGTGAGCTGTCTGCCAGGGGCATCGGCAGGGCCCGCTGGTGGCTGGATGGGACCCGGCTCCAGGACAGTCCCCTCAGTTCAATCTCAGTGCACGGCGGGACAGTCCACACCTTGACGCTCAGGGACCTGGGGCCCCAGGACTCAGGGACCGTCACCTTCCGGGCTGGGTCCCTCGTGTCCTCAGCTAAATTATTAATCAAAGGTACTTGGGCTTTGGAGGGGGATCCCCCCACTCCTGCCTACATCCCTTGAGTGGCCTTCGCGCTGGTGCTACTGCGTCAGGTTATTGTAAGAACTTCCTCACCCACCGATCACCTGCATAAACCTCTTTCAGGTTGCGTTCTCTACCTTGGGAAGACCTGGATGGAACTTTACCTTAGAAACTTAGTGGGATGATAAAAATAATGATATCTAGCATGTGTATAGCATTGTAAAGTTCACAAAGCACTTTATGTTTCATGTTTCATTGTATCCTCCTAACAACCCTGGAAGAGAGATGCTCTTACTATCCCCATTTTACAGATGAAGAAATTTGGGCTGAGAGAAGTAAGATCAGAGACCTAGCAAGCTTCTAAGGCAGGATTTGAATTCAGTTCTTCCTGTCTCTGAGTCCAATACTGTGCTGCCTTGTTTTCTTTCTCATTATTTCCCCCCTTCCCCCTTTTCCTAATTGCTCTGAAGCAAAGGAGGAAGGATACATTGCTTTGGGTCAGTAGGGGAAAAAAGCCCTGGGTTTGGAATCAGGTCTGGGTTCAGAATCTCAACTCTGCCACATAAGTATCTGCGTGACTTTGGGCATGTCCCTTAAACCCTCTGAGCCCCAGTTTCTTCACCTAGAAAATGAGGGAGATAGACTCAGTGCCTTTTAAGGTTCTTTCCCACTCGGAGTCTATGTATGTACCTCACCCAGTGAGGGAGGGCAAAGATGGGGGTGAGAGGAAGGCGATGTCACTCTTAAGCTAAAGGTCCATGCTCTCCTAACGAGAAAGCTCCAGTGAGGTTGCCCCATCTCCTCTTCTCCCAAACCAGGACCTTTCCTATTCCTTCCGCATGTCCCAGCCTGGATTCCCATCAGGTGTTATAGTCTGTCTGGCCAGGATAATTACTCCTAATTAGCTTCCAGGTCTTTCAAGCACCAGTAAGGGCACAGGGAGCCCTTTGCCTAGGTCTCTCAGAGCAGACTTCAGGGAAGAGCCATGTATGGCCTCTTCTACCAATGGCAATGCTTCCCTCATGGCTAGGAGCCAGAGACCAAGTTAGATGCTGACTTAGCTGTCTTTGACTTGTCCTGGTCTTGCTGAATGTTCAGCATAGGAACGTGCCATGTTACAGTATTCGAGGAGACAGAAGGCAGATTATGGATGCAACCTGCCCTCAAGGAGATTTTGTTCTAATTAGAGATAGACACACAATCAGAATGCATATGGATAGCCAGAGTTCCTTTATTTGTTCATTCAATAGCTTTTCATTAAGTCCCTGTTATATACAGAATATAGTAGTTACCTGTGGGAGGTTCACGAGGACAAGTGAGGTGTGATCTGTGCCCTCATGGAGTCTATGATCTAGCAAGGGGGATACAACACATATACAGATATGCAACACTGTACAGTATTGGTGATTTCCTTTTCTACTTTACTCTGAAGTTTACAAAGTGATTTCCTCTTGTATTGTTGGTAGTGCATGTTATATTTTGTAATATTTTACAAATGAAGTAACAGAGGTAAATGACTGGTCCAAGGTCACATCCCTAGTAAGCAGAACCTGCACTGATGCCCATATTTTCTGACTGTAAATCCAATGACCCACACATACAAAAACCAGGGTCGGTGGTTTTACTGGTATGGGTACTCCCTTCTCTGGCAGAGATTGTAACTCACCCCTACCCAACTTTAGTAGTTCATCTTAATTATTTGCAGCGGCAAAAACAAAAGCAAAATACACATGCATACACACACACACACACACACACACACACACACATACACATATAATCCATTCTCTGGTGGCCATTCTTGTGGTGATAAACCTCTCTCAGTTTTGATGTGATGGTCTTTAGACATGTCCCCGGTCAAAACCTACGTCAAATAGAAAAAAAGCACCTGAGGCACACGCATACACACGCAAACACATAGACACACACACACCGACCGACACACACACACACACACACACACACGAATAATCCATCCTCAAGTGGCCAGAGGAAGTCAGGCCCATACCCAAAGCTTTTCTGGCTTGATAGGGTCAGCCAGGGTTTGTGCTGCACCTGCCTCACCCTTGAGAAGCCAGAGTCACCTCTACACCTTAGTGAGAAATTGAAGATATTAGCCGAGGTGCAATAACTTCATAATAAGTATAATGTGGACCATGCTATGGTAAAGGCATCAGAAGGATGAAAGGTGGATTGGCTTAAATGTGGTATAATATTGGTGCTGTACTCTAGAGGGCACTGCAGAGCTGCTGTCTCAGACAACAGGCCATCCACTGCTCTGCCTTGGGTCAGTTCGGTCTTTGATCAGTTTCATCAATGACTGGCCCTTCCCCACCCGTGTGAATCCATCACCCCAGTTTGGTGCACCGACTCGTAGGAAGGCTCTTTCTTACGAGCTTGGCCTTCCCAGAAATCATACAGACAAAACCCAACTCTTGGGACAGAAACACAATTCTGGAAGAGACAAGGTTCCACAAGGTTAATCCTGATATGAATGAATGAAGACGGGCTTCAGTCTCCCAATGCTGCAGACTGTAAGGTGCCTGGGAAACATAGTCCCGTGTGAGTTCTCTTTACAGGAGCCCAGCGATTTCCCTGAACACAAATGTCCCTGTGAGATTGGGACAAGGGGCCAGAACAGAGTTACCAACACCAGCTGGATTCCCAGCTGCTACTGCCTTTTATCGTAGAATCCTGGGATCATGGGGTCCTCCACTTTAGAGTTGGAATGAATTGTAGCAGACATCTGATCCTGGAATATCAGCATTAAGGGGCCTCAGAGCTCACTTAGTCCAAACTCGTGCATGAGCAAGGTCCCCAGGAAGAGATCATCTACCTTTTAAATTAGTAGCAGGGGTTGTGGCTTTCAACCCTAAGTACTCTGGCTCCAGTTCCAGTATTATTTTCATTACATCACACAACTTCTGAAGTCTAAACTTTGATTCTTCCAGTTTCTACATACTTAGGCAAGGACAGCTTACCTGTGACTTTCCTTTAAAAAAAAAAGTGTCCAGAATTGAACATGTTCGACCAGACAGAGTAGAGCAAAACTACTACCTCCCACCTGCTTTTTTTTTTTTTTGCTTTTTGGTGAGGCAGTTGGGGTTAAATGACTTGCCCAGGGTGACACAGCTAGTAAGTGTCAAGTGTCTGAGGCCAGATTTGAACTCAGGTCCTCCTGACTCCAAGGCTGGAGCTCTATCCACTGTGCCACCTGGCTGCTTTTCTTAATGCCATCTGAAATAGCATTAACTTTTTGGGGTCTCATGTTATACTGGATTCAAATTGAGCTTGTGGTTTACTAAAACCCCCAGATCTTTTTCACAGAAATGGTTTTCTCACCACAAGTTGATTTTTTTTAAGTCCCAAGTCTAAATTTTTGCATTTTTACCTATTCAGTTTCATTTTATTCCATGTGACCTATCATTCTAGTCTGACAAGGATATTTTGGGGGGTTCTTGTTCTGTTAGTCACCGTGTGTGCTACCTTTCCCAGTTTTGTGTCTGCTACAAATTTATTTTTCTTCTCAAAAGTTGACAAATGTGCTATCTGATGTGACTGGTAAAAATGTTGAACATTATACAAACAAAAACAGATCCCATGGCCATTTCCCTAGAGACCTCCTTACAGTTTAACATGAAATCATTAATTCCTCTTCTTTGGGTCCAACCATTCAACCAAGTCTAAATCTTATGTACCTACACTGGCATCTACCCCATATCTTGTCCACAAATGCAAGATGAGGGACTGTGTCAGATGTTTTATCGGCATATAGGTATGCTGAGTCTTTGTTTTCTTCTGTTCTACCAGTCTAATAACCCTGACATAGAAGAGAATGAACCTAGTCATGCATGACCCATCCTCAGTGAAGCCACTCAGGTTTTTAGTGATCACTGCTTCCTTTTCTAAGCACTCATGTATCACCCCTTTAATAATGTTTCCTAGACTTTAATCAGGAATTGAAATCAAGCTGAGTGGACTATAATTAGGAGATTCCACTCTGTTCCCTTTTTGGAGGACATTTATTCTTCTTTACCCCTGTGATACCTCCCTTGTTTACCATCTCTCAAACATCACTGACAGTGGCTTATAGCAGGAGCATGTGTCAGTTCATTAAATGCCCCAGGATGTGAATAATTTAAATCTACCTATAAGCAGCTAGGTGCTATCTGTCTTAGGTTTCTATTCCCACCTCGCAATGTTTGTTCTACTCAGATGGAACAGAGTGTGGTAAAATATTTCATTGTGTGGCGTTGATTATAAATACCATAGGAATTCTGAGATGAGGGGGATAACGATGGTCTGGGATGGCCAGAGAAGGCTTCCTGGTAAAAGCAAGACTTGAGCTGAGCATTAAAGAATTGGTAGGATTTAGATAAATGGGAAGACAGAGAGAATGGGAGTAAGTACAAGAACATATCATAGACATATGCCATAGAGTTAGAGACTGGACCTCGAAATGCATTTATATAAGGAACTTCCCAGGTGAGGAAACTCCTACCCAATGCAAGTTGGCACCCTTTCTATGACATATAGTTTTAGAGAGTTGCCTAGAGTATTGAGAAGTTAAGTGACTTGACCAGGGTCACACAGTCCTGCCTTTTGAGGCCAACTGCCTCACAAACCATATTGGTCTGAAAATAAACCACATTTCCCCCTAAATCTGGCTTGAATAAAACCTGAATATAGTCTGTAATCATTGTTGGGGGTTTTTTGGATAAACATGTAGATTTTTTTTCTTTTCAAATAATAGTAATAACTCATGTTGTCGATAGCACTTGAGTTATTATTAAAATGCATTCCTTACAACTAGTCTAAAAGAGAGGCAAAACAAACATTACTGTCTCTGTTTTCTAGAAAAAAGGAAAGAGGGCTTGGCTTGCCCAAGGTAATACAGCTTTTAAGTAGAATAACTAGTACTCAAACTTAGGTCTTCTGACTAAACCCAGTGCTCAAGTTGTGATCTATAGTCAGGGATTACTTATATCCAGACCAATGGAATATAAGAACACACATACACAAAGCTAATTCATTGGCAGAGGACTTTCCAGATGCCCTTCTGTACAGAAGTTTGAAAATGGCCCACAGAGGGGCAGCCAGGTGGTGCAGTGAACAGATCTCCGGCCTTGGAGTCAGGAGGACCTGAGTTCAAATCTGGCCTCAGATACTTGACACTTGCTAGCTGTGTGACCCTGGGCAAGTCACTTAACTCTGATTGCCTCACCAAAAAGAAAAAAAGAAAATGGCCCACAGTAAGGCCAGACACGCTGGCTCTTGGCTGAATGGGCAGAAAGCGCCCCACAAGGTTGGTTGGCATTAATAGGAGGCCTGCCAGGTATTTGCTTAAAGAATATCCAGGGCTTGGTGGATGAGGTGGTTTACCCCTAAGCCTTAGAGCCCAAGAGATTCCTTGTCTGTATAACTCAAGTGAGGTATGCTGCCCGTGCAGATGACCGTGGTGCAGTGTTAGCTTTGGGATGTCCCAAGTGAAGTGGTCGGGCTCTGTCTGGGTGGGTGGTGCTAGCTGTCAAATAGGAAATGATTATTCAGCCCTCTACCCAGATGGTAAGTCCTCACCCTTCAACAGCTCCTTTGGATAGAAGCATATCATTCCATTCTTCATTTCAGTTCCATCTGAGACACATTTAAGTGTCTACTAGTTACAAAGTTCTATGCTGGTCAGTGGAGTAGATACAAGGTTAGAGAAATCACAGTCCCTGCTGTCATTCTCAGTCTGGTAAGCCCCATGCGTTTGCCTGTGCCCCGGCCTGCAGAGATGGACCGAGAATTTGTTTTCACATGTCTTTAGGTTGGAAGAGTTTGTCTGGTCTTAAGTATGTGTTGGCCCAACCCTTTTCATCATAGCATCTCAGCATTTAGGCTCCCTTGGCTCAGAGAGCACAGTACCTTCTCTCAGAAAATACCCTGGGGGCTTAGATTCTTAAAATCTAGCCAATGCCTTACTAATGTTCAGACTCTTTAAGAGTCTGCCCAACATGATGGATGTTCTAATGAACCTTGTCTTTGGTTGAAAAAGAAAATACCCTGTGTCATGTCCTGTACCATGACCCAGAGTTCCAGAGAAACCCACACAAAGGAGAGAAAGGCAGCTAGAAAATGCATTTCATTTTCCTGAAGCCTGGTGACTGATTTCTATCGGTCCTCTCCTGACATCTTTCAAGCTTGGGACACGTGGGTTGATGTTTGGCCAGCCGAGGTGATCCATCTGATTCATCTAGCCCTGCTAAGAAAGCATGGGACTGTTAGCTGCTTTCATCTGGGGACCCCAAAGAGCATCCCTCCAGGATGCTCCCCTTGGCCTCCATCCCCTTGCAATTAACTGAGGAGCTTGTATGGTTTTTCATCTTGTCAGCAGCAGTTGATGGATGCAGGGAGGTGGGGAAACAAGCAAGCTCTGCATCCCTGCAGGGAGGAAGTAACCTGTAGGACTAGAGCAGCAGTAAGCCTTTGGCATTAGCTAGTGGCTAAAGTTATCGTGTGACTGCAGAGTTCAGGACAGTGTGGGTGTAACAGTGATAATTGGACCACACTACGGGTACCAGGGAGCTGCTGTGATCCATCACAGTAGTCCTGAGGGCCTGGACTCCTTTGCTTCTGTCATTTCTCTGTCTGCTATCTCCTGGCCAGGGGAGGGGGACCCTGTGGCCTCAAGGCCACATGTGGCCCTCTAGGTCCTCAAGCGCAGCCCTTTGACTGAATCCAGACTTCACAGAACAAATCCCCTTAACAAAAGGAAAACTTGGACTCAGTCAAAAGGCCGCACCCAAGGACCTAGAAGGCCACATGTGGCCTCAAGGCCACAGATTCCCCCCACCTGCCCTAGACAGACTGTACGTCATTCCGTCTCAAATACATCAAGAATTTCAGTTTTCTTCTGAGAGTCCTTGATGGAATTGGTCACTGTAGGGTCACAGCAAAGGTGAAGGAGAATGCGTGTTGGTATAAGAAGAAGTGTAAGACAGCTGGAAGATATCAGAGGTTACTGGGGAAGGCATCTTTCAAAACATACCATGTTTTTGTTTTTTGGGGGGCAATTGGGGTTAAGTGACTTGCCCAGGGTCACACAGCTAGTAAGTGTCAAGTGTTTGGTCTGAAGCTGGATTTGAACTCAGGTCCTCCTGACTTCAGGGCCAGTGCTCTAGCCACTGTGCTACCTAGCTGCCCCCAACATGCCATATTCTTAATGAAACCCCTAAGATGTGTAAGATTTTATAAGACCCTTGTGCCCAGTGCCCTGCAAGAGGGAATATATTTGAGTTGACTTTTCCTGGAGAGCTGGGAAGAGACTCGTGTAGGAGAACTGGTCAATTATATACCCCATATCTGGAGATCTCATGGGCCTCTCCCCTAGTCCAGCAGGCTATTTGGCAACTCCTCACATCCTTGGTAACTCTGCCCACGTGCACGCTTAGAGCTTGCAGCTGGCTCACCCTGCTACTAAACTCACTAACCATGGCTAGGCACAGGGCTCCCCATCATTTACAGTTGTCTCTATGGAGGGGGGGTGGGAGGTGGCTACCCCACCCCACTAACGCATGTCCTCCTGACATATTGGCCGACAGATCCCACCGTTGAAGTGGTCAGTGCCATGAAGGACCTGACCGTCGAGGAGAACAGCACGGCCGAATTCATATGCCAGTATTCCCGGCCTGTACAGGCCACATGGAAGATCAATGAGCAGGAGGTCTGTGTGGACGGGAAGCGCATCATTGTTGAGCAGGATTGGAATGTAGCCAAGCTAACCATTAAACCTGCCCTCCCGCGTGACAGCGGCCTCTATTCTTGTGAAGCCGGGGGCACCCGCGTGGTGGCTCTGCTTGACGTCCAAGGTGAGGCATGCCTGCAGGCTAGTCAGGCAGCAAGCCCACCATAGGGCAGGAGGGAGGAAAGAGGATAAGGCTGAGAGGCCTCGACTGGACTGAGAGCCAGAAGACCTGAGTTCAAATCCCCTTGGCGCTGCTGCCTTCTAGTTATGTGACCTGGGGCAAGCTATTTAATCTAGGTACGCCTCAGTTTAGAGTGAAAGGGTTGGACTAGATGACCTTTTTTTTCAGCTCTAAAATCGTATACTCCCATAACTTTGGCATGGTTTAGTTTGTAGCACCTGCTAGTTTAACTATAAGGTGATGGTGAAATGGGAGAGCAGATAACTCCTTGGACCGAAAGCTTCTACAGGCAGAGAACTCTGGAGTAGATGCCAGGAAGAAATAGAAAAGGGGAAGAGACACAATTGCTGTTGTCAGAGGGCCCCCAGCATGTGATCCTCACTCTTGGGGTACCCCAAGTCTGATGGTGGAGATACACAGTCTCCCCAGTGTGAGTATGGACATGTGATTGTCTGTTAATTCAACAAGCGTTTGTTAAGCACCTACTGTATATCTCAGATGTGTGCCAGGCCCTGGGAATATAAAGACATAAGCAAAACAATCCCTACCCTAGAAAAGTTCCCATTTTACTGGGGTGGGAGTAGGGAATTCTGCATATATGCAGATACGTAAATACAAAATATTCAAAGTAAACATGAAGCAGATTTGTGGGGAAACAACCCGGGGGGAAATCTGGAGAAGACTCAGAGGACAGGGTGCTTGAGCAGAGCCTTGACAGAAGCTAGGGATTGTCAGAGCTGAAGACAAGGGAAGGATGGGAGAGGAGTGATTCCAGAGATGGGAAATGGAATGTCACAGATGGAGAACCGTCAAGGCCAGTTTGACTGAAACATGAAATATGTAAAGAGGAGAAATGATCAGTCAGCCTAGAAAGAGAGGCTGGAGCCAGATTGTAAAGGGCTTTAAATACCAAATAGGAGTTTATTAGATCCTAGAAAGCCAATGGAGTTTTTTTTGAACAGGAGAATGACATAGTCAGACTTGTTTTTAAGGAATATCAACCTGGTGTCTGTGGGGAGGATGAGGGGACAGAGGAGAAATTTGAGACAAGGGGGACCAGTTAGGAGGCCACTGCCATAGTGGTTCAGGCAAAATGTGACAAGAGCCTGAACTTGGGTGGTGGCCTTGTGAGTGGAGACAAATGTGAGAGATGTTGAGGAGGTAGAATTGACAAGACATGGCAACTGAAGGGTGAGGAAGGGAGAGTGAAGAGTCTGAAGCTGCAAATCGAGGTGAATGAAAGAATGGTAATATCCTCAACAGAAATAGGGACTTGGATACTGCCAGCCTGAAGATCCCTCCCTCCCTCCTTGCATTAATTTTAAACAAATCTGATAGAGATGGTCCAGCTTCCCAGCCATGCAGGGCTAAGTTCAAACAGTGCAATAAAGTTTTTTTTCATAATTCCCATAATTGAATAAAGTTTGCTCACAAAACAGAAATTACACTAGACATATAATTGAATAGAAAGGGAACTGAGCTAGATCCAGAACTGAGTCACAAGATGGAGTCAATGTGATTCACTTAATTCCCTGAAGGTCTTAGGGTAATAAGGCTTCCTGGTGGAGGTGGCATTTCAGTTGGGCTTTCAAAGATGAGTAGGTTAGAAAGGCATTTGAGACATTGGAAACGGTAGGAGTAAATGCACAGAAGGAGGTTGGCATAGAGCATATTCAAGGGGCAGCAAATTGCTAGGTTTAACCAGATGATAGAATGTATGGAGGCACATGGTATTGACCAGAGCTAGAAAGATAAAGTGACATTTACTTGTAAAGTTCCTTGAATACCAGGCGAGAGAGCTTGAACTTGATTTGGTAGGCAACTGGGAACCATGGAAGGATTTTAAGCATAGGAGTGACATTACTAACTTAATGTATATGGAAGATTAATCAATCCTTGCTAAAAATTTGTCATTGAAATAGCTTTAATTAATAATCCACCACATTCTGTTCTTTGAGACCGTTATAGGTGGGTGAAAAGGGTAGGGAGGGCATTTCTAGGAAACAAAATACTTTAGGAAGTGAACACCAAAATAGGAGTCAGGAACCCAGGGGTAAAGTTAACCAAGGCAGTAAGATCTTCAGCAGACTAGAAGATGAGTATGATGCCCTGGGCTGTTAAGCTCTCAGCTAACTTTATAAGGCTCACAACCCAGCCCCTTGCCCAAAATAAAAACAAAAAAAAACCCCTTATTATTTTCCTTAAAAGAATATTGACTATATAAATATAGAAGCTTTAAGTGTATTGTGTATGTATACATACATACACACACACAGAGAAATGGAGGGAGGACACATAGTAATGAACTATCTCAAATCCAACAAAATGTCAAAAGGTATATCCTATTAAAAGGAAAGAGGAAGGAAAAGTACAGAAGAAAAACTTAAAATGAGAAAAGAAAAGTGGATAATAGAAGATAAAGAAAAAAGGAGTGGGTGGGGAATCAGAGAATGAAGAAGAAAGAGACTGGGGGAGCCAGGCCAGTCTCCACCTATGCTGGATTCTGGGGGCCATGCTGCTGAAACTGACCATGAGTAGAAGGCTGGCCCTGCCTCCTCCATCCGCTCCCTCAGCTACCCACTCAAAACACAAGATTACTTCATAAAAAGAGCTCCTGATAATGAAATAAATGCTTTTGAGAAAGGCAGCCTAGATGGTGAACAGGAAAACAAGTTGTCTTTTAAGTCACAAGATTGGGATTCAAATCCTGGCTTTGTTACTATGTGTGTGATCCTCAGCAAGTGATTTCCCTTCTCTGCACCTCATTTTTCTCCTCTTGGAAAAGGAGACAATGGAGAAAGTGAACTGGATTGACATCCTGCCTTAGCTGTTATCTACCTGTATGTTCTTGGGTGTATCATCTCACTTCTCCTCATCCGTAGAAAGAACTCATTCTGTGTCTAGTTGTACTAGAGGTCCTCTTATCAAGATCACTTTCAGCTCTAAATGTATGATCCCATAATCTCTAGGATCCTTACCAGTTCTGAAACCTTATGATTTTTAGAATTCATTTATTCAACAAACATTTGTTAAGCACCTATGATACATAATTGGCAGCCAAATGGCACAGTGGATAGAGTAAATGGGCTTGGAATCAGGAAGACTCCTCTTCCTGAGTTCAAATCTGGCCTCAGACACTTACTAGCTGTGTGAGCCTGGGCAAGTCACTTAACCCGTTTGCCTCAGTTTCCTCATATGTCAAATGAGCTGGAGAAGGAAATGGCAAATCATGTCAGTATCTTTGCCAAGAAAACCCCAAATGGGCCATGACTGAACATGATGCGCAATAATTATTTTTATAATTATAATAATGATGATGATAACTGGCATTTATATAGTGTCTACTTTGTCTAAGTTTCCCTTTAGCCAAATGAAGATCACTAATTTTCTCCTGACCATGCGCTGTGCCTTCCCATTTATATGCCTTCCTTACCCTACGTCAACGTAGGAGGGCATTGCAGGCCTGGAGGGTGGAGGGAGAAGGCATGTAAATGTGAAATTTTTGTAAGAAAAAGTAATTGGAACTCTAGTCAAGGAGAGATGTTTTGAGAATCTCAGGGTGGTGGTGGGGATGAGAATGGGAAGAAAGAGAATTGACAAGATTTGGTAACTGACTGGATTTTAAGGGAAAGAAAGCATCAAAGACAGCTCGGTAGTTCTATGCAGGGACAACTGGGAGGATGGTGGTGCTATTGACTAAGATAAGGAAGCCAGAAAAAGGAGGATAAAGAAGATGAAGTTTGTGTTGAATTTGTTGAGCTGGAGGTTCCAGTGGGACATTCAAGTAGAGATGTCCAGCAGGCAGTCATCAATGCCAATTTGGAATTTGAGGGAGAGGTCAGAGATGGTGACGCAGGTTTGGAAATCATTTGTATTGAGACAATAGTTGAAGTTATGGGAATGGACAAGCTCACCCAGGCAAAGAGTTTAAAAAGAGAAGAGGGATACACACACACACACACACACACACACACACACACACGTATATACACACATATATGTATATGTGCATATATAGACACATACGTGTGTCTTTATATATATAATTGCACATATGTATGTGTACATGTATACACATATGTATATATGCATGTGTTTTGTTGGTTCTTGACATGGGTCTAATCTCCTTTGTTGCTATTTCTTTTGGGGAAAGGGAAATTCCATAACAAGATTTCTTCAGGCACACAGTAAGGTGCAGAATAGAGACAGAGACTGGACGTGTGATTTCATTGACATGGGGAATTCCCAGATAAGGAAACTCCCAGATGCAGGTTAGGACCTTCTCTGCAATTATCTTAGTCTTCCTTGTTTCGAGGCCAGTTCTCTTTCCATTACTCCATGTGATAAAGTACTCTGTAAACCCTTCAATACTATATGTGTCAGTTGTTGCTACTATTATTGTTATTGTTATTATTATTAGCCATTAACTGACCAAACCTGAGACAACTGTCATCAGAGTCATTTCTCCAATGATGATAATACCTTTGGACTCCAGCTCAGCCGCTCCTGCAGCTGCCAGAAAACAAGACCAGTGGCATTTCCCAGAGCCCACTCTTCCAAGGACACACAACCCACAGTGCTTGCTGAATTGATTGAGCCCCCGGGGAATCCCATAAATTTGGTGTTCTAACTCTGTGGAATATTCTCTGCTCATTCTAAATCACCAGCAATCTATTCTTGCAAAAACTCCTGTTCTATGCCCTGCATATAAATTCTGCTCCCTCCTGGGTGTAATTCCCCACAGATGTTTTCGTTAGCTGCCAACATTCCATCCATCTGTATGCTACTGCTCTTGCCTTATGCCACCCTGGGATGTTGTTGGCCTGTCCCTGATGGCTTGGCTGTTCATTACAGTTATGTCCCCAACAGATTGATACAAGCTAGCTTCGATCAGCCAGACAATCTGGTTTCCTGTAGACAGAGACAAAACAAATTGACAGCTCTTGATGTTGAAAGGACCCAGATGGACCCAATAATTGAGGACATTGAAAACGTCTTCCGAGCCCAGCTCTGCCAGTTACAATGTGGCCTTGGAAAGGTCACTTTCTCTCTCTGAGACTTAGTCTTTGGGGATCATCTGTAAAAGTAGAGGCGTTAGTAAGGTGATCTCTAAGCTCCCTTCCATATCTAAATCCTATGATGATAAGCCATTTTTTGGTTTCTAAAATAAATTTCTTAAGAGCCATGAACACATTGCTTCACACATGTAGAGTTAAAACTTTTGAATTCCATGAGAAAGCAAACTTTCATTTTATTTTAATTAAATTTATATTTTTCAGTTAACAAGTGTGAATTTTTGTTCCCCTGTAGCTGCTTGATGCCTGGGGAGAAAAAAAAAATCCTCTTGTAACAAATATACATAGTCAAGCAAAATAATTCTCATACCAAGTTCAAAAATGTAGTATCATTGTGTAGATTGGGTCTATCTCCTTTCTGCTAGGAGGTGGATAACATTCTTCAAAACTGATCCTCTAGAATTGTGGTTTAGGACTCAATTCTGAAGTTGTTTGGAGATTCAATTAAATAAACATTTATTAAGTACCTTGAATGTCTGAAACACTGTTCTAGGAGCTAGGGGAGATACAAAGTTTAGATAAGACCCAGTTTTTACCTTCATGGAACTCAGTCTAGTAGGAGGATGTGATATAATCTCCAATACATTTTATGTACAATAGTACATGGTCAGTGCATCTGAAAGGATCAGAGAGCTATGTGAGATCCAGGGTGGATCTTCTGGAATCAAAGGTTTCCTGGAAGAGGTGGCATCTGAGCATGAATCCAACAGAAGGAGGAAGGGAGAGAGCATGCTGGATGTAAGACACAGATGCAGCAAAGAGTGGGAGATTAGCAGTAGCTGGTGAGCATCCAGTCTGGCTAGCCAGTAGAGGATGTGGAGGAGTATTGCATGAGATGAAGCTGCAAAGGGAGAGTAGCCCTAGATTGTGAAGGAATTTCAATGCCAGGCTAAGAAATGTGAACCTGGCTCGGTCAGCAATAGGGAACCATTGAAAAGTTTTGAGCAGAGAGAGGGCATAACTAGATCCATAAACAAGGAAGGTAAGCCAGACAGGAGTAGAGACCATCTAGGAAATTCTGTCTAATAAGAAATTAGAGATGAGGGATAATGGCAAGTTCTCTCTGTATGGATGCTAGAACAATGTGATGGGAGATAGTGGCATTTTGAAACAAAACGGATCTGCCTTTTATCAATTCACACTCATATTACCTCCATGGTTTCCTAATGGGCCCTCCCAGCCCTCCCAGGCTTTACTTCATCCTTCCCACGCTACTCCTTCTTAAAGCACATCTCTGACCATCTCACTCCCTTCCTCAGAAGCCTGGAGTGGCTTCTTGTCACTGCCAGAGCCAAACCCAGACTCCTCACTGTGGCATCCAAGGCAAACCACCTAATCTGCCCTTCAGCCCCAACTCCTGCCCTGCAAAGACGCTGTGGCCCAACAGACTATTTAATCCAACACAGACTATTCCCAGATTCTAAAGCCTCAGACACTTCCTAGTTATGTGACCATAGGTCATATGGCTTAACCGCTCTCTGCCTCAGTTTCCTCAGCTGTAAAATGGAAGTCTTAATACCACCTATCTGCCAGGGTTGTTTTGAGACATGTTGCTGTTCTGTCATTTTTCAATTGTGTCTGCCTCCTCACGACCCTATTTAGGGTTTTCTTGGCAAAGATACTGGAGTGGTTTGCCAGTTCCTTCTCTAGCTCATTTTACAGATGAGGAAACTGAGGCAGAGTTAAGGGACTTGCCTAAGGTCACACAGCTAGTAAGTATCTGAGGCCAGATTTGAACTTGGGTCTTCCTGACTCCAGGCCTGGCACTCTATCCACTGTACCACTTAGCCACCCTGCCTGGCACATAGTAGGTGCTATATAAATGCTAGTGATCATAGTGATGATGATGGTGATGATGATGATGATGATGATGATGCCTGTGCACTGTGTCTAAGGCACTTTGCTGACTAGTAGGCTAGATGCAAAGCTAAAAACTGACACAGACTCCATGAGGTGACAGGGGATTTAGGGCCTTACATCTCACAGTTAATCCTGCCTCCATAGCTTTGTTCCTCAAGCAGCGCAGTGGAAATGGTCCTAGACTTCTATTCCAGTTCTGCCATGAATAAAAATCAAAGAATTCGAGCATGGGAAGGGGCCTCAGTGACCCTTCTAATTTGTACTTGAACAAGAATCCCCCCCCCTACAATCCACTTGGTAAACAGTTTACTAGCCTTGGCTTGAAGGTCTCCAGTGAGGGGGAACCATTACCCCCCAAAGCAGCCCATTCAACTGCAGGATAGCTCTGTTAGGAAGATTTTCCTGCCCTGAGGTCTCAGTTTACCTCACGTCTCCATCCACCTTTAAGAGTTACCAAGCCCTTTGTTCCCACCAGTCCTGTGCGGTAGCATGGCGGAGCCCAAAGACCCAACTTCGCCTCCCGGCTCTGCATGTCTCTGAGAAACACTGGGGTGTAACATAAAGAAATACCACTGATTTGGGGTCAGGGGCTCTGGGTTTGAGTCCTGACTGACCTTGGATAACTAATCCAATTCAACAAATGTTTTTTAAATGGCTACAACATGCAAGGAAGGCAGTGTGCTAGGCAACGGAGACACAAATTCAAAAGCCAGCCAATCCCTGCCTTCAGGTGGCTTATGTTCTATCCCGTCTCCTCATTAAGGGAGATTCATCTTCCCAAAACACAGTCACTCCTCAGACTAGATGATGTCTAATATTTCTTGTAGCTATAATCTTAGGCTTCTCCTCTCCAGTCCTCAGTTTTCTGCCCTGTAAAATTTTATCTACTTTGAATGAGATGGCATTTCCAAATTCTCCTGCAGATCTGTAATTCTTACACGAACATCATTATCCCAATTTTAAGATGTTTCAAAGCTGAGACTCAGCATTTAAGTAATTTGCTCTGGATCACACAATAGGTGACCCAAACCCAGGATTCCTGACTCTAGGTCTTGTGCCTTTTTTTTTTTCCTGGTGAGGCAATCGGGGTTAAGTGACTTGCCCAGAGTCACACAGCTAGTAAGTGTCAAGTGTCTGAGGCTGGATTTGAACTCGGTCCTCCTGGCTGCAAGGCTGAAGCTTTATCCACTGCGCCATCTAGCTGCCCCTCTTGTGCCCTTTCTATCATACATACCACACTTAACTACCTTTTCTTGTGTTTCTCATAGAGGCTGGGTGAAAGGCAAGCATTCAGTGAATGCCTACTGTGCTCACTTTTACCAAAGTTGGCAGAAGGGTTACACATAATTCTTCCTATTTCACAGGTGCCTTCTGTTTTGGAGCTCTGAGGTATAGACTAGTTAACTTAGAGCCTTAAAATATGGAAGGATAGCTGGAATAGTGGAAAGAGTCTTGGAGACTGCTGCTGGCTCTGTAACATTGGGTGAGGGACTTATCTTTCAACAATAAATTTGATTTAGCAAATATTTGTTAAGTGCTTACTTCCTACAAGTGAGAGGCTGAGGCTACAAAGATAAAAAAGCAAATTCCTTTGCCCTCAGGGAGTCTATGTTCTAAATTCAGTCTCCTCAGTGGATGGATCAACAAGCATTAATTAAGTGTTGTAGTTGAGTTATAGGGGGTGGGGATACAAAGATGAATATGAATCAGTCCCTGACCTTGAGAAGCTTGCATTCTTTCAGGAGAAACAACAGGTCATCCACAAAATGGAGACAATGCCTTCATTGTCCTACCTCACAAGGTGGTTGTTAGGAAGGGGATTTGTCACTCTTAAATCACTGTGGAAGTGGGAGTTATCATTACTGTTAAACTGGGATGTGTGATACCACCAGTGAGCCAGGTAGGAACTCAGCATTTGGCCAATTGTGTCTCCTTCACCTCAGCCAAGAACACCATTGTCCGGGGGCTGGAGAACGTGGAGGCAGTGGAAGGAGGAGAGGCCCTGTTTGAGTGCCATCTAGCCAAGCCAGAGGTTGCCAACCACAGCTGGCTGATGGATGATGTGCCAGTGAGAACCTCAGAAAACATCGAGATGGTCTACTTTGAGAATGGCCGAAGGCACCTGCTACTGCTAAAGAATTTGACTCCCCAGGACAGCTGCCAAGTGACCTTCCTGGCCAATGATATGGTCACATCTGCTTTTCTGACTGTCAAAGGTATTGATGATCACGGGGGGGGTTGGAGGTGTGTTTCCGTTATGATGGTTAGTGAGGCGAAGCGAAGAAGATAGGTGAGGATGGCTGGGCCTGTAGATTGGTTTAGAGGTGGAAGAGAGGGGTGCTATAGAATGAATTATTCTATAAGAGATGGAGTGGCAGAGATACACCCAATCCTGGTGTGTGGGGGGGGGAGAGATAGGGAGAGAAAACCATTTCAAATAGGCAGGACAGTCAGATTCAAAGTACCATCCTGGTTCCATTTCCCAGACTGGATCAGCGATCCTAATACCATGGAAAAGTCATGAGTGATTTCATCTGGATCACAATATATACCATCTTGGCTCTTCTGAGAAGTTGTAATTGGCTGATGGAAAAGATAGTTTGAGTGGTCCGTGCACCAAGCCAATGCTACCAACCCACCCAGTGGCATCTAGGGGTAAAGCTTCAGATAATAGACACACAATTCCCAATACGGACACACCAGCTGGACACACAGATACACCCAATACAAACATACCTACATGCCTAATACCAATATTCACACACCAATAATCTGTGCAGACATAACCAACCCAAAAAAATACACACCAATTAGCTTCACAGACAGATTCTATTACCGTACAAATGTAACACAGTCTGGCCTCATAGACACTCCCTTCCCAGTAGACATACCTCAGCTGGCCATATAGACATACCCAATCACAATACAGGCGCACCAGGTCCCCAGAGCCTTTTAGGTAGTCTGTATCCATAAATCTTTGTTGCATATCCTTATCTAGCTATCGCCACACACCTGGGCCTATATGGAGAGTATGTCAGTGTAAAAGAAATGGCATTCTCGTCAGTGGTCAAACAGGTTGTGAGGCAACTCCCCTCTAATAGCCACAAATTCTCAAATCTTCATTGAATTGGGTAGGTTCTTTCCCAAACCCAGGACTGCCTCCTGAGAGTCCCTCTTCTAGGAAAAACACCCGTAGGACCAAAAACGTGCACACATGCAGAGCCCCCTTCTCTGCCCAGCTATCCCACCTGAGCTTTGAAGTTCTGCATGGCTCCTTAGGGTTGAGTGTAAATCAGTTCTGCTCATGTCCGCAACACCTAAAAGCATATTTTCACCCTAGGTTGGCGTCTGGAATTCCTGGAGTCTTTGCTCGATGTGGAGGTCAAGGTTGGCGCCAAAGCCACCTTTGGCTGTGTGCTCAGTGAGACAGTCCCTGTCAATGAGGTGACCTGGTACTCCAATGGCACTGAAATTCAGCCAGATGAGGACTGGGCGATCCAAGCCGATGGCAGCCGCCACATCTTGCTCCTCAGGAATGCCCAGCCCCACCATGCTGGGGAGGTGACCTTTGCGGCCAGAGACGCTGTCGCCTCAGCCAAGCTGTCTGTGATCAGTAAGTGGGAAAACGAAGAATCTAGGGAGCATGCAGTCATGCCATAGTAAGGAACAAAGCAAGACCACAGAGTCTCCAAACTGGAAGGGACCTCAAAGTCGTCTAATCCAACCTGTATCTGAGCAATCATCTCTATGGTATCCCCAACCAGTGGGCATGCCCCCTTTACTTAGAGAGATGGAAAACTCAATAGTTACCCAGGCAGCACATTTAATTCACATAGAGGGTTAGGGGCCTCAGAGGACCTTGAGTTTAGGCCCCACTTGGATTAAGATCCCTTTCTACACCATCTTAGAAATCCACTCTAATAGAACAAGTGGTCATTCAGCCTCTCTGCTTGGAGACCTGTAGGGACAGGGTGTTTTTCCTCTCCGGAGGTAGCATATTCCATGTCTATAGGGCTGAGAATCTACTCTAAGCCCAGGAATCTACTCTGAGCTAATTGAAAGGTTGAGAACCCTGGAGATCACTGGTCTTTTACCATAATGAACTGAATACATGGAGGTTTTCCTAGGGAGGATTTAATAGGTCATTGGGGAGGTTGAACTAAATTACTTTCCAGGTCCCTTACAGCCAAGGGAATCCATATTCTTATAATAACAGACCATGTAATCCGAAAATCCATACGTGTGTGGACAGCAAGTGTGTTTATATATAATAATGGGAAAGGACATGGGCTGTTGGCTGTAAAAATTTGTATTTTTAGTAATACATAAAACCAGTTTAATCAGCTTTATTCTTGCCCAAGAACACAGTTATAGGCCTAGCACTACTTGCAGATCAAGTCCTGTCAAGCTACAGAATCAAAGACTATTAGAACCGAGAAGCATCCTATGACGCAGAACATGGAATGTGAGAACTGGAAGAGACAGACTGTGAGCACAGAAAATGGACGTTCTGAGTCACCAGTGTGGCTTTAGGGATCATCTTGACCAAAAGTCCTTCACTTTTTTTTTTGTCATGAACCCCTTAGGCAGTGTCTGGTGAAGCTTATGCATGTCTTCTCAGAATCATGTTTTTAAATGCACAAAATTAAATATATAGGATTAGAAAAGAAATCAACTATATTGAGTGCAGTCACCAGAATAATAACTTAATAGTGAAGTAAAAATAATAGTTCACATTTATATAGCATTTTGTGACTTAAGGAACCCTTGATATATATATTGTCACAACTCTGTGAAATAGCTCTAATTATCAGCCTCATATCATTGAAGAAGATGAGGCCCAGGAAGATGAAATTAATTAATTGCCCCAAATCAAATCACCAGGGCCTTTTTTTTTTTGTGGGACCTTGCTGTGGGGCAACAAGGTGGCACAGTGGGTAGAGCGCCAGGCCTGGAGTCAAGAAGACTCCTCTTCATGAGTTCAAATCTGGCCTCGGACACTTGCTAGCTGTGTGATCCTGGGCAAGTCACTTGACCTCAGTTTCCTCATCTGTAAAATGAGCTGGAGAAGGAAACAGCAAATTAACTCCAGTATCTTTGCCAAGAAAACCCCAAATGGGGTCACAAAGAGTCAGACAAGACTGAAAATGACCAAACAAGAACACATGATCAAAAGATTCTGCTGTGAACTTCCCCAGGCTTCCTGGACACCCAGCCCTGCAGATGACCTACATTACGTGTTCTTCTCTGTCATCTCTAGGTCTCCCTGACCCTCCTGAAGATGCTGAGGTTGTGAAACAGAGTGGCCACACGGTGACCTTGTCATGGGCAGCACCAGGGAGCGATGGTGGCGCTGGCCTCCTTGGGTACAGGGTGGAAATGAAGACAGCAACAGGAGAATGGCAGTCATGTCACAAAGACCTGGTTCCAGGCACCGAGTGTGTGGTGAGCGACCTGGTTCCCGGGGAGCCCTACCGCTTCCGAATTGCAGCTGTAGGTCAGGTGGGCATAGGAGAGCCTGTGCACCTGCCTCAGACAGTAAAGCTTGGTGAGTGACCTTCATCTGCCTTCCAACCCTCTTCTTCCCAGTCCTCTTCATCTTCCCCTTTTCTCCTCTCTGTCCTCCTATTGGCCTTCTCTCCTCCTCCTCCTCCTTTCTCTTTCTTCTTTATACCTTGTGAGAATAATCTAGAGAGGATGGTCTCACCATCCAGTGGTATGGACCAAAGAAGAACAGAAATGGTATTTGCTACAGGGAGAGAAGTATTCCCCAATCCACACACTTACTAGGTCATTCCTCTTGATATTTATTTTTCCCCATATTTAGCGAGCTAAGTGAAAACCCAGATTGACTCTTTCACAGACAGGAAATCCAATGTCTGTTTAGGACTGGCTGAGAGCCTGAGGTCCCTCCCACATGACACAGGGACTTTCCTAGGGGCATCATCTATAGTATCAGTGCTATTGATTATATGTCTTCTTGCAGAGCCTATAGAGGCAGTCGCCTCACCCTCTGTAAGCAAGTTGGTGGTGGTTGGGGAGGAAGCTCGCCTAGAGTGTGAGATGACGGGTGAGATCCAGGAGGTGACCTGGAGGAGAGGGAATGAACTGATTCAGCCTGGAGGCCGCTATGAGCTCATCTCCAAAGGCAAGAAGCAAACACTAGTGATCCATGGGTTCCGACCCGATGACCAAGGCTCCTACACCTGTAGCTCCACTAGCAGCAAAGCCCCAGCTGCTGCATCTTTTGAAGGTATGTCTCAGAGTACAGGTGGGTTGTCAGGGGTGGGGTGGAGGAGGGAAACAAAAGCAGGCTGAACATTACAGAAGCACGCAGGAAATTTATTCAGTCATTCATTTGTTCAGTCATTCATTTGATTATACATGTACTCATGTATTCTTTCATGTGTTAACTCATTCATTTGTCCATTCATTCAGCAATGGGTTCATTCATTCACTCGTGTATTCCACATATTCAGTGGGTATCTGTTAAATTAATAGCACCTAATTCCCAGAGTTGTCTGAGGATCACATGAGATAATTGTGGTAAAGTGCTTAGCACGATGCCTGGCATATAATAAGTGCTTAATAATTTCTCATTTCCTTCCTACTTTCCTTCCCACTATGTGCAAAACACTTTGCTAGGGGCTTGGGAAGACACAAAGAAGGCGTCATGGCCCCTGCTTTCATTGGCATCATGGCCCCATAGAGTAGTTAAGACATGAACAAAAATTACAGTGATGCGATATATCAGAAGACGAAGTGGGAAGGACTCAGTTCTGTTTGAGAAGGACCAGAGAAAGATTTCTGGATAGGTGATACCTGAGATGGACCACGGTCTGTGTGGGCTTCATTGCCACAATGTGGGGGCAGGACATCAGAAGACCTAAGTACTAGTCTCAACTTTCCCACTCACTATGTTACCTTGAACAAGTCATTTCCCTGTTTGTGACTCAGGTTTATTCATCTATAACTTGAGGTGATTAATCCTCACCCAACATACTCCACATTTATCACCACCATTTGTCTGTGAGGTAGACATGAGTCTGTGACTAGTGATCCAATTTTACAGATGGAGGAGCTGAATACCACAGAGTAGAAGTAACTTGCCTAATGTCTTACAGTGAGTGAGCAGACCTGGGAGTAAAAACCAATTCTCCCGCCTCTCAGCCCATGGGTCTTCCCATTCTACCAAACTAGCTCTGTGTCCTTTGTCCTTCACTGATGTCCTTTGGGTCCAGTCCTTATGCTTCTTGTGGTCAGTCTGACCTCTCCCATGGATGGTGGAAGAGCATGGGCTCTTGAGTCAGAGGAACCAGATTCAAATGTTTGATTCATGCATTATTATGGCCAAAGAATTCCTCACCAAGGGATCAGCCGAATTCATGGCTGTGTGTCTGTCTATTCTTAGCTAGATTGTTCCTGGAATACCAGAATCAGTCCATCACTAGGATGATGCTTGATACTTTGTCCAATGATGTAGCTCTTTTGAAAAGTTATGCTCTTCCTGCATTGCTTTTGAGAAGCTAGGATCACCTCCACACCACAATGAGACATAATCTATTAGTTAACAAGCATTTATTGACTCTGTACTAGACCCTGATGATAAAAATAAAAAAGTGAAACAAGTTTCAGCCAATAAGAAACTTAATGTTTATAAGGGATGGAATTCCACAGGGTACGCTTTTTTTTTCAGTACAAAACATCACTTAAGTTTATTTCAGATGTAATGCGATGTCATGTTAAAATGGACAGGTTTAACAGACTACACATTCTGATGTGCAGATACAGCCTGTTCACAAATAAGTAAAATACACAGTACATATGAGAAAAATACTCGGTTATTAGAGAGACACTAACAGCAGGGAGAATCAAGAAGGGCCTCTTGAAGGGACTGACACTTGAGCTGAGCCATGAAGCAAGTTTGGAGTTCAGAGGAAAGGGAGAGTAAGTCTAGACATGAGGGTGAGTCTCTTCAGAGGCACAAAGGGGGAGATGAAACCTACTGTGCAGGGAACAGTGAGTTGTAAGGTCTGGCTGGAATGAAGGGTCTATGAAGAAGAATAGTGTGTAATCAGTAAGCCTGGAAAGCAAGGCTGGAACTAGATGCCAAACAGAGGGGGTTATAATTTAACCTAAAGGCAATGGGGAGCCACCGAAGCTTCTTGAGCAGGGGAGTGGCATGGTCAGATATATCTATGCTTTTGGAATATCAGTCAAGTTTGTGGGGATAAGATATAAAAGAGGAGAGACTGGATGAAAAGAGACCAATCAGGAAGCTATTTCAACAGTTCAAGTTGGAGGTGATGAGGTCCTGCACCAAGGTGGTCCTACTGAGAGTAGAGATAAGGGGACAGTTCTAACACATGCTGAAAAAAGTGGAATTAACAAAACTTGGACTGAATGAAAGTGATAATGGCATTCAACTTGACAAAGCCTCATTGAGTGTATAAAATCTATCAGGGACCATGCTGAGTGTTACGAGAGACCAAAAGAAAAATAAAACATGATCCACAAGTAATAAGGTATGGTATAATCTTCTCCCATCGGTAACACAATTTAGGGAGTTTCCTGAAAAGAGGAACTATGTCGATTGTAGACGTGTGACCTCAGGTGCTAGGACACTTTCCCTTAGGTCTTCCTGCTGACTGACTGTTTATTCCCCCCAGTGGCAGTATCCCAGGCCCCCGAGGCAGAAGCCTTGCCAGATGGCCTTGCCCAGCCCAGCTTGCCCCCTGAGGCAGCCCAGGAAGGAGACCTGCACCTGCTGTGGGAGGCTCTCGCCAAAAAGCGCCGCATGAGCCGGGAGCCCACCCTGGACTCAATCAGCGAGCTGCCTGAGGAGGATGAGCGGCTGCAGAGGCTTCGACGAGAAGTCGAGGAAGCTGTCCAGGACTTCTCCGAGGGCTACTCCACTCCTGACGAGCTGGCCCGCACTGGCGAGGCCGACCTCTCACACACCAGTTCTGACGACGAGTCCCGGGCTGGCACCCCATCCCTTGTCAGCTACCTCAAGAAGGCAGGAAAGCCTGGGAGCAAAGCCAAGGCCCCTGGGGCTGCCACTGCAAGCAAGCTCAGGAAGCCATGGGAGCAGGCAGAAGCTGAGCCCATGGCCACCCCTAAGCTGCCTAGCGACCTGACTGCTGAGATTTTGGAGGACCCCTCCATGGATAAGGCTGCCATAAAAATACAGGCAGCTTTCAAAGGCTATAAGGTGAGAAAGGAGATGAAGCAACATGAGGGTCCTAGCTTCCGGGATACTTTTGGGGACATGGTGGTGGAAGCAGGAGGCTCCCTGCACCTAGAATGTGTGGCTGTCAGCAAGACAGACATGAGAACCTGCTGGCTTAAGGATGGAGTAGAGTTGACAGATGGACGGCACTACCACATTGACAACTATGGGGACGGTACCTGCTCCCTGCTGGTCACCGGCCTGGAGGCCAGTGATGCTGGCTGCTATACCTGCCAGGTGACCAACAAGTTTGGCCGCATCTCCCACAGTGCCCAAGTGATGGTAACAGGGGCCACGGTGACCAGCGGAGCTGAGAGCGAGGCAGAAAGTTCATCAGGCAGTGAAGTAGATGACGCATTCCGCCAAGCCGCCCGGAGACTACACCGGCTGTTCCGGACCAAGGCCGCTGCAGAAGTATCTGATGAGGAGCTGTTCTTCAGTGCGGAGGAGGGCAGTGTGGAGCTGGAAGAGCCCAGTGACCGGCAAACCTATCGTGAAGATGACCGCTATATTTATATTCGATTTGAGACTGCCAGTGAGGCCCGCCAGGCTACTACTCGCTTCCGAGAGATGTTTGCAGCTCTGGGCATCCCAGTGGAAATCAACATTCTGGAGCAAGGGCCCTGCAAGGTGGAGATGCGTATCATGAAGGTGGCACAACCCCCAGCAGGCCAGCTTGCCTACCCCGCGGCCCCCAAAGAGCACCCTTCAACACTGTTGACCTCTGACACAGGTAGGTTGCTGGAGAAGACCCCTACTCCACAGTGGCCACAGTGGCGCTTGCTCTTCTCTCTCCTCTCTAACCAAAGCTAAGCCAATAACAGGTTCAGATCAATGGAGCCTGTTCTCCCCAGTGTTTCCCAGATCCTGCCTAGACCAGGAGAGTTCTTCCCCTCAGGAGTGGTCCAGAAGGTTGGGATGGCTACCATGCTATCCTGGAATTCTAGACCCATCAAGGCTATGAAACTTAATCCTTCCTTGGACCCAGAACCTTGCAGCCCCATCATGCTACAGAGATCTGTTTTCTCATTCTGTCCTTAGGGCCTCAAAGCCACTCTCCCTTGATTCTTGGCCCTTTCTACCCTGGTACCTCACTTGGCACCTGATTTGCCCCATTCTGATGCTCTTATATAATGGGGTTATATAGTTATACTCTTTTACAGTATATGTTTTATCCCCCAACTAGAACATGAGCTCCAAAAAGGCAGAGACTTTGTCTTACTGCTTAATAAATGTTTGTTGGATCGAACTAAAATCCAACTGACCCTGCTGGGGTAGAGGGAAAGGTCGTGAGAATCATATCTTTCTTTTTAATCTGTCCATCTCCTCCTCCGGCTCAGCCCCTGTTTTCTTGACGGAGCTGCAGAACCAGGAAGTGCAGGATGGCTACCCTGTGAGCTTCGACTGTGTGGTGGCTGGTCACCCAGTGCCCAGCGTGCGCTGGTTCAAAGACGGCAAGGTGCTAGAAGAGGACGACCACTATATGATCAATGAGGACCAGCAAGGCGGCCACCAGCTGATCATCACAGCTGTGGTACCTGCTGACATGGGCGTCTACCGCTGCCTGGCTGAGAACAGCATGGGCGTCTCTTCTACCAAGGCTGAGCTCCGTGTAGACTGTGAGTCATTGATTGGAGGGGTGGGTGAGGAGTGTAGCCAGGAAAGGGAGTGTGGAATGCTATCAGGACACAGAAAATTAGAGATGGAAGGAAAGAAAGCGGTGGGTTGGAAGGCAAAACTCCAGGACAAAGTAAGAGGATTAGGAAGATGGCTTGTCCCCTCTAATGATCAGTCAGTAAAGGCCTCATACAATGTAGAGCTGAAAGAAGCCTTGGAGATCTTCAAGTCCAATTTCTCTCATTTAATAGGTGAGGAAAGTGACTTGCCCAAGGTCACTTAGGTAATAATTAGCCAAGTTGTTATGCAAACCCCAACCCCATGCTCTGACCACTATAATTATCCCAGTCAATTCAATTCAACAGGTATTTGTTAAATGCTTTCTCTGTGCAAGTCCCTGTGCTAGAAAATACAAAGATCATGAACATTTCTGATCTCAAGGAGCTAATTTTCTACTGAAGGGATATAAAATATAAATATGCTATGTTAATATGTAAATGTATAAAATGCAAATATATAAAGTACATAAATACTATGTATTCCATATAATATAAATATATGTATATACATAACACATATATGTAGAGCAATGCATACATATATCATATTGTAGAAGTATAAAGTAATTTGCGCCTAGTAGGGCAATAAAAACCAAAAGGTCAAGGAAGGGCTTGTGCATAGGAAGTAGCTAGCACCTGACCTGGGCTTTGAGGGAAGCCAGGGATTCTAAGAGGTCGTCCAGACGTGGTGGACCACCCCAGAAGATGAAATGTCATCAGAAACAGCAGGTAGGGTAGTTTTACTGGAATGGAAAGGTCATGAAAGGCAATAATAGGAAACCAGACAAGAGAGGTAAATGAGGGGCTTTAAATGGCAGTCTGAGGGGTTTTTATTTGATTTTAAAGAAAATAGGGACCCATTACAATTGTTTGAATGGAGGGGTGACCTGATCAGAGCTATGTTATAGGAAAATCAGTTTGGCAGCAGTATGAAGGCTGCATTGGAGAAGGGGGATATTGGATGCAAGTTAACTAAGAGACTATTGTCCAGGTGAGAGGGGATGAGGGTCTGAACAAAGCTCTTCATGATCAGGACCCTACCTTACCCTTACAAGCTTATCTCACATCTTTCCTGCACATACATCCTGTGCTTTCGTCTAAATGGACTTCTCACACTTTCCCAAACAAATCCTATGTTCTCCCACCTCCCTGACCGTACTATGCTGTGTCCTATGCCTGAAATAACCTCCCCACCTCCACCTTTTGAATTTCTAGCTGGCCTTTAAAGCCCAGCTAAAATGTCCCCTCCTTCAGAAAGCCTTATTTGATCTCTCAATTAGTAACTGCCTTCCCCCTTGGACTTCACATAACACTGTGTAACTCTCTAATGTATTTATCAAACAATATTTAATTCAATTCAAGAAATATTTATTAAGCTTTATTATGTTTAGGGCCCTCTTTTTACTGGCTCCTAGGAGAGATACAACATTTATACAAGTTTTGACATTCAAGAAGGTGTCTACTAGGGAATTCTTCACACAGAGATGACTATGATACATAATAACACATGATTAGTGGATTAGATGCAAAATACTGTGTGAAACTGAAGGAGAAGACAGTTATTCCTAACTAGGGATTCAGGGAAGGCTTCCTGGAGGTGGTGTTGGGGAAGGACTTCCAAGGCTGAATGGTAATTTGATAGGTGAAGAGAAAGAAAGGGGGAGGAATACATTCTAGTCCAGGAGTAGGGAGCTGAAATGGGAATGTAAAGGGGATGAAAAGTAGCCCAGAATGTATGCAGGAGAGTAGTGTGAGATATAACAAGTAGCCTTGCAAAGAGCTACCAGCCTGGATGTTGGGGTTTTATAACAGGTGTGAGGGAGAAAGATGGGCCACAATGTAGCTGTTCTCGTACTCTTTTTCAGTCCTGGGAACTGAACGACTTCAGGGGAGAATTGGGGAACACCAGCTTTTGGTAACCTTGTATGCTGGGCTGATTCTCCAGAAACAAGAACCCAAAAGGATTGGCTACGATCTAGATAGACAAAATGGCACCAATTTGAGTGCCTGACTCTTACCCAGGGCTCTCTTTCACTTCTTTCCCCCAGTGACTAGCACTGACTATGACACAGCAGCCGATGCTACAGAGACTTCTTCCTATTTCAGTGCTCAGGGCTACCTGTCCAGGTAATAAAGAGTTTCCTTTTTATCCAAAGAGCATGGGGGCTGTTGGGATGATGGTACAGGCACCCAAAGAGCTAGAAAGCTAGGGCTTTGGAGACTCCTGTATAGTACATTATGATGAGGAGGAGAAAGAGGAGGAAGCAGAAGGGGAAGAAGAGGAGGAGGACGAAATCCCACCATTTTAGTTTCATAGATTGATGGACTGTCAGAGCTGAAAGAGGCCTTAGAACAGAGAACACAAAGAAGGAGGAGCAAGATTTTGGATTTTCTCTCAACTCTCCATTCGTTATACCCGTGATTGGAGTCCTGGAGATTTCTAATGATACAGCAGAGTGTGAAAAAGTGTTCAGAGAGAAGAGGGTCTAATCTGGAATATTATCCTCTCACCCAGGCCTAGCTCTACTTGTCTGCCCCAAATATGGCCTTGGGGGTACCATTCACTTCATTCGTTCATTCATTCATTCTTATGTTGATGCATACATGATCCCAGTAATGCTGGCACTTCCTCCACTGCCCAAAAAATCAAAGTCCACCACCATCTCATGCCATGCAGTTCTTATTCATTTTCTCCCATTAGTTCTCCATGGGCAGGAGAGGGGAGTCTTTCTAATGGGCTAGAGGTCTTTCTTGGGTTCTTTTAATTTATCCTAGGTACCAGTGCCACAGATAACCAGTGCATGCCCCTAATAGCTAATAAAAAAAAAATGCATCCCCCAGTGGCTAATGAGCTGGTGATGGGTTTCTTTCTACTTAGCTAGGCTGGCCCTCAGGCAACAGACAGTCAGTCATCAGAATCATACTCATAGCTTCTCCATTTTGGTAGAAACCGTTCTGCCTGTACAGTCTTTGGAAAACCAATGTCACCTCCATGCTTCAATGACCCATCAGAGAAAGAGTTAGTTCATTCATTCATTTAACAAATATATGTCCCCGAGTCAGTTAAGTGATAGACAAGAACTTATCCCTGACGATATGGTAAAAGCCCCACAGCTTCTCTGCTCCATTCTTATCACCTCCTCCCCAGCCATGACCACGCTAGCCACCCCTTCCCCAATTTTCTGTTTCTTTTCCCTCCCGGGTCGGGGTGGGGGGCACTTCTCTGGATTTCCTCCTGTGACCCTTTCTTATGAATCACCCATCAGTCGGGAACAAGAAGGTACAGAGTCAACTTCGGAGGAAGGGCAGCTGCCCCAAATCCTAGAAGAGCTCCAGGACATCAAGGTGGCCCCCGGTGCCCGGCTGGCTAAATTCCACCTCAAAGTGAAAGGTGAGGCTGGGACCTCCATGGTAGGGGTGGTAAGGGAAGTTTTGTCTACTCAAGGACTCCAAGAAAGTGTGAAGGGAGATTCTAGGGGTCTGGCTTTCTTCTACTGATAGACTGAATTTTGACCATCTCTAACCTTCCAGGCCAAATGCAGCAGATGGCCTTGGCCATCCTCTCATGTAAACTGTGTGTAAGGGATTTTCTGATTTGTAGGTGAAGTGAGAAACTGCTTCCTGGGATGATGCAAGTGGGGACAGAGAGACTCTCCCAACCCCCAAAATCTTACTCTGGCTTACCCTGCCCTAAAATTCTACCATTTCCATTTTGTAGACTATCAGAGACGAAAGGAACTAGAACACAGAATGGCACAGCTAAGAGGGACTTTAGAGCTCATTTAGTACAATACACTCATTTTTACAGATGAGGGGACTGGAGTATAGAGAAGAGAAATGACTTGTCCATGGTCAAATAGCCAGCCTTTATTATTGTTCTTAATAATTCCTCCTCAAAATTTTAAATGAATACTTATTGATTGATTATAATACCCCTAGTGGCTAGTAGGGAAAATGTTGATAGAGGAGAGAAGGGTCTGTGCCCCCTTTTCCACCCACTGTCCTGCTTTGATAAACATCAGGTGACTGCCCCAGCTCTTAGACCCTATTCTCACTAGGGCAGCATTTTTAGAGACCCACTTCCCTCCCACCCCTGCCCCTAGATATGGTCTCTCAATCTGCTCTTTCATTTCAGGGTACCCAGTGCCTCGCCTCTACTGGTTCAAGGATGGGCAGCCCTTATCTACCTCCTCCCGGATCCTAAAGACTGATAAGAAGACAGTTCACACTCTGGAAATCCTCAATGTCACAAAGGAAGATGCTGGGGAGTATTCTGCCTACATCAGGAATGCTACAGGCTCTGCCTATTCCTCTGCCCGGCTGCTGGTCCAGGGTAAGCTAGCCAGTGCTGGTGCTTTAACACCACCTGCACAGGGCCTTTGGCCTGGCATAATGCTGTCACTGCTTGTCTTCTTAGAGAGGAACATATACACGTGTGTGTGTGTGTGTGTGTGTGTGTGTGTGTGTGTGTGTGTGTGTGAAGTCTTTAGCATGGCTGAAGACCAAAAGTGGACTCATGTCTAACAGCAGAATTCCCCTGTTAGAGTCTGTTTGGCAGTCTGGATGCCTCAGGGTCCCTTGACCACACTTAGAGTTGTTACTCAGTCACTCAGTTATGTCCCGCTCTTCGTGACCCAGCAGACCATAGCATGCCAGGCCTTTCTGTCTTCCACCATCTCCCAAGGTCTGCCCAAGCTCACATGCATTGTGTACTGTCCGTGGAGTTTTCTTGGCAAAGATGCTGGAGTGGGTGGCCATTTCCTTCCCCAGGGGATCACCTTTTGTCAGAACTCTTCATCACGACCTGTCTATCTTGGGCAACCCTGCATGACATAGCTTATAATTTCATTGACCTGTGCAAGCCCCTCTGCCACAACAAAGCGGTGATCCGTGGGGGAGGGGAGTGTTCACTAAACTAAACCATGCTACTTCCCTCTCATCACTGTATCCCACCTGCACCAATAAAGGGAGTGGGGGCCATTTGGGGAGATATATGTTCTTGACTGCATTTCTTCTTCTTCTATGTCATTATCAAGGTCCCAATGAACCAGATAAGAAGATAGATTCAGGTAAGAAGAAAATCCAGTGGGCAAAGAAGATAATAGATTTAATTCCACAAACATTTATTAAGTACCTACTGTATGCAGATCCCTGTGCAATGCATTGAGAGAGGTATAAAATTTAGAAACAAAGTCCCTGTCCTCATGCCATCCTTAATCTAGCGGAGGGGAAAGAGCAACACAAATAGGGATAGGAATAAGGAGAGATAGAGTTAAGGATAGAGATGGGGGAGGGGGCAGCTAGGTGGAGCAGTGGACAGAGAACTGGCCCTGCGGTCAGGAGAACCTGAGTTCAAATCTGGCCTCAGACACATAACACTTACTAGCTGTGTGACCTTAGGCAAGTCACTTAATCCCACTGCCTAGCCAAAAAAAAAACCACAAACAGAAAAAAGGACGGAGATGGGAATAAGGATAGAGATAGGGGTAAAGATAGGGATAGAGATAAGGATAAGGATGGGGATAAGATCTACCCAACACACTGGAGGCCTTCTTCTAATTCTCTTAACATTCCATGGCTATCAGTACTATGTTTGGGCCATCCATCTGTTACCCCTCACTCTCAATACCTGTCTACCTTAACACAATCTTTCATGCCACTTCCCGGGGCACCATCTTTAGCTACATGCTGCTCAGCATACTTACACCCATCATACATCTTTTTATTGCCCTTTGAATAACCTGCTCTGCCCTCCCCCCCCACACACACACACAGAGTAAAGGGAATAATAAATGAAAAAAATACAAATAAGCGAGCACTAAGTCCTGGTGTTTCAGACTAGAAGTACAGACTAGGAGTTTAGCGGAGGGGAAGATTAAGCAGAGCCAGGATCACTGGAGAGAACTTCTCTGAAGGGGACTTGATCTGAGCCTTCAAAGACAGGAGGAGTGGAAGGTATAAAATTAGCTTCTGGATTTGAGCAGAGAACATTATCATTGCTGCTGAAGCTTGGAAAAGGGAGTTGTGGGCTGGAGCAGTCTGGGAAGGCTTCCTGGAAGAGGTGGAGCCAGACAGGAAAAGTGAAGCCATTCCATTGATCTTCTTCTTAGAAGGCTTACCTTGCCAACTGCTGTTTTTCTTTCCAGATTTCCACGAACAACTTGTGCCTCCAAGGTTCCTAGAAAGATTTACCAATAAGAAAGTGAAGAAGGGCTCTAACATCACCCTCTCGGTGAAAGTTGAAGGTAAAGGAATAAGATGAAATCTCATTTCTCTAGCACCATGTGATTTATATCTACTTTCCTTCCAACAGCTTTGTGGAGTAGATAGTGCTTTACCTTTATTTCACAGCTGATGAAACTGAGTCTCAGACAGGTCATGTGACTTTTCCAAGGTCACACATATAGTAATTGACAGTCATACCTATTAGAGAGCTCTTGACCTCATCGCTGTGATCAAAGTTCAGGTGGAGTCTGGATAACTAGGACCTCAGGGCACTGTATAGGCCTGTTCTCTAGTCTAAAGCCATCCTAGCCTTTTTGGGGATATGTTCCTGCTTGTCTATGTCATCCCTAAAACATGGTGCCCAGAATTGAACACAGTACTCTCCCTGGGGTCTTATGAAGACCATAGGACAGAAGAACCATCTGTGAGCCTTAAACTGCTATAGAAATGTGAGTTATTACTGTTAATTGAGTTGACTACAAAATGCATAAACTATATGGGGATTGGTGTAGCAAAGCACATGAAAGACCTGTGTAGATTCAATTACAAAGTGCTTTGAAGATATCTTCTTTGAGCCTAAAGATAACTCTGTAAGTCAGGCAAGGGCAGAGATCATTAGCTTTGTTTTATAGATGAGGAAACCGAGGCACAAAAGGGTTGAGTTAGTTGCCGAAAGTCACAAAGAGCCAGGATTTGAACTCAGGTCTTCTGACTCCAAATTGATTATTCTATCCATGACACCACATGCTCCTTAAAGAAATAAAGAACAACTTAAGTAGATTGCCACAGTTCCTGGATAGTAGTAACTTAATAAATGTTTATTAACTATGACTATAACTGGAGAAACATTCAGCGTTCATGCCTGGGCTGTGCCAATGTAATAAAAATAACATTACCAAAATTATATACAGTTTTAATGCTATACCAAATTATCAGAGGGATGTTATACAGAACTCAATAAAATACTAAGAAGATCCACTTGGGTTTGACGTGAGTTGTTTTGATGCCAGGGGAGTTATTCTTTCACGTGTGTCTCCCACAGGGCAGCCGCCTCCGACGGTGAACTGGCTAAAGGAAGAAGCCAATGAAGATGTCCTGTGGATCCGAACTGATACTCCAGGCTACAAGGTTGCCAGCTCCAACCTTCAGCACAGCCTCATCCTCCTGGACATAAGGAAGCAACATGAGGGTTCCTACACATGCATTGCCACTAATGGGGCTGGGCAATCCATCTGCTCTGCTACCCTGAAAGTCACAGATGGTGAGTCCAAGTTGCCTAGCCAGGTCAGGTAGCCGGGTTAGGAACAGCCGATGTTGGGCAGCTAGGTGGCGCAGTGGATAGAGCACCAGCCTTGGAGTCAGGAGGACTTGAGTTCAAATCCAGCCTCAGACACATAACACTTACTAGCTATGTGACCCTGGGCAAGTCGCTTAACCCCATTACCTAGCAAAAAAGAAAGGGGGGGCAGCTGTCCCCAGGTGAAGCCTTAAAGGGCAGGGGAAAAGGAGGGTAGGTTGTAGTAGAATACCAGCATTGCAGCCCCCAAACAAGAGAATAATGTAGTGTCATAGATAGAAAGCTCAGTTTGGAATCAGAGGACCTGGGTTCAAATCCTGGTTCCACGTGATTTGGGGCAAATGACTCAATCCTTTTGTGCTTCAGTTTCCTCATCTCTAAAGCAAAGATAACAGTCTTTGCCCTTGCCTGACTTACAGTTATCACGATCAAAGGAGAGATCTTCAAAGCATTTTGCAAACTATAAAGCTTTATAAAATGACACTAAGCATTATTATAAAGACAGGCAGTGAAAGTGGATGGCCTATCCTTCGTCAGCTAACTTATCCATGTGGGACCTCGGTGCCACAAAAATGCTGCCTCAGAAATGAGTTCTACTCCATGGCTGGGCTGGGACCAAAGTAGCTCTTCGTTATGGGCAATGCTCTGGGGAGGAGAAACATGTCAAAGCTCTTGTTGCCTTGTTTTCCCCTATGCCCTCCCCCAAGGCCACTCTAGCTAGAGGCTGCCACCCTAGGAATGATGCTCCGCCTAGCCGAAGAACAGAACACACATATGAGCTCCCATCAGTGTAGTCAAGCTGTGCATGAATGTGATGCTCACGTGAGCAGGTCTCTACTCAGCCTTCCTCAGTGGGAGAGGTTATGATTGACTGTAAGCTAAACATAAAACAAAAGCACAATGTAGCTGCCAACACACCAGATGTGGTCTGGTCTTCTGAAGAGAGGCTATTGTCCAACATAAGAGATGACAGTGCCATTGTCCTCTGAGCATGCTCTGTCTGGGGCATGGTGTCCAATTCTGGGAGCCATGTTTCAGAAGGACATTGATAAGCTAGAGTGCGTTCTGAAGAGGGTGACCAAGATGGCACCATCCTCTGCTGAACAGGAGGAGACTGGAAGCCATGTCACAGCAAGATGCTAGAAGCAGCTGGGGGGTGTAGTAGATAGAGCTCTGACCTTGGAATCTGAAGATCAGAGCTCAAATGATGAAGGTGATTTGGGATCATAAAGAAGGCCAGAGACCAGTTTGGGAGAGGAAAAATTGGGAGGACTTGAGGAGAAGATGAATGGCTTGTGCCAAAGGAGGAAAAGGGCGAGAGCTAAAGTCTGAGAACCTGAACACAAGATCTGGAGGAGGAAAAGAACGTGAGCAGGACATAAAGAGGAGAAGTAGGGGTAGAAGGAAAAGGCGAAGAACCTGAGGAAAAGGAGAAGCTGAAGGAAAAGAAGACTCCCACCAAAGGAGGGGGTATAGAGAAATAAAGATTTAGGAGGGCATGACTGTTCCCTTCAAGCACCTGTGGGGTAGCAGGTACAATAGGGGTTAGGCCTATTCCTCTTAACTCAGAGGAGAGATCTCAGAGCAAGCAATGAGCGGAAATAGCAGGGAGGCAGATTTTAGCTGCCCTGAACAAAGACCTTCCTGACAACTGGAGCTGCCCCACAGTGACTGAGATGCCTTAGACGGCAGTGAAGTCTCTCTCACTAGGTGAAGGCTCTTGTAAGGGGTGTTGTAGAGGGAATTTCTGCTCAGGTATTAGTGGGAGTAGATACACTTTGAAGTCCCTTCTGTCTCCAAAATTCTATGTGGAACTGTAGAAAGTACCCAGAAAAGAGCGTGGGCATGCAGAAAGCCTTTCCTGTGTCTGGCTGTGGTCCCTGAGGACAGCTTAGCCAAGTTCCCCTCACTCTATGTAGGTCTCAGCCGCCCCACTAATGGTAATAGCTTCTTGTGATCTCTTTACAGCTCCGGAGACAGATAGGGCAGCTAAAGGGCAGAAGAAAGTCACGGAAGCCCTCATTTCAAACCTCCTGCAGGGGTGAGTGACAGCCCATCTTCCTGAACAGAGAACCAAGGTCATGTTAGGGATGGCTCACCATCCTGGGGAAGCATGACAAATAATCTTTCTTCTACTTTCTTGTCTAAGTTGTGGCCAGAAGGTGGAAGATCCTTCAGCAAATCATTTAAGCTCTCTAGGCCTCAACTTCCTCATCTGTAAAGCAGCTAGGTGGCTCATTGAGTAGAGTACTGGACCTGGAGTCAGGAAGACTGAGTTCAAATCCTGCCTCAGATATTTACTGGCTGTGTGACCCTGGGCAAGTCACTTAACCTCTGTCTGCCTCAGTTTCCTCAATTGTGAAATGTGGATAATAATTGAGCCTACCTCCCAGGGCTGTTGTGAGGATCAAATGAAGTGATATTTATAAAAGTATCTAGACAGTGCCTGGCACATAGTAGGTGCTTAATATGTGCTTGTTTCCTTTCTTCCTATAAAATGAGAGTCCTGAACTAGATGATTCCTAAGATTGCTTCATTGACATGACATATGACATTTATACACACACATATATTATACATATTATACATAGTATACACACACACACACATACACACCCCTATGTATAGCTATAATCCTAAGCTAGGTGGAATATAGTATACACATGTATATGGTTCTTGTGCTTATACATGTGTAACGATGTGTGCTGTATTGTGTGTATTACTACGTGCGTGAGTATTGTGCATGTATATTATGGCTCATGTCTAGAAATAGTACTGTCCAGTGAAAAGAGCATTGGACTGGGAATTAGTCCTGCCTGCAAATTACTTAGCCAGCCCATAATTTCCTCATTTATAAAATGAGGGGTTGGACCTAAAAGTCTGTTAGGCCCCTTCCAGCTCTGACAGTCTTTTCTAATAGCCCTTCCATCTCTGATGTTCTGTGCTCTGTAAGTCCCTCCCAGCTCTGATAGTCTATGTCCTAACATTCCTTCTGCCTCAGACATTCTGTGTTCTAAGAACCCTCCCAGCTCTGACATTCTGTGTTCTAAGGTCCCTTCTTTCTACCTTTAAACATTCTATATTCTGTGGACCCTTGCATCCTAGGCATTCCATGTTCTATGGTTTCTTCCAGTTCTGACGTGTTCTATCTTGTAGGAACCTTTCTGGCTCTGACAGTCCATGTTTAGAGATCCTTCCTGGCCCTAACATTTCTAGGTTCTATGGCTTTTATTGGGTGGGGGACTTGGAGGGGATTAGAAGGGTACAAAGTTCATAAATGTGCCTTTGACTGGTAGAATTGGCCGTGGTAAGGTTTCTAATTTTCTGGTTCCCTGTTTTTGCTCACTACCCTTTATTCTTACAGAGCTGGAGCCGGCTCAGTCCAGACATCAGAAACCACAGACTTTAACGAAGTTGACCGACCAAAGAAAGGTAGGAGGAGCAGTTGACATCTTTTACCTGGGCTTCTTATGGGACAAACAGGGTTTGGTCAGTCCATCAACAAGTAATAGCAACTATTATGAATAATAGCTAACATTTATATAGAGCTTCAACTTTGCAAAGTGCTTTGTACATATTACATCATTTGTTGAGGACCTACTATAATTATGTATCAAGAACAATTCAATCTGTTAAGTATCTACCCTTTGCCGGGCACTGTGTACTGAGAACTATGAATATAAAGAGGAAAAATAACACAGTCCTTGGGAGCTGACAATTTGATTGGATGGGGGAGGGGAGAAGGATGTGATGTGTGAAAGTAAGTCTGCTGCAAGGTAGAATGTGATTAGAGAAGAGTGATCTAGACAAAATGGTCCAGGAAATCAGAGAATTGGGAGAAGGCATCAGGGAAGCTCAGTTTAGGAGGTGGATGCTAAGCTGAGCTTGAAGGATGAGAAAGATAGAGATGAGGCCTTGCACGTGGTAGTCACTTAATAAATGCTTGTCAAGGAAGACAAGGGCCAAGGAGCTCACTTTCAGCATGTCAGGAATGCAGGCAGAATTTATTGGGGACCTACACTGGGCATAGCATGTTGGTGTTTCTGTCATAGCCTGAGGGCTCAGCCTGAGGTCTGCTGCTGTCCACGCCCAAAGTGTAGGCTGGTCTTCCTCCTAGAGAAGAACATAAAGAGGTTCAAGAAGCATGTCTTCACTCTCCAGGTTATCCAGAAGAATATTCTTTGTTTTAAAGTGAAGAAGCGGTATAACATGAAAACAGAGAAAAATCATCTAAAGAGACAGAAGGGAATTTCCCTGTATCTTGAGGCTGGAGGGTCAAAGACTGTCACGTAGAAGAGTTTGGGGAGGGAAGAACACCACTGAACACTTTGAGCTAAGAAATATATTTAAGGCTCTTTCCAAAGAGAAGGGAGCTGTGTACTCTGGAAAGGACACAACCGCTATTTCCCTACAGAATGGTGCTGGCGGCTGTGGGTTCTGCTGGTAAGATATCAATTCAGGGGTGTGCTGAAGCCAGCCCAAACAGGCTTTCAAGAGTCAATTGTTAAATTTTCAGGGTGATAGTTTGCACCTTGGAAATTGGCAGATGCAACAGATCAGGGCCAGATTTATTCTTTTGTTGACTGTCTAGACTCAAGAAAGAAATGGAGAAAATGTTAACAATGCAGATTAAATTTAAAAGTGTATTGTGCACACATTTTTTTTCTGGAGGTCTGGTTGTTAAACATTTACCAGTACACCACTGAATATCTTCCACTAAGAGCCAGAGAAAAAAGAAATAATAATAATGGTAGCAACCGACATGTGTGTGTGCGCAGAACTACAGCACTTAAAATACATATCTTATTGATCCTCACAAGAAACCTGTGAGGTAAATACTATAGTTATTATTAGCCCCATTTTACGGAGGAAGAAACTGAGGCTGAGAGAGATCATTACCTGCCCGTAGTACCACAGCCAGTTTAAGTGTCTGAGGTGGAATTGAAACCAAAGTTGTAAGGGGAATTCCTTTGGGGTATAAATTGGACCAGATGGCCATTAGGATCTCTTCCAGTCATCAAATTCTGTGATTCTGTGAACTCAGGTCTTCTTGACACCAGATCCATCATTCTATTCATTATATCATACTGTCTTCTTTGCCACTGGTGACTTACTGTTGAAGGAAACTGAGGCATCTCTTCGTGGACAGCAATAACAATAGTAGTTAGTAACAATAGTAAAGAGGCCTTCTGTCTTCCTGGGACTTGTATCCAAGATGTGACAGAGAACCTCCCAAGACTTCTTCCAGTAGATGTTTACTAGACATTTCTGGTGATTCACATGGGCCCAAATGATTGTGCCAGAAGGAATCTAGGAGGTAGTGCCGATGATTGTGGAGTCTCGGATAAGCAGGTGAAGACCTTAGGGGCATAGGTGGTGTTTTCATCACTGCTGCTGATTGAAGACAAGGGATTCAGAAGAGAAAGGCATGTTTGTAAAACCTTAGTTATGAATATGGTGCCTGAGAATTGGATTTGGATTTCTAGATCATTCCCTAAATATAGGAATTACCCTGGCCAGAAATGGAGTATAAACAATGAGAGCTGGTTAGAATATGTTTTCCTAGAGTCTTGCAAATTTAAACAAAGATCTTTAAAAAGGAAAAAGGAAGGAAAACCACCCATGTATAGCTACCAAATAGGATATAGGTTCATTGTGACCATTTTGTTTCTGTCTTTGTATCCTCAATGCCTGGCACAGTGCTTGGAACATATTTGGTGCTTAATGAATGTTTGTGGATTGATTGATTAGAAGAGTTATAGTAGAAATATCTAGAAGTTTACAAGAAACAAAATCCAAGAGAGGAATAAATAATAAAATGTAGGGCCTTAAGTGTCTGTACAAATGTACAAAAAACAAGTAACAAGCAAGAGGACCTGGAAATCCCAAAGAAGGCAAATTAGACCTTACGCATATTGCTGAAACTTTACAGGACCTAAAACCTATGGCTAGGATATGACTCTGGGAGAACATATTTTATTCAAAAGAAACACTATATGGATGAATGAATGAATGAATGAATGAATGAATGAATAATTATATTTAAAACATACTTATTACATGCCAAGAGCTAAGAATACAAATTACGAAAGTGAGACAGTCCTTTCCCTCAAGGAGCTCACATCCTTATAGAAAGAGACACCATGTACAGGGTGGTAGTGGACAGGGCAGAGTATTTTGGGCTGGGAAGTCAGAGGGATATAATGGTTATGCTTATTTGATGAGAGTTTTTAGAGGAAAAGTTGAGGGAAGGGGGTCAGGAAGCTATGTAGTGGCAGAGCAGAAGATGGCCGGAGTGAAAAGGAGGCTACATGACTTTCACAGAGTTCAGAGCTGAAGGTCTTGGGTCCTCCCAGGTATGATCTCTAGAGGTCCAGTTTGAAGGGCAGAGCAGCAGCAGGACAAAATATATCCAGGGAAAAGATGAGGATGCTTGGTCTCAGGAAGACCAGAACCAGCTTAAGTAAAAGGAAGAGCTGAAGGAGAGGAGTAGGTTAGCATTATAACTAATTAAGAAGCATTAAGAATATACACATATCTGAAGAAATCTAGGAACAAGAAGGGCTTAGCATGGGAAAACATTTAGATGAAGATCAATAAAGGGAGAAACAGAATTGATATTGTCATCAGGATATGTTATAGACTACTTCGGACAGAAACAGGAAATAGATGACAAGGCTACTTCAAAAAGTAATGTGTTTCCCCTCCCTGGAGGTATCCAAGCAAAGGCTGAATGACTATGTGCCAAGTATGTTATAGATGATTCTTATTCAAGTCTAAATGGGACTGGAGGTCCCTTCTAATTCTATAAAACACACTGTGTGTTGATGGAACAGTGAGTGAATAGATCAGTATGACTGAATCAAAGCAGTCATGTAGGAAAGTAGTAGGAGGTATTATTGGATAGGTAGGGTCCTGCTGTCACAGATTTGGAGCTAGAAGAAGGCCATCTAGTTGAATTCCCTCCAAGAATTTAGAGAGATTAAATGTCTTCCTTTAGGATATATAGTTAATAAGTGGCAGAACTAAGATTTGGCAGCCTCTCACTCTAAATCCAACACTCTTTCCGCTCCATCATGATGCCCCATTGCTAGATCACTCTAAGGTTTAAAGCTCTCTCCCTACAACTACTCTATGAATGCAAGCATTGTCACCCTCATTTTACAGATGAGGAAACAGAGAAGTGAAAAATCTTTCTCAGTATTACACAGCTAGTAAATGTCAGTCAGGACTCAAACCCAAAATTTTTGACTCCTGTCATTTTCCTACTATACCATGCATGCTACCTCTCATTGTAGGCAATGGGGGACCACTTCAGGTTTCCAAACATGGCTATGACGTGAGCACAGTAGCATTTTAGAGAGATGATGACAATTAGTATGGAATAGATTAGAGGGGAAAGATGCTACATTCAGGAAGACCACTTAGGAGATTGTTTCACTAGTCCAGGTGATAAGGACCAGGACTAGGGGGACAGCAGGAACAGAGAGGAAAGGACCAATGTGAGACACATTGCAAAGAAAGAAAGAATCAGCAGAACTTGGTGCCTAACTCTGTGTGACAGAACTTCAGAGCTGGTAGGGATCCAACCTGAACTTGAGCCAGATCCCTACGACCACATCTCAGACTATCCTGTCACTGCCTGAAGACCTCAAGTGACGCAGAACTCCTTTCCTCCAAAAGCAGCCCATTCTATTTTTGGACAGCTCTTGCTTTTAGAATTTTTTCTTATATCAAGCCAAATCCTACCTCCCTATAACCTCTACCCATTGCTTCTATTTCTGACCTCTGGGGTCAAGCAGAACGAGTCTAATACCCTGTCCACGTGACAGTCCTTCAAACACTCGGACTTCAGAGAGAATAGAAGGGATCGAAGACCACTTAGCAGTGGTGCCCTTGAGAAAGAAAGGGAAGTCTGGCGGAAGTGGTTATAGTGTAAAAACAAGCATTGAATTAGTAGGAGAGTGTTAGAAGTAGAATCGAAGATGCCAAGCTAAAGACAGTGCTGACTTACCTTGGAAGTGATGGTTGAGCAATGGGTATAAGCTGCACAGAGACGAATTTAAGCTCAAGAAAATCCTCCCTAACTATTGTTTAGTAGTTCCAGTTGTGTCTGACTCTTCATGACCCCATTTGGGATTTTCTTAGCAAAGATTTTAGAGTGGTTTGCCATTTCCTTCTTCAGCTCATTTTACAGATGAAGAAACTGAGGCAAACAGAGTTAAATGACTTGTCCAGGGTCACATAGCTAATAAGTGTCTGAGGCTGGATTTGAACTCAGGAAGATGAGTCTTCCTGACTCGAGGCCTGCGGCTCTATGCACTATGGCGCCACCTAGCTGCCCTAATAGAGCTTTCCTAAAGCAGAATGGGCTATCTTGGGAGGGAATGGATTTTCCCTTCTAGCGGTCTTCCAACAGAGACTGGGTGATCAGTTACTGGATATGTTATCATGGGGGTAACATTAAAGGAGATTCTGCTGCTGAGGTCCCTTCTAATGCTTTAAAAAAAAAAGACGACTTGGTGATTCTGTGATATATAAGTAGTCTTAAAGCCTGAGAAACATTATCCTGTCTGCCCTGATGATCCCCATGTTCTTGCTCTCTCAGGAGAACCATCAGAAACTGATGAGAGCCGAGGGCACATTTCCCTCGCTGACGTTGGAACTGAAGAATTCCTCCAGAAGTTGACATCCCAGATTACTGAGATGGTGTCTGCCAAGATCACTCAAGGTGAGCAAAGCGGACACCCTCTCCTTGAGCCCACTGCTCAAGACTGGCCCTCTGACCTCCTTTCCTAGAAAACAAGAACAGACCTGCTTTTAATTTACTGAAATGGGACCCACATGTGGTGGGATTGGAGAAAATAGTGAAAGAGCAGAAAGAGAAATATATTTCCCTCCTCTTCCCCCACCAGGATTGTGCAGAGTTGCCATCTGCCTCACAAATAACCAGTCATCCAAAGTGAATTGCTCATTTGTGCTTATTAGCAAGTTCATCTGGTCTGTGACCAGTCCCTGATTTTCTCTTGTGCCAATAGTTCTTAGCAGTGAGTCACCCATGAGCCCTCTTATGTTCGACTGAAGTCCATCTTTATATATTTATTGACAGAAACACTTCTGATTTCTACAGTTTGTAAACTCTGTCCACTAACACAGCTAGCAACCTGTCCATAACTTACATTCTTGGAGTCTCCTGAGGCTCAGAAAGGTCACATTGACTTGTCCATGATCATGCTACTAAGCTAATTGTCATGGTTGGAATTTGGATCAATATTTTCCTGATTCCAACACTCTATTCATTATTCACACTTCCTCTCTCAAAGTACATTATATTAATTTTTTCCTCATGATGGAGTTAACTATCCTAATTCTGTCTGGCTCAGGTTTATATTATCATTATTATTATTATTATTATTATTCTCTGATATTTTGAGGGATTTGTGATTTAATTCCTGCAGGCACTCCCTTCAGTGGTACAAATCATTGCCTATTCATCCTGCGCAGTTCTGGCCCATTTCTTCCTATAAGCCCATCTTAAAGAATCCGTCTCACAGTCTGGAGGCCTGTCTCTAGTTCTTCTGACATCAGAATGTCAAGGACTTATGACTTTGATGGTACAGAAACCACCTCCGTGAATTCAGATTGTAATGTATATGGGGTCAAGTGACTTGCCCAGGGTCACACAGCTAGTAAGTGTCACGTCTCTGAGGTTGGATTTGAACTCAGGTCCTCCTGACTCCAAGGCTGGGGCTCTATCCACTGTGCCACCTATCTGCCCCATATAACTTATAGTCTTGAGAACTGACTAAGGTTCAGACAAGTTGTGACTTGCTTATGACCACACAGCTATTAAACCCATGTCTTCCCCATGCCAAATCTAGCGTTCTATCCTTGTTTCAGCCACTCTCCGGGTCCCTGGAGGGGAGAGTGATGATGAATCCAAGACCCCTTCCCCATCTCCCCGGCATGGTCGGTCCCGGCCTTCCTCCAGTGTCCAGGAGTCCTCCTCTGAGTCTGAAGATGGGGATGCCAGAGGGGAGGTAAGCCATCTTTGGTGGGACCAGGTAGTTTGCCCTAGGCCAGTCAGTCCCAAAACTATTTTTGTCCTTTAATGGGACCCTCTACTCTAGTTAATGCCACTTTCAATAAAGTTCCCTGAGCTCCTCTGAACACTGGCCCTGGGCTGAGACAGTAGCAAGAAGAAGTTTAGGTTTCAGTCATATGAGAATTAGGACCATCAGATATAGCCATAGAAGGGATCTTAGAACTTATCTTGTCCAAAAGTCTCACTTTACAGAGGAGAAACTGAGGCCCAAAGAGAGGAGTGGACATGATCATGGTCAAGTGACTTGTTAAATGGCAGAGCCAGGATCAGAACCCAGGTTTCCTGGCTGCCAGGTCCAGCATTTCCCATTATCAAAAGCTGATAAGGTAGTATGATATCAAAGCGGTGAGGAGCTCTAGAATGTAGAGCAGAAGATGTTGGAGAACATGGAATACTAGCATTGGAAGGGACCATAGAGATCATCTAGGCCAACCCACATGATGATGATGACTACAATGGTGATGATAATTGCTAATGCTTATTTGAATCTATGATCTCATTCTGGTCTTACAACAACGCTATGAGACAGGCCCTTTGAGGATTGTAATACCCATTTTACAATTCAGGAAACTGAGGCCCAGGAAGACTAAACGATTTGCTCAGGACCACACAGTGAGTTAGTGGCAGAGTTAGAACTCCAACCCAAGTCTTCCAACCCTAGATGTAGGGGTGGCTTCCAGGCTCCTACATCCTATTCACTCCTTCCCCTGATGTCTTACCTTTCAAAGATCTTTGACATCTATATGGTCACAGCCAACTACCTGCCCCTGGGAGCAGATCCAGAGGCCATCACATTAAGGGAAGGCCAGTACGTGGAGGTCCTTGATTCAGCCCACCCACTCAAATGGCTGGTTCGAACCAAGCCCACTAAGTCCAGTCCTTCCCGGCAAGGCTGGGTGTCACCTGCTTATCTGGACAAGAGACTAAAGGTAAAACCCTCCTAATAGGCCAGTAGGGGATATAGCATGGAGTGGGACAGGGGAACCCTTCAAGGCCAGGGCATACTAACTAAAATTAGAGTCCTCATGGAGCCCATAGTCTAGCAGGGAGCTAAGATGCATACATCTATAGCTATAATATATGATGAAGGCATCTGAGCAGTGCAGACAAAATGCTCTGTGTTACCACCCCATGGAAGTCCTACTTCAGAGTTCCTGTGTGAGGCAGCTCTGCCCTAAGCCCTCAGCAAAATTATACTTTTGAGGAAATATATCCTCGGCATCATCCATCCATTCCCATTTTACTATAGGACTCTGCTCCCTTGCCCCCCACCCACAGTGCCCTACTTTGGCCAGCCCTCCTAGGCAGGGCCCTGGACCTTCCAAAACTCCAGGTAGGCCCAAGATCCTGGGCAATGCTGAGAAAACTTCTATTTCCTCGTCAGCTTTCACCAGAATGGGCAGCCGCTGAAGTGCCAGAGTTTCCTGGGGAGTCAGTCTCAGAGGATGAGTATAAGAAGAGGCTAACGTGAGTGGGGGCCCAAGTATTTGTTGGTTGGGGTATCAGGAAGTAGCCTTCCAGAACTGACTGAGCCCTCTCACTAACTCATTTATTCATTCACTTGCCTGTTCAATCATCCATTCACTTTAATTAATATCTATTAATTCATTCCCTTATACTCCCTCATTTATTCACTCATCCCTTTTTTTCTTACTCATTTACATATTGACTCATTACCCATTTACTCATGAATAAATGAATGAATGAATGATCAAGTATTGAAGCACTTACTGATGCAAATACAAGCGAGCAAGATGGTCCCTGCCCTCAAGGAGCCTACATTTTAATGGGGAAGTATAACATACAGAAGGGAGCTAGAAACTGAGAGGTGGGATGAGCATGGCAGCATGGTTTGTAGATGGCCAGAGTGTGACGTGGAGGCCTGGTTCTAGGCAAGATAAGACAAAAGCTCACCTGTCATTCATACTCATCATTCATTCATTCCTGTTGATAACTGCTTGATGAATAAATGAATTCAGTAGCTCATTCATCTTGACTTATTCATTCTTTTACTTAACCCCCAAATCGTGCATTCAGCAGGCACTTGCTAGGTTTTGCAAAGGTACAAAAATGTGGTCCCTACTCTTGGGGTGTAGTTGGGTAGTTGTGGTTGGGTCAAGAAGAACTTCATACATGTAACTCTAAGAAATAATTACAGAGCAACATGTGAGCCAGGGCTTCCTCCTAAGGGCCCCCATGGCTATTAGTGCTGATGGAACAAGGGTCATGAAAAACCAATAACAAACATATATTAAGCCAGCACTATGTGCAGAAAACTGTGCTAGGTCCGTAGGAGATAGGAAGTTTAGATAACAGCCCCTGGCCTCAAAGAGCTCACACTCTGGTAGGGAGATAAAACACAAACACCATGTGGATGGGGCTGATCCAGACCTGGGATGCATCTTCTGGGGAGTGTCCTAGAGGATCATCCCCCTACTTCCCCCACCTTTCCCAATCAGGTGGTTCCTCCCCCAGGCAGGGCTCTGGTAGCATCATGTTCTAGGGAAAAGAAGACCTGGGCTTTGTGCCAATGGAAATCTACAACTCCTGGGTAAGGAGCCAGGAGTACAAGGATAGAAGGGAACTCGGCATTGGAGCTTCGAGGGCAGGAAAGGAATGGGGCTCTCTGCCTTGTTTCTCATTCACTTCTCCCCTCCCCTTGGCTCTGTCCATCACAGCGTCATCATCCAGGAGCTGCTGAGTTCTGAGCAGGACTTTGTCAGTGCCCTCAACTTCCTACAAACCCACCATTTGCAACACTTGGAGTCCTGCCCCAGTGTGCCTGCCTCTGTGTCCAGCCAGAAACCCATCATCTTCCGGAACATAAGCGACATTGGCCATTTCCATGCCAAGTAAGTAGTCTAAGCGCTGGGCTGGACCCATGCTGCCCATCATTCTTCCTGCCTGACCCCCCTATCTCCTCCAAATACTTTCAGAGAAGGTCCCTTCCAGCTCTGACATTCTTTTTCTAAGGTCTAACATTTCTAAGTTCTAACAGTCTGTATTTCTTGTTTTGACATTCCATGTTTTCAAGGGCAGCTAGGTGGCACAGTAGATAGTATTGGACTTGAGTCAGGAGGACTTAAATTCACTTAGCCTATCTGAGCCTGAGTTTCCTCATTTGTAAAATGAGGACAATGACAGCATCACCATTAGGGAGGTGTTGTGAAGATCGAATGGGCTAACATATATGAGGTCTTTTCTACCTTTAAAAGTCTGAATCTCTGTGAAATGAGTGTAGGAGAGGGAAGATGTCCCCATATTCCTTCCCTGTTTCCCTGACCTGAAAGGACAACCCTTGATAAAGACTTCAGCAGTCAGAAGCACCTTAGGACATGCCCCAAAGCTGCCTTAAGGACCTAGCTGACTTGTTAAGGTCCAGGGTGAACTGTCAGCCAGGGGTCTACCTTACCATACCTAGGGTAAAGGAAGGGGGCCCTGCTTGGTAAGACCAGAGCCTGACCAATGACCAACCTGGTCTAAAATCCAACCCTGCCCCAGCCCTTGAGTTTGCTGACCCAGTTCAGAATGAGCATCATGGTGTCCAGTCCATGGTTCTGTGGGAATGAATGGGATTGAGGAAGCACGTAGGGTGGAGATGAAGGGGAGAACTGGGTGAGGGAGCTGAGTGAGGCCAGCCACCCCAACCTCTGACCTCTCTCCTTCAGTTGCTTTCTCCAGGAGTTACAAAAGTGTGACACAGACGACGATGTGGCCATGTGCTTCATCAAGAATGAAGGAGACTTTGAAAAGTACATCCAGTACCTGGTGGGCCGCGTGCAGGCTGAGTCTGTGGTCGTCAGCAAGGCCATCCAGGAGTTCTACAAGGTCCGCTGGGTTTTCCAAGAATATTTGTACTACCTTCCCAGGAGAGGGGTTGTTAAGGAAGTGTTTTGAAAACTTTGGGTCCAGCCTTTATTTCCAAGCTGATCCCCTCCCTACTATGCATCTTCTCTTCTAGCCTGCTCGACACCCTTCAGATATTACTTATGATTTCTCACCTCTACGCCTTTACCCTCACCATTCACCTGCCTGAGATGCCTTCCTATCTCTCTTTCTTGCTCTGCCACTAGCTTCATGGCCTTAGAAAACTCCTTTCCTTCTCTGAGCCTCAGTTTCCTCAACTATGAAATAAATAAAACAGAATCCCCAAAGTCTATTCCAGCTCTTAAAATTCTGTGCTTCTGTGGTTCAGCCTTTCCAAATCTTATACTTCCTTCAAAGCCCAGTTTCATGCCTACCTCCAACACTGTAGGCAGGAGGAGGTAGTCATGGACCCCTTTGACAGCCTATGGACCCCTTCTCAGGGTCAGCATCTTATGATGCACAAGATGACATACGTAGTGTTACAAAGGAAACCAATTATAGTGAAATACAGTTGGCAAAATATAAAAAATAAAAATTTAGAGCCAGACATCAGGCTAAAAACCCCTGCTCTAGGCCTTGGTGAGTTTTCCTTCTTCTGAACCCCTAAAACGCTATTTTCTGTACCCTTCATATAACAGTTATCAGCAGTGGCTTTCTGTCATTACTTATCATCCAATTCAATTGAATTCAATATCCATTTATTACACACATACTTACTGTGTACAGGGACCTGTGTTCAGAAGTGGGGTTCTAATTTGAAAAAACATCATGGCATTTGGAAAATTGGCACATGCCCAAATAAGTATGACATAAGATTGGTTGCCAGGAGCAAAAGAGAGCTCCAAACAAAGTACTTCAGGAAAATTTGAGGATGGAGGGATCAGTTTCAGCATGAGGGAATCAGGGAAGGCTTCGTGGAAGAGTCATCACCTGCATGAGGCCTCGAAGGATGAGAGGGATTTTAGTAGGCAGGGATAAGAAGTATGCTCCAGGCAAGGGAGACAGCTCATCTAAATGCCCGGAGATGGGAGATAGCATGTTGAATTCAGGGAGCACCAAGACCAATTTGACTGCAGTGTAAAATACGTGAAGAGGAGTAGTCTAAGACAAGCCTGGGAGATTAGAGCCAGACTGTAGAGAGCCAGGGCAAGGACTGTGTGTGGTGTACTCCAGGTAAGAAGGTGCCTCTGAAGGCTTTTGAGTAGGGAAATGATGCTGTCAGACATATGCAGGCATGTGGATCTCATCTCCCACATGGTCTATACCCTCCTTGAGGGTAAGACTGTGTTATATGCTTTGTGTCTGTCACAAGGGGCTTGACGTAGTAATTTACATATGTGTGTAAAAAATATATACACATACATATACATGCATACATGTATATGTATGTGTATATGCACATGTGTGTGTATATGTGTGTGTATATGTGTATGTATATATATATATTCTGGACACGATAATTTTTTTCAACAGATAGTTATCAAGCATACACTGTTCAGTAACAGACCTGCTCTAGTCCTATGCAGTTGAGAGCATTTAATTTTTCTCCCTTGTGAGCCGAATGTCGTCTTGTTCTCATGGCAGAAATATTCCGAGGAGAAGCTTTCGGGAGCTGATCTCTCCCAGCCTCCCTTGCCTCCCCTGCAGCACTACCTGGAGAAGCCCATCCACCGTATCCAGCAATACCAGACTGTTATCAAGGTGAGTGGACCAGATTCTCTAGTCTATGGTCCTTGGGTCCTGGTGGGAGTGACTCTTCCCTTTATTGTTGAATTGGTTTCATTTATGTCCGACTCTTCATGACCCCATTTGGGGTTTTCTTGGCAAAGATACTGGAGTGGTCTGCCATTTCCTTCTCCAGCTCATTTTACAGATGAGGAAACTGAGTTAAATAGAGTTAAGTGACTTGCCCGGGGTCACACAGCTAGTCAGTGTCTGATGCCAGATTTGAACTCTGGTCCTCTTGACTCCAGGCCCAGGCTCTATCCACTGGACCACATAGCTGCCCTTGACCCTTCCCTTGTCACTGGTGGAAAACTCAGAGGCAGCCTCTTATGGTAGTGGAGAGTGCTGGTTTTGAAGACCTGTGTTCGAATCCCAGCTCTGACACTTAATAGCTGTCTCTTCCCCTCTCTGAGGCTCATTTTCCTTATCTGTAAAATGGGGGTAATCTCCCTTGCAGGGATGATGGGGGTTGTAGTGAGGGAAACATTTTGTAATTCATAGCACTACACAAATGAGAGTCGTTGCTGTTGTCATTGTGACGTGTGTGTAAAGTATATGTGGTTGTAGGGGGTTTGGGTGGATGCTTCCTTGTGGGACAGATGAGTCATTAGCTCCTCTGAATAGAGAAGAAGAGGATTCTGCAGCTGTGCTTAATCCCAGCTCTGACACTTCCCAGCTGTTCCAAACCAAGACAAGTCACTTCTTCTCTAAGCCTTATTTTCTTCAACTGTAAAATGGGAACGGTCATCCCTATCTTGTAGGGTAGTAACTTAAGGTGATACAGGAGACAGCATAGTACAGTGGATAGAGAGCTGACCTGAAAGACAGGAGGACCTGTGTTCAAGTCTCACTCCTGATACATACTGCTCTTGTCACTTAACCTGGGGAAAGTCACTCAAGCCTCTTAGTGCTCTAGGTCATTGGTGTCAAACTCAAATAGAAATAATCTGTACATGAGGATCCCTGAAGGCTGCATACTGACTGCATTTTAAAATGTAATATTATTCATGTTTTACTGGATTTTTACTTATCATGTTCAGTATTTCCCAGTTACATTTTAATTGGTGTCTGACACTTCTGGTCTAGGCATCTCTCTAAGACTAGAGGAAAGGTTGCAGAAGGGGTGCCAACCTGCCTTGATAGAAGGAGTGACCTCACCTGGGAGTTCCCTATATCTCTAAAATTACCAGTCCAGTCTGAGGCCTAAGGCCAAGATGCAAAATTGAGACCATTATTCAAGATGATTCTTGACCTATAATCTTGGCTGTAACCCGCTGATCTAACTAGTTTTCCCTCTTCTAGGAGCTGATCCGTAACAAGGCACGAAATGGGCAGAATTGTGCTCTCCTGGAACAGGCCTATGCAACTGTGTCTGCCCTCTCCCAGCGGGCCGAGAACAAGCTCCATGTCTCACTCATTGAGAACTACCCTGGGACTCTGGAGGCTCTGGGGGACCCCATTCGCCAGGTCTCTTGGGCTGTTCTGGGGTGGGCAGGGTTTAGGGCAGCTAACTTAGCTTTTACCCAGGGATGGCCTCAGTCTAGTCCAGGGGCACTGTGGGCAGGAAAAGATAAGCAGGAGATAAGCATCTTGCAAAGTCCTGTATGGCAGGACTTATTGCATGGGCTCAACCAGCTCTAAGACTCTGGGCAGCTGCTAAGGCAAGGCCCTGGGGAGTAATGAGACCAGGATGTGGCCATGAGATGCTGAGGATATGCACAAGAGCACCAGTCTTTCCCCATGCTCCATCCTGGGCTGACCCTTGCCTGCCAGAAGCACCCCTCTATATGTGTGTGTGCATGTATATGTATGTGTACACATGTGTGTATATTAGATGTAGATGATAAAGTATGCATGCTTTTTGGTTCAACAACATTTATCTAGCAAGACCTAGTTCTGGGTGTTGGGGAATACAAAGATGAAAAAATTATACAGTCCTGCCCTGAAGGAGATGGTAACCTAATATGTATGTATGTACATATACACATATGAATTATATATGTTGCATATATAAACAGGTATGTATGACAATCTCAATTTCCTTCTCTTTAAACAAATGGAATTAGAATAGCTAGCCTCTAACATCCCCTACAGATATAAATTTCTAGTCCTGTGTTTGTGTGCATATATGGTCACGCACCATGGTATATGGCACCACACTCTGGCTTCAGCATGTCTTTCCATCTTTATTGAAGACTAAGCTCTTTGCCAGGGGGGTGGGGGGGACCTGCTTTGCTTTTTCTTTGTATCCCCAGCACTAAGCACAGTGCCTGGCACATAGTAGGTGCTTAATACATGCTTAATGGTGGATGGATGGATGGATGGATGGATGGATGGATGGATGGATGGATTTACCAGATGCTCCAGGCAAACTAGACTCCTTGCCATTTCCCACACAAATGCCATGCTTTCCTACCTGCCCACCTCTGCTTTTGCTATTATCCCCATCAGGTGTAGCTAGAATTCCCTCTTCCCTCTCCTCCCTCCTTCAACACACTGAGTTCCTACCTAGCCTTGAAAGCCCATCTCTTTTATGAAGACCTCCCTAATGGTTAATGATAGTCCCTGTCAGACTTTACCTAGGACTTGGTCTGCCTCTTCTGTAATGCACTTATCACATAACATTGTGCATTTTGTCTAATCTGCCCCTGCTAGACTTAAGGCTTCATGTGAGCAGGGACTATAACTTAGCTAAACTTTGTGTTTCCCCCATTGCCCAGCACAAGCATCTAGACATACTAAGTAATTAATAAGTTTAATAAATAGATGGAATGAAAGGTAAGGTAATAAAGATTAATAAAATTATAAAAATTAAAAGTAATAAATTTAGCTACAGTGAATGCCTGTGGGTATATATATATATAGCCATAAACTTGTGTGTCCGCATACTATATGTACATGTGATACTATGACCCATCCCTTATTGTTGGAGGTAATTGTTTGGAATTATTTATTGCATGTTTAATTTTTCTAATTGTGAATCTAGATTTTAATAGAATAAAACTGGGTGGAGGAAAGGGGTGTGGGGCTCAGACTGAGCATCCTATGAGCAAGGGAGTGGCTGAATTAATCAATTAGAAATATGAGGTCTAACAGCACAACATTTAATTTTGGGGTGACTGATGTGTGTGAATGAGTGCCTGACCAAGTCCTGCAAGTGTTTACTGTTTAGTAATTTGAGGACACTGAGGCACTATTTGGTTGTTCAAGGGCTAATGAGATGTTATTTGGTAATTTGAGGGCTGAGGGGACCCAAATTGACTGAAGACTGAAGTGGTGCTCCCTTGGTTGTTTGGTGACTGATGAGACTTTATTCAATGATTTGAAGGTTGACGGGGGCCGTGTTTGGTTGTAAGTGGGTGCCTGGTACCTGTGAGTGAGTCCTCTATTCTGACCCTTAATGTCCCTGCTGTTTACTCACAGGGTCACTTCATCGTGTGGGAGGGAGCCCCCGGAGCCAGGATGGGCTGGAAGGGCCACAACCGGCATGTCTTCCTCTTCCGGAACCACCTGGTGATCTGCAAGCCCAAACGGGACTCCAGAACAGACACCTACAGCTATGTCTTCAGAAACATGATGAAGGTACGGAGGATGCTGAGGCCTCCTTCCCTGGTGTGGTCCCCTTCCTCCTGCTCCAGCCTAGACTTCCTGCTGACCCCAGCAAGCCTATGGTGTTTTACATCAATAATGCATATTGACAGTGTCTACGAATCAATACTGTGCCATGGCGTGGTAACCCTTGCCCCTTTAATCCAGGTGGGACAAACTGAAGCCCCTGGGGGAGCAAAAGGACATGCTTCAGACCAAGGAGCAAAATCATACCAAAGGCAATGTTGAGGGAGCAAGATGGAGCTGGGGGAAGGCTTTAGCAGGCACTTTCATAGAATCCCTGCTGGAAGGACCTGAAATCATAGAATGTCAGAAGTGGGAAGGACCATAGAACACAGAACACAGAATGTCGGAACTGTAAGGGACATTAGAACATAGAACGTCAGAGCTGGAAGGAATCTTAAAATATAAAATGCAGAGCATGGAATGCCAAGGTTGGAATGACCCTTAGAAACCATCCAGTCCAACTCCCTTCATTTTACAGAATAGGAAACTGAGACCCAGAGAGAGGAGCTGACCTCCCCAAAATCACATCACCATAAAAGGCAGAGGCCAGATTCAGACTTCTACATGTGTGAAACAACATGGCATTTCGAACGCCATGCAGTGCTGGGTGAATGTAAGGAATATTCCCAGGGAACAATACCACCTGTGGCTTATCTTCTAGACAGGGGACAAAAACCACTAAGGACATTTCTCTGTACTGAAATTCACAGAATCACAATAAGTCAGAGCTGAAAGGAGCCTTAGAGATTAGCTGGTTCACCTCTTTTGTTTCATAGGAGAAAACAACTAATGACGGACCTGGGGCTCAAACTCAGGTCTCCCGACTCACAGGCCAGACCACTTTTCCCTATGTCATAGCTGTATCGGCTACTCCTCAACCCCTCACCCCACCCCCAAAAAAACAACCTTTCCCTGCCATATGTACCACTTGTATGACCTGGTGCCTCACCTCCCTAGGCTTCTGTTTTCTCATCTGTTACACGGGGAGATGAAATCAGGTGGCACAATGGATAAAATGCTGGGCCTGGAGTCAGGAAGACTCATCTCCCCAAATCTGGCCTCAGACACTTACTGGTTGTGTGACCCTGGGCAAGTCACTTACCCAGTTTGCCTCAGTTCCTCAATCCGTTAAATGAGCTAGAGAAGGAAATGGCAAACCACTCCAGTATCTTTGCCAAAAAAACCCCAAATGAGGTCTCGAAGAGTTGAACAGGACTGAAAAACGACTAGACAAGAGCAATAAAACAAGATGACCTCTGAAGTCCCAGCTAAGAAATACTAAGTACTTACTAAGTGCTAACGAGTTGGGTCATTTCCTTGGGCAACCCCAGACTCCTCTAGTGGTCATCTTGTGGAAGAGCCAATAGAGCATTGGGCTTGGAGTCAGACGGACCCAAGTTAGAATCCTGCCTCACTCACTACCTGACCCTGGGCTAGTCCTCTGTGAACCTCGATTTCCTCATCTGTAAAATGGAGATAATCAAAGCACCAACCTCACAGGGTTGTAATTAGGATTGAATGAGATAATATATGCCACATGCTTTGCAAGCCTTAAAGCATTACACAAATACCAGCTGTTATTTTGTCTAACCTAAGTCATCTGATCTCCTCTGGGATCGATCAGCCCTGAGTAAGGACAGAGAGCGGCTGGCCAGGCTACCTAGGATGGGATGTAGGTCTTCAATTAGAAATCCCATCAGGCTCAAACCCTCCTAAGAAAGTAGGAGGGAGGGGCAGCTAGGTGAACAGAGCACCAGCCCTGGAGTCAGGAGGACCTGAGTTCAAATCTGGCTTCAGACACTTGACACTAGCTGTGTGACTTTGGGCAAGTCACTTAACTCCATTGCCTACAAAAAGGGGGAAAAAAAAGAGAAAGTGGGAGGAAAGAACTTTATTTCTCATATTGATCCTGTCCTCTCCAACCCTAGCTGAGCAACATCGATGTGAATGACCAGGTAGAGGGGGATGACCGGGCCTTCGAGGTCTGGCACGAGCGGGAGGACTCGGTTCGCAAATACCTGCTGCAGGCTCGCACAGTCATCATCAAGAATTCCTGGGTGAAGGAGATCTGTGGAATCCAGCAGCGGCTCTCCCTACCTGTCTGGAGTAAGTAGAGTGCCACCATCAGGGAAGGGGGGGCGGGGGAGGGAACCTAGAGCTCAGTTAGGAAATTTGCCCTTCTTGTGGATTGGGGATTATTTGGACAATTGAATTCCCACACACACACCCTTTGCAGAATGGTTTATTGTGGAATGGCTGAGACCCCGCGGATTTGTTTGATCCCACCCTGTTAGAAGATGATTGAGTCTTTGCTGACATAAAGCTGTCCTGCAGTGAAAACAATGCTAGGTCGGAACTAAGGAAACCAGGATTCAGAGACCTTAGGCAGGTCTCATTACTTCTCTGTGCCTCAGTTTCCTCATCTATAAAATGGGGAGAGTAAAACTAACACTCTTCCACTAAAGGCCTATTCTGATGCCTCATCACTGATTAGAGGTGAACATCCGGTCAAGTGAAAGCTATGATGACATGGAGGCCAAGTCTTGGTAGACCCCTTAATGCTAGAAAGCCCAGTATATGTAACCTAGTTAAGTGTGGCTAGAAGGCTGGCCACGTGATGATGAGTTCGTTGGGCTGCAGGGTGACTCACAAAGACCATCTGCTAAGGTGTCTGAGGCCTGACTGGTGGAGACTGTATGCACACATGTTGACAGAATCACATATCCTTGAGAGATCAGAGCAAGCCTTGTACTACCTCTCTCCTCTGATTGTTGGGAGAATCTTAGAACCTAAAATACAGAATGTCAGAATGGTAAGGGGCCTTGGGTGGTGGAATGTCAGAGCTAGAAGGAGCCTTTAGATTTTAAAATGCTACAGGAATTGGGAATATTGTGAGCATTGGACAAGCGGAAGCTATTGTGGTTTTTCAGCTTGGGGAATTCATCACCTCCATTAGGGAGATGATTGAGGCCACATATTATGGATGGATGGATGGATGGTTGGGGGAACAAAGGCAGGGAGGCTCATTAAAAGGCAGTGATTCCAGGTGAGAGGTCTTAATGTTACTCTTTTCTAAAACAAAAATGACTGGCTCAGAATTCCTCATGGGCCGAATCTTGAATTTACTTCCAAAAAACCTGCTTCCCCCTGAAGTGTCACCATGTCCCATGTATGTTTTTAGGCCCTCCAGACTTTGAGGAAGAGCTAGCAGACTGCACAGCCAAGCTGGGTGAGACTGTCAAACTGGCCTGCCGGGTGACCGGGACCCCAAAGCCCATTGTCAGCTGGTACAAAGGTAGGAAGACTCTTAGATGGGGCACTGGGGAAGAGTGGCCTTTGGGGAGTCAAGCAGCTCAGCTCCACAACTGTGACCCCCCAGCCTATAGCACCTCCAGGCTAGCCTGATTCCATTCATTACTCAGCAGCCCAGGGAAGGTGCAAATCCTGTCTGACACTAGCTAGGCAGAATCATTACACAGGTAAATATGGTAGGTAAAAGCATTTAACCACCCTGAGCCTTAGTTCCTTGTCTGTAAAAAGCGGCATAATAAATGCCAGTAGTACAAATATCACAGGATTATCACAAGGGTCAAATGAGACAACATATGTAAAAATGCTGTACAAGTTTTCAAGTCCTGTATAAAGCATTATTTATCATTATCATCATCATGATCATCATCATTCCTTTGTCCTCACAACACAGCATTCACCATGCTTGGGAGAGTCCATTCAAGAGAGAAGCAATCAATGTAGTATTATGGAGAAAACACTAGCTCTAAAGTCAGAGGACATTGGTTCAAATCCTGCTTGCCACTTACTATCTGTGTGACCTTTAGGAAATCCCTTCTCTTCTCTGGGTTTTAGTTTCCTCATCTATAAAGTGAAAGGATTGGATCAGATGGTCTGGAAGGTCCCTTTCAGAGAGGCAACAGTACAGTAGAAAGAGCCAAGGATTGGTAGAAAGGAGACGTAGCTTCTGATCTTGGCTCTGGTACTTATGGGGAAGTAATTCCCCTTTCACTGAATCTGGGTTTCCTCATCTGTCAAGTTGGGGAGATGGGGGAGATCCTAATTCCTGCCATTTCTCACAGTTAAAGATCAAATATAACTATGTTATGATGATCAACGACTGTGTTTCGGGTTGGGAAACTAGATTTGAGTACCAACCTTCATGTTTATATGTGACTTCCCCTCACTGACTCAATTTCTCCATCTGTAAAATAGGGCTAATAGTCTTGAACTACCTATTTCACAGAGTTGTTGTGGAGAAAGCACCTTGTAGATGTTAAAGCATCATAGCCAGGGTCCTTAGCCTTTCTTTGTGTTATGGTCCCTTGGCAAAGCCTTCTCATAATCATATTTTTAAATGCATAAAATAAAATACATAGGATTACAAAGGAAACCAATTATGTTGAAGTAGTTATCAAAAAAATTTTTTTCCAAGTTCATAGACCCCCAAGTTAAAAATATCTACCTATAGGAACAAGAATTACTATTATTAAGAATAACATCACATCACGATAACAGAAGTGGTTAAGAAAGTGTAACATACACAGTAAGTGGCAGGAATTGTGATAAAGGGAAGCCAGAAAGCCCCTGGTCAGTGTGTTCTGAGGCTTCACATTTCTCTAGTAGCACCGTGTCAAAATGGGAAGAGCTCTAGACTCAGGGTCAGAAGAGCCAGGGCCCATACCCCAGCCCCACCACCAACCAATCATGTCATACATCATGGGCATTGGAAGCACTGAACCCTTCAGCCATGTCCCAGCCCCACCCCAGGCTGCCAGGCCATAATGACTGATATTCTTCTCTGTCTGCTAGACGGGAAGCCAGTGGATGTCGATCGTCACCACATCTTTATAGAGGACCCCGATGGTTCCTATGCCCTCATCCTGGACAACCTGACGGGTGTGGACTCAGGACAGTACATGTGCTTTGCCGCCAGTGCAGCTGGCAATGCCAGTACTCTGGGGAAGATCCTGGTGCTGGGTAAGTCTGCTCAGGGGCTCCTGCAAGCTTGTATGTGCTGTAGGAGGAGAGGGCTGGGATTGCAAGAGCACTGGGGAGAAACCCTCACCCAAAAGAACCATGTTGGTCTAAGGAGAGGCTACAATTTCCCCAAAACATCTAGCTTGCAAAAATCCCAAGTGTAGCCTATACTAGTGATTATTTAGCCATGTTAACATACATAAATACTTAAATATCTATACTTGTGCATATATTGTACGTGGTGGGGGGGAGAAAAGGAAAGAGAGAGAGAGAGAGAAAGGAGAGGAGAGAGAGAGAGAGAGAGAGAGAGAGAGAGAGAGAGAGAGAGAATTTAGTCCAAAACCTATATACATACATAACGTGTAGATACAATGTTATATCTATAAAGTGGCACACTATATGTCTATGTATCTGCATATCTGTATGATATGGGAGTAATCAGGTATCTGCCTGGTCTCTAAGCAAATCTAATTACCCTATTACATGTGCATTGCTAGATGTGGAGTTAGAGAATTTAGGGCTGAAGCCTGACTTTGTTATGTTACCACCTACTCTACAGAGGCAGGGGAGAGAAGGTGACCTTGTTAATGATCCCCAAGTCATTTAGTTACTGTCTACCTCTGGGACTCAGTTTCCTCCTTTGTAAAATAAGGGGAGTGGCCTAAATGAGCTCTAAGGTCCCTTCTATGGTGTCATGATTCCAAGAGGCTTCATTTTAGGGGTACAGCCCCTATTTGGACCGAAACTTTACTTACTCTGCTAATATGCAAATGCTAGAAATTCCAACAGTAGATCAATCAACAAACATTTACTAAAAGCCTGCTACGTGCCAGAGAAAACTAAGGCTGCTAACCTTAAAAACCTTACATTTCACCAGGGGAGGATACATGCATACATGTACACATGTGTGTTTATACCTGAATGTATGTATATACACTTATGCATGCCCATACACATTTATATGCGTGCATGTGTGTGTTGACCCACACACACCATATTCATGTTGCATACGTATATACATGAATATATGTATGTGTTGTATGGAGCAGAGTCACTTGAGCATCATTCTTTTGGGTTAAAGCATGCTAGTGTTAGAATGCAAACATCCCTGGCCCAGTTAGCACATTACATCTTGCCCAGTCACATTCACCTCAATGTGCATGGATTTAGCCGGATTCTTCCCCAAGATCATCTTTGAATGAGGGAGGTTTAGTGAAATCAAGAAGGCACTGGGTGCCTGAGGAACTGAGTGCTGGGTGATAGGGGCCCTGCAAAGGAGGAACTAGAGAGGGGAAAGACAGACTTTATTTCTCTCTTGCCTTGCAGTCCCTCCACGATTTGTGAACAAAGTCCGAAATGCCCACTTTGTGGAGGGTGAAGACACTCAGTTTACATGCACCATCGAGGGAGCTCCTTACCCCCAAATCAGGTGGGTTCCTCAAGTGCCTACCTTTGGGAAACCAAAGGGATGGTCATGAGCCTTTTCTGGAGAACTGGGGAAACTATGCCTGGGCAGTTCAAAAGAAAGAATAAGAGGGGAGAAAGACAGAAGAGGAGATACTGTAGTATTGAAAGGAATCCATGATTTCTTTAAGATGCAGGTCACAGCACCTTTCTACCTTCCCATCCCCACCAGTCCTCGCACTTCCATAAATCATCCATCCAATGTGCTGGCAGCCTTCCTCTAATTCTTAAAATATCTCAGGATAACCAGTGTGGTGCTCAGTCTGCCTACTTGTTATCCTTCATTTGTGCTAAATGAGAGGCCCATCTCCTGGTCCAAAGATGTCCCTTCGTAAAATACCAGTGTTTCTTTTCTTCTATCCACATCTGAACTGTCCAGAAGGCAGGTTGGGAGCTGCCTCTCAGGAAAGATATCTTTGAGTCAGAAATGATTCAGAAATGGGCAACTCCAGTGATCAATGGAGTTTAATGAGGATTTCATTTTAATTCAATTTAAAGGCTCGTGTATGAGGATAGGGAGAAGGTTAGGACTCCTTTATTGTAGTGAGATACAAACTGAGGGGGACCTTATTGAAACCAACAAAATCAGACAGGGGTGGTGTGGGGCAGGGGAGGGGAACCTGCAGTCTCGAGGTCACATGTGGCCCTCTAGGTCCTCAAGTGCAGCCCTTTGACTGAATCTAAACTTCACAGAACACGATTTGTTCTGTAAAACCTGGATTCAGTCAAAAGGCTGCACCCAGGGACCTATAGGGCCACATGTGGCCTCAAGGCCGAAGGCTCCCCACCCCTGGTGGGGTAACACAGACCCTTCACCAGATCCCAGTCACTGGAATTCTGCACCCTTTGGAGTTCAAAGGTGATCACTTTGGACTGGTGGAAAGCAAGCACTGGGTACCCAGTGGAGAATATATATAGACCTCATATCCCCCTAAGATGCGTAATTCAGGCCAAAATTGTAGATGACCTCAAGACAAGGATAGATCACTATCTAAATGGAGGGCATTCTGGACTGTAGCAACAGTGTAAGGCAAGGTGGAGATGGGCGTTATATGAGGTGTGGAGAGTGAGATCAGCCTGGCTGAAGCAAAAAACTTCATCTTCCCCAAAGTCTCAGATCTGGGCATGGGCTTGTAGTGCCCTCAGCTGCACCCACTTTGGACAGGTGTCAGTGTGGACTAGCCCTCATGGCCTTCTGTCCACAGGTGGTACAAGGATGGCACTCTGCTGACCGAGGGCAGCAAATACCAGATGTTCAATGAACCCCGGAGTGGAGTGCTGGTACTAGTGATCACGAAGGCCTGCCAGGAGGACATGGGGCATTATGAGTGTGAGGTGAGTGTGGGAGGCTTTCCAAAGCTCTCCCTGCTTCCCTGGAGGCAACACAGTGGCTCTGGAGCAGGAGGAAACTGGGTTCAAATCCCACCTCTGATGCTTGCTTCTTTTTGTGACATTGAGCAAGTCACTTGGGCCTCAGTTTTCTCATCTATAAAATGGGAAGATTGGGTAAGATGGCCTCCAAGGTCACTTCCAACTTTACATTTATGATCTGATCATTATGAACCTGTCTTCCCAGAAATGAGAGGGTAGGAGGGACAATCCTGTCACATGTCACATTTAAACAGCACTTAGTGTTCGAAGTGTTTTTAAATCTATGATCTCACTTTAGCCTCCAAACCATCCTGCTGGCGGGGGTGGGGGTAGGGGGTCCAGAAAGGAAGTCCTATATGATTCTAATTATCTATATCTATATAGATATCTATATATCATCTGTATCTATATCATTATCTATAAAAGAGAAAACCGAAACCCAAGAGGGGAAGTTACTTTGCCTTAAGTCAGATAACAAGTTAACATCAAAACCTGGATTTGAATCCAGGATTTTTTCCTCTTTCAAAGTATGTCTTGGTGTCTCCAACAGACCTTAGGTCAGGAGTTCTTAACTTTTCTGGTATCATTTGTGGGGAAGCCCCTAGACCCCTTCTCAGACTAATGTTCTTAAATGCATTAAATTAAGAAAGGAAGGAAACAAGCATGTATTAAGGACTTAACTATGTGCTAATATACATACGATGTATATAGGATTACAATGGGAAGCCTGTGCTCACGTGTGGGCTGCAATACATCTAATGACTGATAACTAGAGCAGTTTGTGGTCGCTAGGTGGCACCATAGTGCATAGAGCTCTGGGCTTGGAATAGGAAAGACTCTTCTGAGTTCACATCTGACCTCAGCATTTACTAACTGTGTGACCCTGGGCAAGGTACCTAATCCTATTTGCCTCAGTTTCCTTATCTGTAAAAATGAGCTGGAGAAGGAAATGGCAAACCACTCCAGTATCTTTCCCAAGAAAACCCCAAATAGGGTCACAAAGAATCACACACAACTGAAAACTACTGAACAACAGAGCAGTGATGAGCATAAATGATATTTCTAGATCTCCACAACTGCATCATGACATGAAAAATATCTATGGTTCCTACTGGGGACAAGGTTACAGACACTGCTAATATTACAGTGCTTTTGTTACCTACATTTATAATTGAGGAAAATGCTAACTTTCAGATAGAGGTCAGTGAATGTATAAAAGCGGCATAATTTTTGTCCCATCCAAGTTCACAGACTCCCTGAAATCTACCCCAAGGCCCCTTGGGTGTCTCTGGGCTCCAGGTGAAGAGTGCCTGCCTTAGGCCAATTTCTGACGTGTTTCCCTTGAATATTTACAGCTGTCAAACAAGCTGGGATCAGCCCGCAGTGGAGCTGAGCTATTGGTGCAGAGTACAGCCCTACTGGCGCAGGAGAAGAGAGGAGAACAAGCGATCACCATCGAAGGTAGGCTTCCTCCTGATGTCCCATTCCATGACTATCTTGCTGAACTCCCCATCCCATCGGCTACAGGCACTAACTGTGTTCACCAGTTCTCCTGTGAGGTGTCTTCCCCATGGGCTGGCCTCAGCTATTGTGTAACATGAGCACAGGGGCCTCACCGCCTCTCCCTAATGCAGCCAACTGCATACAAGCCCAAGGGTGGTGCTCAGTTCTGTTCAACTAATTCTTTGAACTATTAGACTCCAGGTGCCGTGGAATAGGATGGGAATGGAATAGGAAAGGACTCAGGCTTGGTTTATGGTATGTACTTGGGTTAAAACAGAGAAAAACACACCAGGGGTAGACAACACAGTGCCAGTGCCACATACAATCAGTGAGCAAGCTTTCTACCTACAGGCCTGATGTCTGTCTGTGGAGCAGTATATCCATCAAATTCAATTCAAGAAGCAGTCTACTGTGACCTGCCCAATCAAGAAAGGCATCCTGGAGAAGGGGTACTCTGAGTTTCAAGAGGGGAGCAATGCTGGTAATAGAGTGAATTAGGAAAGAGCTCACATATAAAGAGGGGACCCGAATTATGCTTTGAAGGAAAACAGAGATTTTATCCAGCAGAGGTGACAGCCTTTATGCAAAGGCACCAAGGGGAGAGATGGAATATTATATACTTGGAATAGCTAGAAGGCCAATTCGACTGGAAAAGAGAACGTATATAGACAAGTAATGGGAATTTAAAATGGAAAAGTAGGTGAGGACTGGATTGTGGATAGTTTTAAATGCCAGGCTAAGGATTTTGTGTTTTACCTTAGAGGCAAAGGAGGCTGTTGAAGATTTCTGTGTCTTGGGGTGACATGATCAGATCTGTGTTTTAAGAATGACAATTTGGTTGTTGTGTGGGTGGATTGGGGAAGGCTGAGACTGGAGGCGAGGAGACGGATTAGGAAGTTATTGGAAGAGTCTCAGTGAAAAGTAACAAAGGAGATGCCATAGGGGTAGCATTGACAAGATTTGGAAACTGACTACAAGGGAGAAGAGTCACTGATGACTCCAAGGCTGTGGGCCTGGGTGACTGGAAAGATGGTGGTGTCATCATAGAAATGAAGTTTAGAGAAAGGTTGGCTTTTGGGGATAGAACAAGTTGGACACATAGACTTTGAGATGTTTATGAGATGTCCAAGTGGAGGTACCCAGCAGGCCATCAGTAATACAGGTGGCTAAGTGCTACAGTGGATAGAGTATGCTGACTGCAGTCACGAAGGCCTGAGTTCAAATCTGGCTCCAAACACTAGCTATGTGACCCTGGGCAAGTCTTTTGACCTCTCTTTGCCTCAGTTTCTCCATCTGTAAAATGAGTAGTACCTACCTCACAGGGTTGTTGTGAGGATCAAATGATATAATATTTATAAAGCGCTTAGCACAGTGCCTGGCACATAGTAAGCACTTTATAAATGTTAACTATTATTATCTAGCACTTAACAGTGCCTGGAACATAGTAGGTACTCAATAAATGTTTATTAATTAATTGATTGATTGATTGATTGATCAACATGGACCTGCAGTTATGGAATATATAGATTTGGTAGTCATTTGCATAGAAATTATAACTTAACCGATGGGATCTTAACTGATGAGATCACCAAAGGAGAAAGTTGTAGCAAGATCATAGAAACGGTCCCCAGACAGAGCCTGGGGAGGTCTTCCCACTTAGTAGGAGGGAGAAGGAAGATGACCCAGAGTAAAGGAGACCAAGGAATGGTAAAACAGATAGGAGAAGACCCAGGAACCAAGAGAGGCAGTGTCACTGAAGCCAAGGAAAGGTCCAGGAGGGTGGGGAAGAAGAGGGAGAGGGGCAGTGTTCCCCAGTGTAAAATAACTGTATTCATAGCAATATGAGTTCAGCACCCAACTGAGGGAACAAACAGTACGTGCCATTAGAGTTTGGAATGAGCAAAATAGGTGTGGGGCAGGGAGAGTCAGGGAAGGAAGACTTCACATTTGTCCCAATTTGTCACACACACATTCCAAATTACCGTGACAGCTGTGTCTAAGAGTAGAAGAGGTGCTTAAGCATTCAGGGGCAGCCAGGAAGGAGACTCAGATGCATTCAATAAACATTTATGAAGTTGCTACTTTGTATAGAGTACTAAAGACACAGTTTACATTAAATACGATCCTTGTCCTCGCAGAGGTTGGTGCCTATTAGGGGCTATAACACACAAAATTACTTGGTAAATACATCTATAAAACAAAGCCACATTGCGGGAGGGTGGGGGGAGGTTCATTGCTAACAGGGAGAATCAGGGAAGGCTCTCTGGAGGAGGTAGCATTTCAGTTGGGCTAGTCAGGAATTCAGTGGATGAAATGCAGAGGAAAGGCATTCTAGGAACTGACAACTGTGTCAGCAAAGGCAGGGAGGTGGGAAAGCACAGGCTATGTTCAAAGGATGCTGAGTTAGCCAGCTTGTCTAGAGCATAGAATTAACAAAGGGAAGATATGTGAGGTAAGTTTGGAAACAGATTTGTGCTATATTGCCATGGACCTTAAGTGACAGGCAAGGAGTCTAAACTTTAGTCGGTGGCAATAGGGAACCAGTGCAGATTTTTGAGGAGAGTGACATGACCAGATCTAAATGTAAGAATGATTCTTCTATCACTGGGATGAAGATTGTGTTCCCAGTCTTCAGAACTTCAGAGAGAACTAATTAACCCCCTTGCTCTGGGATGGTGGCTTCAGGAACCCCCTTGATGTTTGGGGTGGTTTCTTTACAGGGGAATGCCAGCTACCATATTGGAAGGCAGACCCGGAGCCCCAGAGGAACAGAATGAGCATATTCAGTATATGTACAAAGGAAAAGCCAATTGCTAGAACCCAGAGCGCTGCTCAAGAGAGGAAGCTCATGTGGTGAACCTCAGTGAAAGGACTTGAGAAGCATGAGAACAGTGGGTACTAGGGCCACTGTATAGAGAGGTCCTCAGACAGAGGTTAGATGACCCAGATGTGGATGCACAAGTTGGATGGAGAATAGACCAGATGACCTCTGAGGTTCTGTTCAATTTTATGATTCTATGAAAATTCTGTACCTTTGGAGGGAATGAGCTCCCTGTCACCAGAAGTGTTCTAGCATAAGCTAAACCACCTACTAGGGGTTAATCAAGAGTCTTTCTACATAGGTTGGAAATTTAATTAGATGGTCCCTAAAGTGAGTTGCCAAGAATTCGCTGAAGACAAATCATGCACCTTTTACAATTAGGCCTGGGACTGTGGCTTGTTTCCCCGTACTCCAGAATCTCTCTCTTTATTTTTCATCTGACATTTCTCTTCCCAACATGACCTCTAAAGAAGTTTGAAACCTTATCGTCATAGAAGTGTCCGAAAGTGCAATGGGCTGCCTCATGGGCTAGTGAGTTCCCCATCACTGGAGGTTTCCAAGTGAAGGCTGGATGGCCACTTGTCAGGAATGTTGGAAAGGGGAATTCCTACTCAGTCAGAGAAGTTGGAGCTCTGAGATCCCTTCCAGCTTTGATATTCTAAGATTTTTTGATTCTATGAGGAGATGGGGTTTATGCTGGTTTTTTGATGGATGGGGAGGATTTGGACAGAGGGAGATGTCTCCATGGAGAAGATGGAGACACATGGGACAGATAGGAATAAAAATAGCTGAAATTTATATAAGCACATTGAAGTTTGCAAAGTATTTTACAAAGATGGTCTCCTATGATCCTCAAAACAATCTTATGAAGTAGGTACTGAAGGTAAAATTATCCCTAGCCTCCCAATGAGAGGAAACTGAGGCTCAGAGAATTTAAGTGACTTGCCTATGGTCACACAGGGAATAAGTATCAGAAGTAAGATTCAAGCCTAGGTTTTTGAGTCTCTACTGACTCCAAGTCAGAACTTCCTACCGCGCCACATGGCCTCAATACAGTTAAATGGATTTGGAACTGGTTGTTGAGAAGACTTAAAGAATGACCCTGGGCAAGTTCATTGCCCTTTCTATTCTGTAAAATGGGAGTGTTGGACTAGATGAGATCTAGTCCTCTAAGGACCCTTCCAGCTCTCACATTCCTATAACTCTCGGCCCTTCTTTGTGGGTACCTCATTAAATCAAATATTCAATCAATAGAGCCCTTGAGCATTACTGTTCAGTCACTCTCCACTGACCAGGACCCCCTTTACCAGACTTTATATTGAGTTAGTGCCTCCAGTATGGAAGCCAGACTCTAGCCTTCTGACCTCCTTTAGCATGTAACTTGACCACCTCCTCAGTCTCCTTCCAAAGGAGAGTAAAGGATACCTACTTGGTTAACACACAGAACAGTCACAAATTTGGACAGAGATTTGCTAATGCACAACTTATAGACAGCAGCTGTTGTGAAATTTTTCTATGCCAACCCCTCCTCATGGCTTGGACAAATCCCACCGCTCACCTATCTCTATGACTGTGCCCCCAGCATGAGGGACACCACACCCACTTCACACCCATCTCCCATTGCTGTCTCTAATTTCAGATCCCTCTGAGCATCACTGAGCTCAAGCTAGGTACTTTTAGACCATGTGATCAGAAGCAGTCTCTGCTGGCGATTCAATGTAGTTCAACATTGGATGGTAGATTTATGATCAGTCTATTAAAAGAATTTAAAAAAAAAAACCAACTCATGCCATTGGAGGGGCAGCAGTGACTTTGCCAAACCAACAAGGTGGAGACATAGCGGCTGACATCCGTACAAAATCCATCTAGGGAAGGGTGTGTGATGGGAATAATGTTGTTTAACCTTTGAGAGTGGCAAGAACCCAGCATAGCCCACCAACATCACGGGCGAGGTCTAACTGGGGGATGACATCCTGTGCAGATCACCATTTGTTATTGTCTCCTTTTTCCAATGCATTACTCATATCCGTGTTTCATAATTCTGTGTGAATAGCTGGTTTAACCCATTAACCCAGAGGGATCTGTGGCCAAGGATGGACTAAGCTCCTGCCTGATCTTAATGCTTCAAGCATATTAACCCGCATATCAAGAAATCCTGCTTTGCGAAGCTGCCTTCCTCGATTGCCAAGAACATTGAAGTGATGAACTAGGGGCAAGATTCATTCATTCATTCGCTCATTCATTCATTCAAGAAACATTTATTAAGCACTTATTGTACGTAAGGGACGATATTAGACCTCAAGGAAATTACAGAATATAGATAAGATAGCCTCCATCCTTGGGAAGCTCAGAATCTAGGCAAGGAATAAGACATATAATTATACTATATAGTATCACATAAGGAGTACTTTAGAGATTTGTCCTCTACTGGGATCAAAACAGTCAAAATGAATAAAGAAATGGTTTTGGAAGAGTTCAATCAATCCATCAACAGATCAGACACCCAAATACCCTAATTCTACTTTTCACATGGGCCCAACTTCCAAATATAATTTTCACCCAAATAAATCCCTTTATCTTAGGAGAACTCTACCCAAGTGAATCCCATCCTTCAGAGGCTCCCAGGATGGTGATTATTTTTCTATTTGACACTTCTTTTTTATATGACCCAGATATCTCACTTAATTCAGATTCAGCCTTTCAATGGTACCTACTTATTAGGCATGCTAAGAAGCAAGGCTTAGCCTTGATGGCTAAGAAGTAAGGACAGACCCACTGCAAACAATGCAGCATCTATTTAACTCATGTTTTATATATATATATATATATATATACATATATGTCCTTATTTGTGGGCTCTAATGATTGGAAATGTTCAAATTATGTGTTATCATTTGTACAATGTTAGCATTTTCGTTTAAGGAAAGGTACCAGAAAGCAATCATGGCCACCCAAAGATCATTGGATTCCATTAGAACATAGTAATAGTTGCACAGGTCATATCTTGTTCCCCTGGAACACAGCAACAGAACCTTATAATCTATAAGTTAATGATTAGCTTGTTAGAAGAGTATTAATATTATGAAATATACATGGAGAAGGAAAGGAGATATTATTTCCAATGAGCTTATTTTAACAGAGCTCAGTTGAGAAATAAGATGAAGATAAGTAGGATCATGGGATACCTGCTTTTCCATCACCTACATCAACAGGTAGAAGTAATTTACTACAGAGTGGTAGGACAGTTGACCATAGAAGTAAGTTGTCAGTAGCTGCTGCCTTTAGGAGGGAACCTGTTTCTCTCCCACTCTGAGTCAAAGATGAAAAATCCAAAGTATCCTCTGTCCTTTTTCCCTTTCTTTAAAAAAAATAGTCCTAGAAATTTATCAATGGGGGCAATGTCCCATAAAGCCCTCTTGTGAACTTATATCAGGGTCCCACAACCTCTGAATGAAAGGGTGCCATGGTCTCTGATATAGGCCTGCCTTAGAGAATGGGCTGAGAAGGCATTGCCAAGGGAATGGGTGTTGCTGACTTTCTGGCATGGAGCCATCATCACCCAATTATTTGCTGTTCAATGTGCTCATGATCTCAGACAGCTCACAGCCTGGCCCAACACGCAAGAACTCCCCGGACACATATAAAACACAGGGTAACATAGAAATTTACAAAGAAAAAAAATCCCTTGCTCAAAGAAATACTACTCTTCCACGAATAGATCTCACCTGTTACTCTCCCTCTCTCCCACTCCAAGAAAAAAGCTCTGCAATTGCAGTCTATAAGAAACAGGATTCATAAGGTCAAACTCTCCTTTTCATCTGTGATTTAGAGGCAGCTTTAGAATAAAGTCCTCCTTAAGGAAATAGGCCACAACTTCTCCTTTCCTACACTCCTAGCTCAATTGCTGTGCCTCCGTGAGGATGATAGCTTCTTCCCACTGATGTAGATGAGGTTTTTATCAGGCTGATCTTAAGCCTTAAGAAGGGAAGAAAACATGCCTGGCAGTGTGATCTCCCACTACCTTTCTCTGCCTCCCTCTGGATTAGAAGCTGAAGTGTATAAGTCAGGAAAACACTTACAGGCCTGTTGGTCTCCTTTGGAGGAGCCAATGAACTCTGATTTTGTGTTCTGAAGCTCTCACTCATAGCTACAAGTTTTTAATCCAAAGTTCCTTTGAGGTTTCCATTACTATTCTCACCTGCAAACTCTGGTAGGGACTACCACGCTGGAAAGGCTCAGACTACATTTGAGAACTCTCATACCTAAGTTCAGAGAGGCTCCTCATCAGAAGGCCGCCTCCTAAGATAAGATACGTCTAGAGTCTGTTTCAGTGAAGGATAGCCACAAAGTCGCAGATCTAGAAAGTGCCTTCCCTTGAGAAGGGAGCAAGCCTCATGCACACAGGGAGGGGAACGTCAGCTCTTCTCCTCTCAGGGATCTACAGAGGTCTTTTCTCCTGCTGACCTGAGATCTTCAAAGAGCGTTCATTGTTCTTAAGTCAGCTTTACTACTGAAAGGAGAGAGGAGGCTTTAACTTCCTTCTTTCCTTCCTTCCTCTCTCTAGCCTGGGACAAATCATGATGAAAAGTAAGAATGGTGAGATAAGACGAGAGGATATACATACCCTCCTATATTTTTCCAGGAAGACTGTCACTCCTCTTTAGCAATCTTCTTCTTTTTCTCCCCCTCCACCCCTCCCAGCTCCCAGCAAAGCCCAAGAATGGAAACTGAGTAAGATGGAGAGTTGATTCTATCATATCTACAGAACCCTAGGCTATCAGAACTGGAAGTGCCCTTATAGGTCATCTAGGATGGATCACAGTATCAGATGTAGAGCTAGAAAGGATCTCAGTGCCCCCAAGGACAACTCTGGTATTTTACCAGTCCAGAGAGGGTTAGAGTTTTGCTCAAGGTCACACAGCTAGTAAGTTCAGTCCACTTTCTGTATAGTCAAAGTTTTTCTGTTCTTCCAGTCAGTCAACTGAATCCTTTGGTGGTTTCCCTGAGCTCGGTTCTTATCTTCTGTGGGGAAAATCCTTCCCTAGAGAACCTCATAATTCTATTCTGTTGATCGTACTTTCTCCTACTTGAATAGCACTCTACGACTTACAGTGTGCTCTGAGGCACACTATCTGACTATATCCTCACAATGGCTTTATAACTCTGTTTTATAGATGAGGAAACTGAGGCCCAAAGAAATGAAGCAATTTGCCCAAGATTATACGGCTAGTATCTGGCTGACCTGGGACTCAAGCCCAACTCACTCAACATCTAAACCCAATACTTTTTGCAGTGGCACCATTTTAATCTGGTGCCACACTTTAGAAACGAGGCCACCTTGTGCAAAGAGAAAACAGCCTCTTGTCATGAATGGCTTCTCTTTTTGTCCTGTGCTTTTCCAACTTGTAAGGAAAATACCTGGGCTATGAAACTAAGGGAAAAGATCTTGTGTCTGTGATACCATGTTCCCCAAAGGCCCTGTAGACTCGCAGCATGGCCAAGTGAGGAGGGACCTTAGAGTGCAGAAGGCCAGAGCTTAGAGATGACTTAAACCATGGAATGTCAGACTTGGAAAGGGCTTTAGAACACAGAATGTGAGTATCTCAAGGAACCTTAGAGAGTGGAAGACACAATATTAGAAGTGGAAGATACCTTAGGGCGATAGAAAATGAGGACCTAAAGAAAGCGTAAAATATAGAAAGTAAGAGGTGAAAGGGGCCTTAGAACCTAGACTATGAGCATGTCAAGAATACTAGAGCTGGAAAGGACTGTGGGACAAAGAATGTCAGAACCTAGGGAGAACCTGGAACATAGAATGTATGAGATGGAAGAAGATTTAGACCATAAAAAGTTAATAGTTTTGAGGTAGATTGGAACATACAGCATATAATGTTAGAGCTAGAAGGGGTTATCTAGTCCACATGCATGTGCACACGCGCACACACACCAATGCTATAGATGAGGAAACTGAGGCCCAGTGAGATCTCATGATTTTCCCAAGATCACACTGGTAGTAAGTTAGAGAGTTGGGATGTGAACCCCAGTTTTCCTAGTCCCAGCCCAATGCTATTTTTCCCCTACCACATTAATAACAGATCACGCATCTCTGGCACTAAATGGTTTATAAAGTGTTTTCCATAGGGCAATCCTGTGAGGTAGGTAGGACGAAGATTATTGTTCTCATTTTGAAGATGATAAAAGAAGTTACGTGACCGGAACCACACCCCACAGTTGGCACGTGTCAGAGTCACCAAGGAGCACTTTAGAACCAGGAAAGCATGACTGGGGTGGCCCATGCTTTCCCTCCAGCGTCCTTGGATCAACTTAACAGTTAGCTTAGTCCTCTTAGCTTTGGCCTTTCTTTAACCCCTTGCTGTTCCTACTGTTTTCTTTGTAGTCACCGAGCAAGAGACTAAAGTGCCCAAGAAAACCATCATCATGTAAGTGCTGACGTTTTATTCACCTCAGATTTTGCCGTGCTGTCTCTGCATGCTCACTAACCTGCCTGCATTCTCCCCCTGCCAACCTTGCAAAGCCCAGTGATGTTATGGGGCAAAGCAGAACAGCACAGAGCCACCCATCTGCAGGGTAGAACTCTGTGCCAGCAGCTCTCCAAAGCGATCTAGCCTCTCTCTGGGAATTCTAGAGAGGCAAAGAGTGGAGGTGCACCAGCCATAATGCTTGGCCTCCTTAGCACAGAATCTCAGAATCACACATCATGGTCTGAACTCTCACAATCAGACTCTCTCAGAAGCTTAGAATCACAGAATCTTCATCTCAAACTTATAAACACTCAGAATCATGGAATCTGGGATTTTTGAAATTATGGAATTTCAGAATCACAGACTCTCAAAGCTAGAAGGAACCTCAGAGGACATCTAGACCAGAGGTGTTAGACACGTGGCCTACAGGCAAACTCCCCGGTGAGGCCAGAACCAGACTAAAATGCAACTGGGAAACGTTGAACAGAATAAATAAAAACAACAATCTAAATAACATTACATTTTAAAACTAAGTCAATATGCAGCCAGCAGGGATCCTTATATGTTGATAAATGAAATTTCTATCTGAGTTTGACAGCACTGATCTGGATCAAATATGTGTGTGTACACACACACACACACACACACACACACACATATACACACACGTTTTCTCCATAATCTAGCCCAACACATAGTCATTGAGCCTCCATTCAGAGCCTCCAGTGATGGAAAGCTCACAACCTGAGATAACCCTTTCCACTTTGGGAGTTCCGTTTGTTAGAAAGTTTTTCTTCCCCTCATATAGAGCTGAAATCTGTCTCTTTGCAGCTTCAGTTACTCTTAACGGAACGTCTTTACTATATCACTTCTCTTCTTTAGACTCCAAGAAAAAATTATGCCTTAGAGTCCTAGAGTCATAGCTATTTGGAAAAAATATAAAATGTCAGTGCTAGAAGGGACCTTAAAGATCATCTGATCCAAGTCCATTTTATAGAAAGTTAAACTAAGGCCTAGAGAGGAGAATGACTTGCTCAGAAGGTGATGTCAGTTAGTATTGAACCATTCAAACTCTCACTTCATCTCCTTTGTGACCAAAAGCACAAGTTCTTGAAATGGTCCATGGCCATAGAACATTCGTCTTTTCTTTCTTCTCTGAGGAGGGGAGAGAACCAGTTCAATGAGGTTGCCCATTACTCCACCTTAGCCAGACGGAAACTCTCCAGGTTATGAAAGACCCTCGGCCACATCATTATTTGGAGAGTAGAAAGGTCTTTGGCCTGGTTGCAATGGTAGTCTTGGGCTTAGGATCCCATGGAGTTGGTCATTGCTTCCAAAGTTCCTTGATCTTTAGATCCAACTGTAGGATGTCCCAGCCCTTTTTGATACTCTCTGGCTCCTCTTAATAAAAAGCCTGGCCCCTCTGGAGTTGACAGTCATATGGTCATATTCTTAAGAAGTGGAAGGGATCTTCGAAACTATCTAATTCAGTGCTCTATTTTATAGAGAAGAAGGTTCAGGCTCAGAATAGGGCAATGACTTAGATCAGAATCCTCAGAGCTGAAGAGGCCTTAGAACACAGAGTGCTGGGCCTGGAATGATCTCAAAATTCATTCAGCCCAACCCCTTGGTTTTTCAGAGGAAACGAGACCCAGGAAGCTTAAGCAACTAACAATAGATTGTCAGTTTTTGTTGTTCAGTTGTTTCAGTTGTGTCTGACTCTTCATGACCCCATTTGGGGCTTTCTTCACAAAGATACTAGAGCAGTTGGCCACTTCTGTCTCCAGTTCATTTTATAGATGAGGAAACTGAGGCAAACAGGGTTAAGTGACTTGCCCAGGGTCACACAGGTAGTGAGTGTCTGAGCCCAGATTTGATCTCATGAAGATGAGTCTTCCTGACTCCAGGCTCTTTGTTCTATCCGCTGTACACCTAGCTGCCCCAAGATCATCAATACCTAAGAAAAAGGAGTCAGTCATCCTCTCACCCTACGAGTGCCTGAGACCAAATCACTCCCTAATCCAGTGGGAATGCCTGCACCTGAAGGAGGGTCTCAAGTATTCCTTGGGGTACCACAGTCAGGCCTGGCCAGTTTAATTCAATTCAAGATGAATTTTTAAAGTTTCTACTACGTGCAAGGCACCATGCTAGGTCCTGGGAATACAGAGATGTAAAAAGAAAAACATTTCTTGCTCTCAGGCAGCTCACATTCTACTGAGAAGCCAAGAGGGAATTCCAAACCTGGGATGGTGGTAGAGAAAATTCAATGAAATTCAACAATTATTAAGCACCTACTGTGTACAAGGCCTTTTGCTCAGTGCTGGGCATATAAAAACATGCAAACATATATACATACATGCCTACATGATGCATGCATGCATATGTACATACAAACATACATGCATTAACAATTCCTGCCCTCATGGAACTTATCATCTACTAGGGGAGGGAAAAGCAAAAGATATACACAGATAGGCAAATAAAAGATAATTTGAAGAGTTAAATCTCATTAATTATCAGGAGTAAGAGACTTTCTTGTCTCAGATAAGGAAAGATTTGGCATAAGAGGTGGCGCCCAAGCTGATTCCTGAAGGAGGCTTAGGATTCCAACAGCAGAGGTGAAGAAGGAGTGACTTCCAGGTGTGAAGCCTTCCTTCCCTCTGATGTCCATGACCTCACCAGTGACCATGGGGTCTCAAATTCCAAGGCTATGAGAAGTCTCCTTTCAACAATTCAGTTTGACTACTATTTATTAAGTGCCTACTGTATGCAAGGCACTGTGCCAGGAGCTAGGGGATACAAGGACACAAATGACACAATCCCTGCCCTCAAGGAGATTACATTTTACTCATGTGGTAGTGATGTTGACAGTGAAAACTACTAACAGGAAGGAAGCCTTAGGCGTGTAAAGGAGGTATCTAGTTGAATACACAGATTGCCTAGTTTAAGATGATTTTAAACATTTGATTCGAAGCAATTCATAGCAATTTGTAGAAGCGTTGAAGAAACTGAATCTAAGAGCATTTACGGCTCAACCACTTGACTCTTTTCCTATTCATTGATTAATACTAATTTCCCATTTTTTTACCTGGAGAGGTCACAGAGGTAGTAGCAAGGAAAGCACGACTTTGAACATAGCTCCTCTGATTCCAGAGCCAATGTTTTTCTTCCCCATAATGACTTCTTCTAATGGGGCCAAATGGTTTGCAGCCCAGTGATTCTTGGTTCTTGGTTCCTGTCTCAATAGTAATTCTAACTCCCATTCCTATGGTACTTTAAGACTCAAAGCATTTTCCCCACAGAACCTGTGAGGTAGGGAGAGCAAGGAGTATTGTCCTCATTTTGTAGTGAAGGGAAACGAGGTGATGCAGCAGATCGAGCAGTGGCTTGGGAGACGGGAAGATGTGAGTTTGAATATTGCCTTGGACACTTAGTTGTTGTTCATTTCAATCGTGTCCAGCTCTTCGTTGACCCCATTTGGGGTGTTCTTGGTAGCGATACTGGAGTGGTTTGCCATTTCCTTCTCCAGCTCATTTTACATATAAGGAAAGTGTGGCAAACAGGGTTAAGTGATTCGCTCAGAGTCACACGGCTAGTAAATGTCTGAGGCCACGTTTGAACTCAGGTCTTCCTGACTCCAGGCTTGGAGAGCTCTATCCACTGTGCCACCTAGCTGTACCCTAGCTGAGGGGAGGGGGGAGGTAACCTTACCTTGGGTAATGCAGTTTACCTCAATTCCCTGCTCTAGAAAATGAGAAGGGTTGGACTTAGTGGTTTCTAAGGTCCCTGCCAGCTCTAAGTCTATCATCTCATGATTCTCTGAATGGAGGCTCAGAGAGGACTGAATGAGTGAGTGCTCATGAGACCTGGATTCGAGTCTTGGCATTGACATTAACTAGTTTTGTGATTCTAGACAAGTAATATGACCTTTCTGAGCCTATTTCCACATCTATAAAATGAGGGGTTTGCACATGATTAGGTCCTATCCATCTCTGGCCTTGTGTGATTCTTTGATTGTATGAGTCTGTGCTAATCATTAATAACCAGCAGTAAGGGAGGGCGTGACACAGAGAGGGAGGTCTAAATATACCTATTCTTTAGGGAGCTGTATAATCATTCTGCACAGAAGCCGCCATGTTGAAAAGAGCTGGACTGTGAAATGTGCTGACAATAAGCTCTAAGGACTATAGAATGATGTTGCCTATCTAACCAGGGTTTTAACAAAGACTACTTGTGGAAGTAGGAGTTCTGTGTGTCTGGGGAGTTTCTCAGCCCACTCTCTCTGCTCACTAAACTAACATTTCATTTATCAACAACGGCATGTGTGTGTTGGTGGATAAAGGACTTAAGAAAACCTTTTTCTGTCTCCGTTTCCTGCTTACTTGCTGGCCTTTTCGTCATCAGAGAAGAGACAATAACTACAGTGGTGAAGAGTCCCCGGGGGAGGCAACGGACATCTCATAGCAAGTCTCCCTCTCGTTCACCTTCCCGTCGCTCAGGTCCTCAGACCCCAAGGCCCAGCATGCTGACCCCAGAACCACTTTACTCTTCAGCAAGCAGGCAGCAGGTCCTGAGGTCAGAGTCCGAGGCTGTGAGGACAACTGTCATTCCAGAACTATATGTCACTGAGGTTGGGGGGCACCATGCGGCAGCATCCAGAGCCACCATTGTGGAAACCAGAGTGGGAGAGCAGAGACCTAAATGCATAGAAGTGGAAGAGATCATTGAGGTCAAAGTGAAGAAATCTGACCAGAGGAGTGCTTCTCCATCTAGGCCAGAGAAGGACCACTCAGGAGTACTAACTTTCACTCTTCCCAGCTCAAGGTCCAGGCCTTCCCCTGAAGAAGACCCCAACACAAATAACTCTAACAACACATTGATGGCCCAAGCTAAATTTTCCTCATCTACTGATGGTCTCTCAGATAAACCTTCTGAGGTGGTCAGAACAGAACAGGTGGGAACCCTGGAATCACCTGAAGACCCTAGCTTTCCCTGCAGCTCTGATGAACTAGGTGAAGACACCCATATTGTTGGCCCAGCAGAATGCCATAGCTACCTCTGGGAGGGAACTGGAAATGACCCTTCAGCAACTGTTCCCCCAGTAGAGGCCTGTGTTGGAGAGTCCTTTGTGTTTTGTTTTGAGACTGATGATACAGGAAAGGCTGAAGTTGTTTCTTTCCCAAAAAGCCCTCAACTGGAAGTCACTGACTCCAGTGAGCTACCCAGCTCTTGGGTTGCTAAAGAAGAGATGGTTGCTGAGGAGGACCACGAGCACCCCATGATAGAGGAAGAAGAGAAGAAGAAGAAGAGAAGGAAGAGCAGGAGGAGGAAGAGGACATGGACACCATTATAACTGATGAGCCAGTAGAGCAAGATGTAATTGATATCCAAGGCCGTGACACCAAAATCCTCACTCATAATGGCAAAGTATTGACATTGGCAGATCTTGAAGATTACGTTCCCCAGGAAGGGGAGACCTTTGGTTGCAAGGATCAGCCCGCCACTACCACTGATGACAAACCCTGTGAAATTTCTGTGCTGCAGACCGAGATCAGTGAGCCTACCATTGGTCAACCCATCTTGCTCAATGTGGGACGACCAGTGTCTCCAAAGCCTCCTCCAGGCTTCTTCAGCAAATTCAAGGAACATGTTCCCCAGAGTGCATTTCTGTCAGCATCCAGGGTGATGGGGATGCAGACCATGGGCCCCACCAATATCTCCTTCCATGTGAGTGAGACACACGTGGCAGCCACACCCAGGCCCAGCCCAATAGGTCCTACACCAATAAGTGTAGGTGCTTCTCCCGGAAACCAGCCTCCCTTCTCAGTGAAGCCATCCTTCTGTACCAAAGTCCAACACTCAGTCGACCACAGCCAGCCCAGCTTTCGGACAGAAGTGTCTGCTCAAACCGTCAGCTTTGGTACTGTTGGTGAGACAGTCACACTACATATCAATCCAGATAATGATGATGCTTCCCAGAGCTGAGTGTCCCTGGAACATGGCCCACCAGACTCCAAACTGATTTGCAAAAAGTTACATGAAAGGGGGTGGTGGGGGAGGGGGCCATTCATGAAAGCACCAAGGAATGGGATTGGGAAAGCAGAGTGAAGAATGTCCATATGAGACCATAGAAGGATAAGGACATTTCCAAGCATCAATGGGAACACTCCACCTCTACTCATGCAATTGATAACTACAAAGCTTCAACCACAGCCAGCGCACATCATTCCATAGTGAAATGAGGAAGGAAGACGAGCATCCTTGCACAGCTGAAGAAGGACACCATGTTTGTACCCCAAACATGCACAGCCTATGTGTGTTGCAGGAGACAAAGGTGACTTTCTAAGTTCTCCCCTGGAAAGAATTTTGAGGGCACATATCCCCTTCCAGCTGTGTCAAGGAGATCAGGACATCCTCATTTGAGTGCCAATCAAATCAATAGGCATTGACTGCGCTCCTTCTGTATACCTAGCCATATCTCTTGCTGACTGTTGCAGAGTTTCATGCTGTTTACTTTCCTAATGGCTGGTATCACTCCCCATCTCCTCAAGCCAGCATGCCAAAGCAAAACCGCCTTTCGTGAACCTCTCAAGCTTGTCATGTAGCTAAATGGCTTCCAAGCTTGAATCCATTCATCATAATCTTCACCCATACCTTTGCACAGTGGAAATGTACAAGGTTGCTCTTTTAAAAAGCTATTGCTTTCAAGGAATGAATGCACCCATACGTGGGAGCCAGTATAGTCTAGTGGATAGAGTAGAGGACCTGGGACTCTGTTCAGGCTCATGAAGTGACTTTTGGTGAGTCACTCACTTTTTATGAGCCTTAGTTTTCTTTATAAAATGGGAAGAGTCATGCCTTCTCTCCCCACTCCACCCCCATTTCTACTTCACTAAAACAGTGGCTATAAGGAGTTGAACATCCTCTGGGGGAAACGCATCCTACAAACTGAAGGACAAATTTCCTAGGCGCTGACCTGAGAGCCCCTCAGTTGCTTCTGACCAATTCTTGAGCTTAGCGCCCCTTTCAGAAGAAGTCCAACATGGACAGTTGCTGGTCACTTCGGCAGTGAATTCAACCAACAAGTGCCTTTGCTTGGTTTCTTTTTTCACAATAGAAACTGTGCTGTGAATGAAACCAGGATACCGAGAAGTGCTAAGAAAACCCTCCCCATCAAAGAATACTTAAAGAATTTGAATGTGCGAGAAGTCAAAATGAGTGGGTGGGGTTCCTTTTTTTCCCCAATCTGTTCACTAAGGTTATGCATTTAACAATTAAAAAACCAACAAACAGCCATGTTTAGCAATTATGTTTATCAGAAACACAGTTGCTACCTGACCCAGTATTACTATACAGAGCTGCTTGTAGGTATATAGGCAAGGATCAAGGGACTCTTCTCTTTCCCTGGAGTAAAGAAGGCCAAGACAGATTCTGACTAATGCCTCAGAGGTCAACATGGTTTGTCCTGCCCAGAGGCAGGAAGGGGGTCACCCTCTTGCTCTAAAAAGGTCTGTTTAACTTTGAGCACAAATGACTCTCTCTCTCTTCCTCATTACCCCAGCCAAGGTGCCCAAAAAAAAAAAGTTTACTGCTTTTTAGCCAGAAGGTAGAGGGAATTCCCCTGGTGTGTTTTAATGAGTACGACTGTCCACATGCTGCCTGGCTGTGTTCTATCAAATACTGTCTTAGCCACCCCTTACACTTTCAGCATAGGACTTTTGGTCTGACTCTTAGAAAAAGTATCCATTTCCAGCATCTTATTTCATGGATCAATAGTTACATCATTATGGATAGTCTTTCCATCTAATCCCTCCACACAACAGTAGACAGGCTTCATGAGTTGCCATGACTGAAAGAATCTATCCTATAGTGGCCAACCCTCTGAACTTACCTAGGCCAGCTCTTAGACAACAGATATAAAGTCTGTTGTCAGGCACAGATAGCTCAGTATTAGCTCATACAGGCATATGGCCGTAAGCCATGAGTCCCAAGAATATGTCCCAATTCCCAATCTGTCCCAGGAAAATCTACCTTCCTGCAAACATCTAGGTAGATAGCATCACTGTCCTGCCCAGTATCACTGTTCCTCCAGCCTTCTTGGCCCCACCAGTTTGCCTTATGATCACAGCTGAACATTAGCCCAGGATGGCTTATATCAGGTAGGCTAGGATGAAAGGGAGTCTGGGTGGGTAGCTGGGAAGAGACCACTCTTTATTTAATCTCCTTGCTTTGTGCAGTATAGTTCAAGTAGCCTTGAGACAAAAGAGACTGGAGAGGAAGATGGAAATGGTCCCCAAAGGGTATAGATTCTTCCCCTGTTATGGGGTGGGGGTGGGGGGGAAGGTTGGAATCAGATTCTGCATAGCACTTGAAACATTGGGCAGCAAGGTAGAGGAATGCTTTGCTTCAAAATGTAGCATTTATTGGTGTTGATACAACCACATGCCCTAGGCCAAGCAAGAAAACAAAGAATGTCTCTTGTGAGTCTTAGAGGCCTCTTCAGTGATTTCAGGCTAGTGGCAACACCTCATGGAATTATAGAATCATGGGCCTAGGAGACACCTCAGGGGGGAGCATGTTGTCCAGTCATTAGCCAGGCAAGAAGCTCTATTACAAAAATTCCTGACATGCGGTCATCTGGCCTCTGCTTAGAGACTGTCAATGACACGGTCTAGTGGAAAGAACCCTTCTCTAAGGTGCAGAGTCTTATTTCTGCTGTTTACTCCCAATACGATCTTGGATAAGTCCCTTCCCCTCTCTGAGCCTCAGTTTCCTCATCTGTAAAATGAGGGTAATAATACTTGCAGTACCTACCTCACAAGGTTGTTGTGAGGAAATCACTTTGTGAACCTACAAGTGCCATAGAAGTGGAAGTTATCATTATTATTATTAATTATTATTATTATCATATGATTACCTCCTGAGGCAACCCATTCCACTTGGGGACAGCTCTTGTTTTTAGAAAGGTTTTCCTCATATTGAGTTGAAATCTGCCACTTCCTACCTACCACTCCTGGTTCTGCCCTCTGAGGCCAAGCAGAAGGAATCCGTGTGGATTCCAACCAGAAGGAATCCTCTTCCATGTGACAGCCTTTCAGATACTTGAAAAAACCTAAGGGGGTTACTCTCCAACGGGACTAATAAAAATGGAGACTGTGGGGGAAGGGGCTGCTGTGCGCTGATGCCACAAGCCAGTGCACACAGCAAAGGGGAGGAAAATTTCAGCTTCTGGAAGAGAGGGGGAGGGAGGGAGGAGAGAGAAAAATACAAAGATGTGATCTGATGCTTGATCTCATTTCAATAAATGTCTTGCATCCTTTGTCATTGTTTTTGGCTCTTTTCCCAATCTCTCCATAAAGCAGCGCTACTCCTAGCTGTTCTTCAAGCCGCAGAAAATGGCATTTCAGTCTCAGTCCAAGCAGAGTGTCTCACTTGGGTTTCCAGCATTATTCTCATCTCCCTACATCAGTCCAATCATAGAGATCCAGTGATAAGGATTGGTCCAGAGATAGAGCAGATATGGAGACAGAAGGAATCCACCTTGTTCTAGTGAAAAGGGTACTGAGCTTGGAGGCAAAAGACCTAGGTTTGAGCCCAAATCTGTCACTGTGTGACCTCAGGAAAGTGATTTTTCAGCCCTGACTCACCTGTGAAATAGAGGTGATAATGCCTGTATTTCCTCCCTCATGAGACAGTTGTAAGAGAAATGTTTCTGGAAACACTATGGGGATTTTGTATTCTTTTTGGCTATTTTGGCTAAAAGTGATTTTAAGGTCATCTAGTCCAGTGATGTCAAACTCTGATAGAAATAGAGCCACTAATCCTGATATAAGGATCCCTGTGGGTTGAATTAGTTTTAAAATTTGATATTTATTAAATTTATTAAATATCTCCCAATCATATTTTAATCTGGTTTGGGCCCATTTGAAAGTGTTGTGAACCACAAGGAGTTGTTGGCTAAGTGTGTTTCACCTCTAATCTGGTCCCTCCCACAGCCTTTGGTTCAGCCTCCCATGTAAACAATATTAGACTGAGACAAGTCTTCCCAATTTTAAGATTCTCCAGATTGTTTGGGACTGTTGTGGCTAAATAAAATGAATTGATTCTTTAAAAAAGGAACAGAATAGGTAAAAGGGGTGGGGATAGTTAAAAGTTATAGTTAAAGTATAGTTAAAAGATGGGCAGTTAGGTGGCTCAGTGGATAGAACACCAGTCCTGAAGTTAGAAGGACCTGAGTTCAAATCTGACCTCAGACACTTACTAGCTGTATGACCCTAGGCAAGTCATTTAACCCCTACTGTCTCCAAAAAAGTAAAAGATATACTCATTTGAGGAAATCCAAGAACCAGAGAAGGGAATCAATCCATCAGTCAGCAAGCATTTATTAAACTATTGTGTGCTGGAGATCCAAATACAAAAGTAAGTCTATCCCTGCCCT